CGGACATTTTCCATATTTCAGTGAATAATATCATTTTCCACGAAAAAGCATAACTAGTGTAATTTTCTTGGATGTTAATGGGCTCTCTTACAAAAGAATTACGCCTAAAATAAGAAGCCATCCATTTATATTTCTTTCATTGTCGACAATTGGGCTAACTGATTATGGTATTTGTATGGGTCATTCACAACGGTACAACACAACCTACACTTCGCTATTATTGAAAACCAAAAATGTGCCTCAACCTAAAGGTTTTGGATTAAAGTTATTATTCGGGTCACTATCATGGCAATTGGCACCTCGAGCTCGAGGTTTAGGTAGTTAAGCCATTTTAAATTCCGACACTCATATACAAAACTAAGTAGAATTTTCAATTACCGAATAGGTAGTTAAGAGTTTGAAACAAAATTATCGTTTGTTGCATAATAGAATTTCTCACTAGTTTCTTTTATAAAAGATGCTGTGGATGATAAGATAAATCAATTTTTTAGTGTGGGTCAAGGAGTTGAAGTACTTGTGTTATAAATTATAATTGTCGTTTTGAGCGGTAGTACTAGTTTTTGACTCGTCTGAAAATAGTTTGAGTTTTTGGAAAAAAAAAACTAAAGAGATAGTATGAATTTTTACTATAGTTTTAATCAATATACTTCTACAAAGAGGCATTTACCGTTAATTTCAATAAACAATACTATAATTCTTCAGTTCTTCAATATTTTGTTCCTAGTCAGAATCTAAAGAGAACTAGCGAAATATTACAAGACACCATAGTATTGCCGTTGAAGAAAAAAAAAACACAAGAAGTACTACACTGTTTTATCCATATATTCCGTAATTTTCTTTTTCATATTATGTTGTGTCATGATTTTTTTTTTACATTAGGAATCATATATTATCTGCAAGAAAATCATCACAAAATCTTCAAAAACTATCGTAGGAAAGAATCATATGTCCCACAACTTGGGAGTTTGTCTGGTCTCTTTACCTGTCAGGGAAGCAATGCGTTGTTGTGTCCATGTGCAAACAATTTTCTAACCATTTATTGCAATCATTGTACTTTACCTTTCTTGTTTTCTTTTCAATCTTTTTTTCTTCTTAAAATTCCTATTTAATTAGTATGGTTAAAACTTAAAACCAAATGTACTTTATTCTTTGGTTTCTGTACAATATTTTTTATAATTTTCTATTTACTTAGAATAACTAAAGCGTAATGATCCATCCTCCGTATTTAGTTATGCAATTAGATAGGTCTTTGAAAAGAACTAGTTAAACACTTTAAGCGGTTTAGTACAGTTTTATCAGTATGTTGACATAGTGACACTATAATTCATCAGATATCTACAAAATTTAAATAATCATATAATATGCATGCATATAGATATACACGAGGCCTATATATGTATGTATTAGTATCATACCATCATTGATGGGGTACTGGTGAGTGGTGACCATAAAATATTTATTTTTAGCAAAGAGCGAAGATAGGATTTTGCTGGTACTAGTCTCCATCGATCTCAATATTGAGTGGCTCCTTCACATTTGTTCGAGACCTATAAAAAAAAAATATATATATATATATTGGAGTGACTTTTCTTCCAGAATGAACCAATACGAACGGCTGCACGTGGATTGATAGCCAGTCATTACACTTCTCGAGCGGATTCCTTCGCACTGATCTTCTTCAAAGGATCTGCATGATAATATGATATCATCTTCAATATAAGCTGTATTAGTATTAATTTAGAGATTTTAAATCACATTAATGTATATTGTGTCTCATACGGTTATACCAGTGTGCCAGTGTCTAAATCAATATCTGACCACAATTAGCTTGGCTATGATAATGCTGCGACATAAATTGTATCTGATCAGTGATCACAGCAGGAACAATCAGGAATTAGTCACAAAAAGACATGATGATAAAGAAAGAATGTTCAATAAGTATTAAACATAGGAGTATCATATTAAGCTAAATTGCATGTGTTTCTTTTGTTTGTTTGTTTATCAAATAGAAGATGGGATATTTTAAAACAAGGGAGACAATGTGACCTAGAAATTATTGGTGATTTTGGATCCTTCGTGATTGAATTCCTAAAATGGTCTAAAATCCAATGTTGGGCCGAAAGATACTATCACTGTATCACCCTTATCATATTTACGTATATTAATGTAATAAGGTGTATATTAAAGTGCATAAGATTCCTGAAAAGTGGGGCACAGAAGGTAAGTGTTGATGTATCATGTTGTGGGGCTTTCGTTATGGCATCATTTTTCAGCTTATTCTAACACTAATACGCGGTTGGTAACACATATTAAGACATAAAAACATTACTTACGAAGTGTGGATTCGTTGAGAAGATACAACCTTCTATAGTTCTATCGGCAAATATGATGGAATTAGACTAGAAACAAACCAAAAATCATACTGAGTTACATTTTATATGGTTTTCTCTTACATAAACCAAACCTTTTTTTGTCCGTTTTTATGAGTTCCATATATGCCAATTCCATGGCTTATGTCTTCATAGGTGTTACCAACCGCGTATTAGTGGTAGAAATATAGAAGAAACTTTGAAATGATTGAGAGAGTAATTAAAAATGATAGCCAGATATTATTCTGGTAAGCTCACCTAAAACATTTATAAATCTTTCAGATAAAGAAAATTAAAAAAGGAAATGAAACCGAAGTTATCCACATTACTTGCCGTTTGACAAGACGTTAGAGGTGATTGGTCCATTTGTCTTTTATAAACTGACAGTTGTTTGGTTACTCGTTTTGGATTTTCTTTTTTTAAACTCATCACATCTACTCATAATCTGGACTCATTTTCTCTGTAATATCCTTTTTAATGGTTTAACCAATTCTGTCCAAACGCTAAATTCTTCTAAATACCCAAGTAAGTTCATTGAAATGCCCTTTTACTTTGTTTTCTTAATCATTCTCCAATTTTTTTCTTCTTATCACAAAATTTGCTGGAACTTCCTCGGATTTTATCCATTTTTATTTTCTTTTACTATAACCACGATATGCACGTGCCCAGAGGTAAAATATTTTCTCTGTTGATTCTTCTTTGCTCCCAAGAGGCCTTTTGTAAACTATTGTAAAGGCATAAATGTATGTAGATGTGGCCTATGTGTTGATATCCAATTATATAATCATAATATTATTTGGTGCTCTGTAGTTTGTAGTTTTGTACAACCAATCTATCATTAACCTGTTTCACTCGAATCATCTCTCTCTACCTTCTCCCTTACTCCTCTGTAACAATCCTATCCTCCCTCTTTTTTCCTGTTAGGTTTTATTTGAATTTATTTTGATTCTTGATTGAAAAGTTTCATGATACTATTCTCTCTGTAATCGAGTTCTTGATGCGGACTTGGTTTTAGATCAAAGATTTATTATTTATCTTTATCTTGTATTGCTGTTTTCTGTAAATTTTCACATGCTGAATTTTTTGGATTTGTAGTCAAATTGGAATTGGTGAGAGTCAGGATTTAGATCTTATCTCTGTATTTTTATGTCCAAAATGTGTGTTTATTTTAAACTTCTTCCAACACAAATCTGATTTCTTTCTTCTGCCAAAGTTTCATATTCTTAAATACCATATGCTAATTTACATGTAGAGTTGCTGAAAAACTGGTGAAGCAAAATGGCACTTACTTGGACTCATAAAGACAGAGAAGAAATTAGGGTTCACGAGAGTTTGGAGGAACTAAGCATAGATTTGGTAGATTACATAGCTGAGATATCAGAAGCATCAATCAAAGAACATGGTGCTTTCTGCATTGTCTTATCAGGAGGCTCTCTCATTAGCTTGATGGGGTAATTACAAATTTTATCCAAAACACTTTTTAAGTCTTTTCACAATCCCATTTTCAGTCTCCTTGATCGATCTAATGGCTTCAACAGAAAATTGATCGAGCCACCTTACGACAAGATTGTTGATTGGGCGAAATGGTATGTCTTCTGGGCCGATGAGCGAGTCGTAGCTAAGAGCCATGACGATAGCAACTACAAGCTTGCCAAGGATAATCTTCTCTCCAAGGTCAGATCTCTTGAATATTGACTTTTCTTTTGCACCAATCCTTGCTTGTTCATGAAGAAAACAAACTGAGGTTCGAGAAAGTAAACAAATCATGGTCTTAGTCAATACATCTTTGTGTCTGGTGGTTTGTCTTATTATAATGTTGATTTTGTTCTTGAGAGTTGGAATATTGACTTCTTCTTCAGGTAAATGTGTTTCCGAGACACATATGTTCCATTAACGACACAGTTTCGGCAGAGGAAGCTGCAACAGAGTATGAATTCGCCATCAGACAGATGGTGAGGACACGAACCGTCACTGCGTCTGACAACAGTGACTGTCCCAAGTTTGATCTAATCTTGCTTGGGATGGGATCAGATGGGCACATAGCCTCACTCTTCCCGAACCACCCAGCACTTGAGGTTAAGGACGATTGGGTTACGTTCCTAACCAACTCTCCTAAACCTCCACCAGAGAGAATCACATTCACTTTGCCTGTCATTAACTCAGCCGCTAACGTCGCTATAGTGGCAACCGGAGAGTCCAAAGCCAATGCTATCCACTTAGCAATCGATGGTTCGACCTTACCAGAGAGCTCTCTGTCTCTCCCTGCAAAGTTGGTCCACCCGAGCGACGGGAATCTGGTCTGGTTTATGGACAAACCAGCAGGGTCTCAACTTGACAGGCTTAACTTTTCCGAATAGGTTCTTATTTGTTTCATCAGTGATGACCCTTTTTGTTATGAAGAGCATCCGGTTTAGGATCTTGGGGTTTTATTTAACTTCTCTAGCCATTTCAAGTTTCAACAAACAACCAAATCTTATAACTATAACGATAACATGGTCAGTGATTCCAAGAAACAATCTAATTTCAAACTCAATAAGGTGATATAGTGTGACTGACACAGATTCAGGCGAATACAGAATTGTTATCCTACAAGACGGAGGAAGTGTGAGAGAAACCAGCAAAAGCTTACTTTCATTGACCGTTGCCATGGCTTAGAGCATCGGCCTCGGCTCTCGCCATAGGATCATCTTTCATATCGGTATCTTCTTCAGTCTCGCCTTCTCGGTCTTGCGCCAGTTTCTTCCTGTGAAGTTCATCAGCAGTCTCCACTGCAGCCTTGTGCTCAGCTTGGATCTTCAGCGCTTCCTTTTCTTGTTGCTGCCTCTCAAACCATGTGTCTGCATCTGCCCAAACTGAACAAAGCAACAAAACCAAGAAGATTAGCTAAGCAACTAATCATATATATACAGAAATTCATACGATCAAGAAGCAAACGCTGCAAACAATTATAGACTCTAAACGTTTTGAATCATGAAACTTTTTGACATTACGAAGAAAGAAACAGCCTTTTGATTTGATGGTTTCCCAATTTTCAGAGATTGCCAAGAAAGTAGCAATGTAATAGACTTGAGCTAACTTCAAATCCGAGAATTAACAACAAAAAGGACAAATTCTTCAACTAATTTCAGAGCCTAACGCTAATTGCAAACCCTAATTTTGAAAAGTACCCAGCTCCAGACTCATTCCTAAACCTCAGCGAGCACGAATCGAAATCAACAATTGATCAAAATCACTAAATCTATGGCGAAATAAAACGATAAAGATAAGGAGGAATCGGAACGTACGTGGATGAGCGGCCCAGCCCTGTTCTCCACCCTTGATTTTCTCGGGGAGGGCATAATTGACGGTGAGGACGCGGCCGTAGAGCTCGGCACCATCCATGTTATCCATGGCGGCGGAAGCGTCTTCTCTCTCCAGAAAAGTGACGAATCCGAAGGATCTGTGCTTCTGATTGGCCAGGTCCAGCGGCGTCTTCACGTCCTTGATGTCGCCGAAAGGTATAAACGCGGCGTGAAGTATCGATTCGTTTACTTCGTCAGCTAAACCTCCTACATACAGAGTATTCTTCTGCATCGCCTGCTGCTGTTGAACGATGGCTGCCATTGTTGAGCCTCTTCTTCTTCTCTTCGAGTAGCTTCTCGGTCTCTCTCTCTCTCTCGCTGAGTGGGTTTTTCTTCTCAGGGAAACTGGAAAAGAAGACGACAACGACTTTTATTTTTGTTTTTTGGTTTAGAAAGAATGTTAAATCTCTGTGATACTAATGGGCCTTTCTTCTCCTCGGCCCAAGTATTTTTACACGTCTATTTTCGTTAATTATTATTTTTCCAGTGTTAAGACTACGTTAGATTTTGTTTTGAGAAACAAAAAAAAGCTTGTAACATTAGATGATCTTTTATGGGAATTTTGGTTGAATCAAGTTACCCTTAAAGCATTTTGTAGAATAAATTAAAAGGAAAACTTTAAAATTTAATAGATTTAAAAAATTGTTATAATAAATTAACAAGCATGAACATCATCACGTCCACATAGAAGCTCTCCGTTTAGTTTATCAACTGCTTGAAATGTTCCTCCTCCATTGCTCCTCTGTTGCCACACACCACGCAAAAGAAACAAAATTACTTGAAAACGTTCGACGATTTATTACTCCAGTTTGTATTAAGTAATAAAAATGTATACTATATTGTATATAACTTCACCTTGTAAAAGTTGACGGCGATGAAATTAGCCCATCGGTTTCCTGCGGCTACGTAACATGTCTTAATCGTATCGAGAAGATGTTGAGAGTTCTCCTCACAAGTCAAAATCTTAACCGGAACTGTCCTGAAATGGTTTACCAAAACCAAAGCTTTCGTTTTATCGGTTAACGGTGCAGATTCTCCTCTATTGCTACACTCCCCAGGCCTAACCCCATCGTCTCCATCTGACAATTAGTACCACATTGGGATTAATCGGTTATACTTATATCTAGAGCAACTACAATAAAAACCGGAATTTTGCTATCTCATCATCACACTCACATTGGTTTTCTACAACGTAATTCCATTGGTAAGCAATTCCTTCGGGTTGTTGCTTAGATTTATCTGAAGTGAAGACGATTAACCGCTGGTTATTGGCAACCATATCTTTAACCAACGGCCAATCTTGGCCACCGTTAGGCATATTCTGAACCGGAAACCAGAACTTCTTTAAACCGGAATCGGTGAAAACTTTGGTCAACGCGTTAGGTGATTTGACGTAATCCTCCAAAATTAATGTCACTATCTCTGATGGATTCGCTGTCAAGAACTTGAATATCTCCACGAATGTGTCTATTGCCTTATTCTGAAAAAGTGACAGAACAAAGCACATCATTTATACCGAAAATTGCAAATGTTAGGTTATTTATCTCGGTTTAGTTTTGGTTAGAGAGTAAACTTACAAACTTGGTGAACTCAAAGCATTGTTCGTCAAATGAATGGCATAACCACACATCTCCTTCGTAATCGTACGTATCCAACATCAATGCTCGAACACCACTCTGAAAAGTACATACACATTACAGTATAGAACAAAAATTAAGAAACACAAATAATTATTAATTATTAATTAACTACTTAGTACTTACATTAAGTTGTTGGGTTACAGAATCTTCTTGGGTCACCAAATTAAGCGCTTTTCCTTCAATTGCATATGAATTGTGGGTCGTCAAAAATGCGTATTTATTAAACGGCATCGAGTTGTTCTGTTGCAAAAATACATTATATTCATTAGCGCTTCATTATAAAAAGTTCTCGGTAGTTAGCTAGACCGTCAAGTCAAGAGTCGCCGATCAAACCTACCTTAATTACGACTACGACAAAAATACATTTGAAACGTGTATATAAGAAGAGTGATGAGATATGTTGAAAGAACTCTCGACACATTTACGTGGTACAACAACTCAAGTCGAACCAAACATAATATAACCTAGTACTAAAGAAAAGTATATTAATCTTTAACAAATAAGAAAAAGAAAAGTACAGTAGAACCTCTATAAAATAATATTCGATAAAGTAATACCTCGATAAATGAATAGAATTTTCAAGTCCTGAATTCAGTTTTTGGTGCAATTATCCCTCGATAAATTAATAATCTCGCTAAAGTAATAAAATATTATGGTCCCAACGTTATTACTTTATAGAGATTTTACTGTATATTCAATCAAAGGCGTTTATGACTTACCACAACGGAGAATTGATCTGTGATATTTGATCTAACGCATTTTGCAACATCAAGGCCGCATTTATAACAACCAAGTCCAGTTTTGCATTCCTCGTCCCTTGAGCATTGGTCGCCAAGCTGAATTTATGAAATGCCCTAAAATGTAACATACATGATAATATCCCTAACTATTCAAAAAAATGTGATTGTAGATTCCATTTGATATCCTCTTATGGAAATTCTGACTAATAGTCATAGTTGGTTATCGACTTATCGCAGAGTTTGCAGATTTCAGATGGCATCTTTGGATCTTAAGATTAATCTGTCTTTCGGTAACAATTGATAATTATTAATTTTAAGAAAATTAAAAAAAAAAAATTATTTGTGGCTTACCTGAGATGAGCCATTGGAAGAAGCAAAGGAGTCTGCTGCAAGATGAAACGTTACCAAAATAGTGACTGCAAGGAAGAATCTGAAACTGGCCATTGTTACTGACTTGTTGCTTTGACAAAGAGATCGAAAGACTTTCGTAGAAAAATGTTACTCTAACTCTGACAACTGAGCCCATTGAATTTAATCTTACAAGTTACAACGTTGGAGTCTTCTTGATTAGTGGTTGACTATGATTTAATAAAGAGAATCTATCTTTTTGGTATTTGTTCATGAAACTATTTTCCCTTTTTTCTCTTAAGATTATCTCTTTCCCTATGATTTAATAAAGATAATCTATCTTTTTGGTAACCCGTTCAATGTAATTAATATTTCTATATTGAAAATTAAATAAACGTATTGACTCACATTTAAAATTCATATTAAGATGGAAGTAAATCATGTTTGACTAGTTTTAAAATGTTGAAACTCAACAAAACATATGATGCAAATATCTTTTAACAAAATCTTTAATACTTTGGTCAAAACAAATCTGCAATACTTAATAACTTCTCTACTCTTAAAGAGGATTGAGAAGAAAAAAATCATATTTTATTTATAGAGATACACTTACTCTTAACTTCCTGTTCAGTTACATTTCTATTGATTGTCTTTAATATGTTACATATATATTATGTAGCAGATTCAGACAATATCAAGATTTTAATCAACTTATATTAATTCAGTTTAGCTATACAAGAATGAAGGATATTAACTATACATTAACATTCCATTCATTTTTTTTTTCACACCAGGTTAGCTAGGGCAAGAGTGTCAATGCCAATTTTGGGTCCATAGCCATTTTTATCTTTCATCTACAAACTTGAGTTAGGCCACACACATTAAATTTGACTTAAACATGAGTTAATTATAACACAACAACATTACAAGCCTACAAGCGTTCTTTATGAATATGCACGAACCTATGCACTGCATTCATCATAATGAGTTTACATTACAAGATTATATTTGGGACCATCTCTTATTTAGGGGTTTGATTTCGCAAACAAATCCAACTCAAAAAGATCCGATTCGGAACTTGAATCAGTAATCTCGCAGCCACCATTTACATCATCTATTCCTGCATTTCGATCTTTACACTCAACCTTCTGGTCCAACCAGATACTCTCACAAAACCTTATGTTCAAGTTCTTGGAATCCTTCACTTGTTTCTCATCAAAGCTTCTCCTCCGCGCGTTTAAACGCCACACGCCGGCACCCGGGATCGGGGAAGCACCTGCGGCTTGTGTGGTCACCACGACGCAGCTATTCCTCCTCCTCCTTTCTCCTCGTGGAGTCTCCACCTCTGGAGTGAGCTTTGACTTTGACTTCTTTAGACCCGCTGAACGAAGAAGAGAGTTCAAGAAACCGGCTAGCTTCCCACCACCACCACGTGTCATCTCCTTCTCATGCGGCTTCAGGACGACTCTGGTTACAGGGTGGACTCTGTTTTGTCGATGTTCAGTGGCAATGGTCTGCTTCTGAATCTGGATTCTTGAGTACGCGATCGTTGTTGATTCGTTGAAGTCGGAGAAATATTGAGTTGCTTCGAAGACGTCAAGTTCGCCAGAGACATTCCTCTTGCAGTGTGGTTTATGGATTGTCTCTTCCTTGGTTGAAGAATCCGACATTATTTCTTGAGTTCCAATATCTAAGTTTGTGTGTCTTTTTTGTTGTTGTTGTCGGATGGCGCGCCTGCTTTATAGAATGCATGGACTCGGTTAACTGAACCGAACCGGTCTAAACTTGGTTAATATCTTGGTTATTATCTTGTTGTTGATTGTTGAAATTGAAATTAGATGCTTTTACAATCAATAATAGTGAAGTGAAAGTCTTAGCGAATTAAACAGAAATATCTTATTATTACAAAGTATATAGTTTTACAGAATTTTGTGTTTATATCTAAGAAACATATGCTAAACAGTAAAAAGGATGAAACAGAAACAATATGGTTAAATCAAACGCCATGTTCTTACCCGTATTCAAACTTAGTAGTGTACGTATATCAGTTGTATAGACAAGAAAATACGCCACGAATAATAGATACACTATCTTGAATGAATGTTTCATATGTTTGTGAAATGTAATTCTCTAATACTTATCAATTATGAGTTCATGTGTGTGTTCGTGGGGATGCCACGTTATTATCCATAAATATGCACACCTTTTTGGGCTGTCATGCAAGTTCTCTAACCCTTTTATGGTCACAAAGGCAAAAGGTGATAAAGATAAGATGACCCATCTGATCAGTGATCAATGTGGTGGGAGAAATTTGTATGCTGATTAGATATATTATATTGGGTACCTAAAAATGTCGACGTCCTATAATCAAAATTTTCTATATCTTGAGAAATTCGAGTTGACAGTTTTATATACACACATGCATGTTCATTATACAACGTAAAATTTGGTAGTAATTTATTTTTAACTATAACCGGCCGGACTATATTACATTATACACCACAAAATCACTTATGTGAGAAAGAGTGTTAGTATTTTTATTTCCCTAGATTTTAGAATAAATGGATCTATTATTTAAGTGGATTTCACTGTGTCAACAATTACGTCAACAAACAACAAACATAAAATGGCCATAACTGAATAATCCAATGGTGTCCAAGTTCAAAGAAGAGAAGTCAAAACTATTAATGGAGAACATGAATAAGTGGTGTTGGATCACTTACTTTTTTTTTCTACTCTGAGTCTCTGACATTTCCCTCCAGTGTTTTCAAAAGAAGGAACAAGGTGGAACTTGTATGTTTGTGGATTCTTATCCTCAAATGAAATTTAAGTTGCCAGCGAAATAAATTTGGGATTGGTACAGAAGTACACAATATGATAGCAATATACAAATTTTGTATTCATAAAATCATAAATAATATAATACTCCTACATGTTTTCCCCCCAGTGGACAAGATCTAATATCTTACACATACCATTCAAATGCAACACATGAAACTACAACGAATTATTTAACTTATGTATATACAAATCTTGAAAATTCGAATTATAACTTTCTCAAGCTTTAAATATCGAAATCCAAACCAGTAATACTTCGGACAAGAATTAAAATTTTAAAAATAGTTCACGACGTCTTGTTTTGATGCTTTATTAGATGTCACGGTAATGTAAAACAAAAATCCCAATCAATTGAAAAATTGGAGATCAGTATTTAAATTTAATAATAAAAACAAAACAAATTTGACATCTAATAATCGTATAAAAATCGCCAGGAGACAAAATAATGCTTGATATATAGAGGAATATAGATTACCATATAAGGTACCAAATACAAATGGGCCAGTCGTTGTTGTCTAAATATCCAATGGTCTCTTGGTATATCCATTTTATCATTTCCCAAAACCTTCATGCCATTGATGGTCAATGGATCAGCATGTACTATATCTTCATAAGTTTTTCTCAAGACGTCGTGTTTCAGTGCTTCATATATTTGCGCTAATGTGAAAATAAAAAAACTTGGATAACACTTGTTATAATTAAAAAACCAACTTGACCTAAGACCATCTCCAACCCCTCATGCCATATGTTATTGCAAATGGCAAAAATATAGCAATAGCATTGGGTTTCTCTCCAACCCCTCATGCCATATATCATGCTATAATTTTTTTCCAACTTATTATTAATTGTTAAAACTACTTGATTTCTTCAAATTTTACAAAGTGAATCATTTGTTTTTCTTTTTTTGCAAAAACAACCAGAATTATATTTTTTATTTTTTTATTATTATAATATTAAAACAAAATACATCATATTACATAAAAATTATAGAAAACAAAGATTTTAACCTATTGTTTTATGTTTTTTGAATTTCAGTATTTTTAAAAATAAAATTTAAGTTTATTATGGTTATGTTTTTATATTTCTATGAAATAAATATTATTTATATTTTGAAAAAGTTATGAGTATTGTTTATTTATTTAAATAAATCATAATCAATATAATTAAACTGTTAAATTAAAAGTAATTACAAATTGAAGGACTATTTTATAAATAAAAAAGTTCAATGGCAAAATAGCATATTGCATAATCTCATGCCAAATATAGAAGCAAAAATAGCATGATGCTATTTTGCAATAGCATATGCAATTGGGTTGGAGCAAAAATTATGGCAAAATAGCATATATGTCATATTTAGCATGGGGTTGGAAATGCTTTAAATGAAGAAGAGATAACTTGAAATGAAGAAGAAAAACTTGAAACTTCTCGATAGTCTTAGAACTTTTGTTAGTTTTTTTTTTTGTTTACTTCGGGCATTTGTTGAAACAATCTTACTAAAGAAGTAGAGCCACTTTCATGTTATAAGAAAAATGTGTTAAAGGATCAACCTATGATCTATATCATCTAAAAGAATCGAATGAAAAAGTGTTTAGATAGTTGTTATTGTTATTTTTCTTCGTGCATCAGGTAATTGTCAATATATTTTGATTTTATCATAGTTAATTTAGTTATACTCCTAAAGCCACAATACTCTTAACTTTACAAAGAAGATGCGATCTCAAATTTTTCAAATTAAAAGAGTCCATGATTGTAGTCTGTAGAGGACAAACTTAAACTGAAACGCACATTATTAGATCGTTATATATTTTACTAACATGATAAGTTGTGTGTTAGAAGAGTCCATGATTATAACATTAATTAGGATCTTACCTACCCCGTTGCCTAAAATATAACACCAATAATGCTACGTATAAGTTATTAACATGAATATAATACAAATTGAAAAACACATTATTAGATTGTTATTAGTTTTATTCACATGATTACTTGCATGTTAGAAGAGTCCAAAATCATAACATTAAATAGTATCATATCTACCGCGTTGCCTAAATTTTTTTCGTATTCATTTTTTTTTTGTCGGCAATAAAGTTTCATTAAAAGTCCATAAAGGACAAATCCAGTACAATTTCAGATCCAACAACTCTATACTAAAATAAAGCCCAATAAAAAGCCCAATATACAAAATGATAAGGATACAGTAATTGCATATTGAACACGTGTCACAATAACGGGTTGACGGGTGACGGAAAACAAAACCGACTGCCGACTCCGCCGCCGTTGCCTAAAATATAATATCAATAATGCAACGAACTGGCTATAAAAAATTGCATTAAAAATAATTTACAGAAATAATGCAACGAACTGGCTATAAATTTCTTGTAACTAACCCGCCATAAAAATAGTAGAAAAACAAAAAGCCCAATGGATCAACAGAAGTTGAAGTTACGGACGAACTTGAGAGACGAAGAAGACTTAAGCGAAGAAACAAAGACTCTCATCTCTTCGCTTCCTTTAGAAGAAAGTTTCACAGGGAGAAAGCTTTGCAAGTACCAAGGATGTTGGTACATTCACCGCACTCTCCAAGGTGTCCTCAATGTGAAGACAAGTTTCGAGCCTCAAGACACCGACATCATCGTCGCTTCGTTTCCTAAATGCGGCACGACTTGGCTCAAGGCACTTACATTTGCACTCGTTCGTAGATCAAAACACCCTTTCAATGATCAACATCATCCTCTGCTCTCTAACAACCCACACAATCTTGTACCGTACCTTGAGTTAAATCTCTACTTCTTCAGCAAGAAACCAGACCTGACCGAGTTCTCATTGTCCCCGAGGATGTTCTCGACACACACGCCGTTTCACACCCTGCAAGAAGGTCTCAAAGATTCACCTTGTAAGATCGTGTATGTGTCTAGGAACGTGAAAGACACTTTGGTTTCATATTGGCATTTCGTTAGTACCAAGCAGAGGAAAGATGAAGTAAAGAAAAGCAGTCTCGAGGAAACGTTTGAGTCTTTTTGCAGCGGAGTCCTATTTTTGGGGCCTTTTTGGGACCACGTCCTAAGCTACTGGAGACGAAGCTTGGAAGATCCCAAGCATGTTCTTTTCATGAGGTACGAGGAGATGAAAGCAGAGCCTCGTGAGCAGATCAAGAGACTTGCAGAGTTCTTGGGTTGTCCTTTCAGTGAGGAAGAAGAAGAGAGCGGATCAGTGGATGGGATTATAGACCTTTGCTCTCTGCGTAATCTGAGCAGCTTGGAGATCAATAAGACTGGAAAAGTGGCTGGTGATAGAGATAACAAGGACTTTTTCGGTAAAGGAGAAGTCGGTGGTTGGAAGAATCACCTGACTCCTGAAATGGAGAACAAAATCGACACGATCATCCAGGAGAAACTTCATGGCTCCGGTTTGAATTTCTGAGTTATATATCAATGTTTTGTGCTTTTCTTTGATGCAGCATAATAAAAGTACTTCGTTGTTATGTTCCTTAGTAATGTTTTTTCAATTGTTATTTTGTTGTGTGTTCAAAATTAATATTTTCTCATTGAATGGACTTCACAAGTAGCAAAAAATATTTGACTTTCTACAAGTTCTGGATTTAGTATGTGAATTCTGTTGTTATAAGAAAAACCAATGCATCATATATCATAAACTTCACTCTAGTTGTAATTTGTGAAGAACATTTCATCTTTGTACGTGGTAGGTGATCTCCTACTCAATTTGGACATATATGTACATACACTAATTAAACATGTTTAATTTTGAACCTTCTCTTTAATTATTTTGGGGGAAATGGTGTTTGGTAATACAAACCAAAAACGGTTGGTGCACTATATCATTTGCAGTCGCACGTTAATTAAACATGTTCAATGTTGATGCTTTTTTATTATCATTTAATTTGGGGGAAATGGTGTTTGGTAATACAAACCAAAGACGTCTAGTTAAATACAAATATCCTTTGCAACTGCAAGATATTCTCTCAACCACCAATATTTGACATGATTTACTGTTGCATTTTACAAGAATCCAAAACCATTTGTATTGACATGTTCTTCTGATAATCTTCATCCTATGCTATCCGATAATCCTCATGGCTTAATATCTTTCTTGGAGGAGTTTTTATCTTAAAAGTACAAAACCTGACCTAACCAAGTTAGCTGCTATGGAGTATGGACCCTTCTGGGAACATGTATTGAGCTATTGAAGAGGAAGCTTGGAAGATCCCAACCACGTTCTTTTCATGAGACATGAGGTACGAGGAGTTGAAAGAAGACCCTCGTGAGAAAATCAAAACCTAGTCATGTTTCTACTCCTAGGAAACATGTTTCACCCAGTTTGGAGATTACTATAGCTTCTTCCGCAAAGGAGAAGAGTAGATGACTGAGAAAATGATCTCACTAGGGAAATGAAGAACAAGATCGATACGATCATTGAGGATAGACTTCAAGGTTCGGGTCTGATAACAAAATGAGTTCAAGATTGTTCCTTCTCTCAATCAGAAGAATCGAAAGCAAGATAGCGTCATCGTCACGTCTCCACGATACTGAGATCGTACGAACCTCATTGAGTCGACTATTATAACACTACACTGAAGTCGTAGATAATCAACTTCGTTCTCTCTGTTTCCTTAAATAATTGATATTTCCGGATTTGCTCTTCTAGATAACTAGGGGATTACCCACGCCTAATGCGTGGGATTGAGTAAACTTTAAAATTTTCATATTTAAAATAAATTATTATTGAATGGATATGTCATTTTAGAATAATGCGTGGAATTGTTTTGAAATAATGAATAGATATTTAGTTATTAATTTATGTGTATTATTATATGTAAGTTGTTTCCTATTTTCAAACACGCGAGATTGAATTAACTTTAATTTATTCACATCTTAAATAAATATTATTTGATGGATATGTCATTTTCTATATTGTATGTAGATTAAATACATGTTTTGTTTCTTTATCATTTCATATGAATATTTTTAACAAATAATAAGCATATTGGTTCCGTTGTTGATTAAGAATATTTTAATTTTTGTTTTTTATAATAATGGATGGATATTTAGTTATTTATTTACGTGTATTATTATATCTTAATTGTTTCACATTTTCAAAATACATTTGTTGTATGATTTGTATAAAAGATTATGATTTAATTAAATCTAAAAGACCTTTAGAAAAATTGCCAATAAAATTTAGTTAGGCAAACCTTTCTTAAAATTCATATTGAAAACCAAATAGCAATATCCACTACATATTGCACTCAAAATACTTGTCCAAAAAAACATTGTAGGTTTTAATGCAAAACATAGTTCTGCTAATTTTTTCACCAAAACATAAGTTTGTAAATATAACTTCGTTTCACATAACTTACTTACTGAAAACATTTATTTGTAATTAGACAATTCATATTTTGTGTTAAAAACTAATTAGTTGCTTATTTCCATTTATCATAAACATCATTGGTAAAATATGTTCCCGGTTAATTTGATTTGATTTTAACTGAAGTCAGTATTTATGCTTTTGATATGCCTTCTTCCATTGCCTTTTTCCAACAACTTTTGTGAGTTGAAAATATGATATTTATCGAGTCATACATAACAACTCCAAGTACATAAATCTGAATGAGGGATATAAGATATTGCTAGGTAGTGACTTTCCATCCTCGGTCTCGATTCCTTAAGATTTCATTTTATTTTATTTTAGAAAACTGAACTGAAAACTACTTGAACATCCATATTAATGCAAGTACTATTTAAAACACAAAAGAACGTATGGAAATAACAATAAAAATAAGAAAACTTCCATAAAACCATACGACCCAAAAAAACAAAAGACAAAACTATTTATTTTAGAAATTAACGGCACAAATAATCTTATAAGATATCAATTAGCAGACAACCAAAACAATTAAGATATCAAAGGATGACTTGTTTTAAGATCTTGATCCTCATATCTTGAGTCTCACGTGAAGGGTTAATTATAAGTAGAAAGCCAATCGTCAATCTCGAGATCATGGGAAGGACGTTTCCTAGCAACGTATGTAGTCACACGCTATAAATGAATGAAAGCAGTAACATGTTAGATTGTTAGGTCAGAGAAATATTTCACCGGGAAAATAAGAGAAATAAAAAAGATACATTTACTTGACATTTTTGTGTTATGCTCTCAATATCTCCGATTTGCTTTTCTGGCGTTTCCTCTGGTAAACGCCCACACCACCGTCTAGAGAATTTTAAAATGATACAAAAAAAAATATCAGAAAGAAAAATCTAGAATTCGTCTAGTGACATCTTCGACCAATTCAATTACGGATTAGATCTTTAATTTAGAATTTCTGAATTACGGATTCAATTACTCAACAAAAAGAAATCAGAAATAAAAAACAACAATATTTGCCTTCAATTTTGTTTGCGTGATCTGCTTCCCATGGCTGTCTTTCTGAGTAACATTAGTGACATCTTAATAAAGGGACCCAGAAAATCATATTAATAAAGATGAAGTTTAACTAAATATAAGAAAAATAAAGAAGAAATAATACTTACCGTCGTCTTTGCAATCAGTTTCTGAATCGATTTTGTCTACGACTTGAATCCATAGAAATAACAAAACTTCTGTTTATGTCAAACAAATAACAAAAATCTGAATCCATAGAAAACTATTGAGAGCGAAAGTTTTCTGATTCATTCTCTTTTATCCCCTAAAAAACCTAGCAAACTCTTTGATCGTGCTTTACAGTCTTCTTTTTGTTCAACTTTTTCCAAGCACCCTGCACAATCGAAGCAAAATATCAGTTATACATTAAAATTCAAATTACACAAACAAACTATAACAAATAAATCAAGAACACTCAAAACCAAAGTATTAAAACATCAAAAGAAAAAATGGCGATGAGTAAAATATGCTGGGAAGGTCAAACTATTTATAGTTGAATAATATTTAGGGTTTTCATTGATTTTAAGTCATTTTAGTTTTCAATCGGATATATTGAGATCATATACATAATATTTGTTTTCCTTTCTTTGGTGTACGAAACCGCGTTATCATTATAAAAAAAAAAGAAACTTAAAAAAAATTAACAAAGAATATCTACAAATCTGAATACAATCAAAAACATTGAATGTATATGCTTTAGAAAACAGAAAGACTAACACGAAGTTGTATTCAAAATTTTAAACAAATTTAACTTTATTATTATTGTTTAAAACTACAGCCCATTATTGAAGCCCAAGTCAAAAAATTTTAAATTCCTTTACAAAACGTCAACGTTTAGTTATACACGGATAAAACAATCTTGGTCCGGGTTTTTTAAACTCAGCTGGGCATTTTTTGGGATCCGCGTCCTTTTTATTTATTTTAACTAAATAATTCAAAAATGAGTCCAAAAAACTGTGGGCTAGCCACGTGAGCAAAAATGCATGGTCTTTAATATATTGTAGGATTAATTTCTTTTTCTTTGTTAGGCTTTCTTTTTCATCATGTCTTAATTGCGCTAGATTTTCTTAAATTAATAACGTCACGTACAGACTATTATTTGATGTATCTTTGGAAAAGTTCACTGCGGATCCCAAAAGGCTATTACAATTTTATCGAATTAATTTGGAATATTTGTTATGTGTAGGTGTATAAGAAAGTTTATAGACGACATAAAAAAAAGTTTATAAAATGAAAAAAGAAAACTGAAAACCCCGGTTCGGTTTGGTTGTATTTGTATTTTTGTTGACTTTTTCTCTGTAAGTTGACTTTTTATTTTTGTTCTCTTTAAAGTTTTGATCATGTGAATCAACAAAGAAGAGTCAAATCCACACGAAGATAGAAAGATACTAGAACTTGATGTTTCGTATATCCTTTTCTTTGTCTATGAGATTTTCTTTCTTCACTTTAAAAGGGGCTCTTTACTTTATCCGGGAAAGAAAAATCCACTCTTTTTCCTTCCCTTGAGAAAGTTTATATATTCCCAGAATAGTTCCATTTTTACGTTTCAGAAGAAAGAGAGAAGGGTACTTTGAGTTTGTACGGATATTTTGTTTTTTTATAGATCCATTGACTTCTGAGAAGGGTTCACAATTTTCTGAGAAATTTTTCATTTTTGTTTCTGGGGAACTGAAGAGGTAAGATTCTTGCTCTGATTAGAATTTTAGTACCATTGTTCTTGATCAAGTTTTGGTGATGACAAGAGGAAACTCTGTCGAGATTTTCTGTTTATGTTGCTTAGGTTGGTCTGCAACTAAATTCAAAAATTAAAGAACAACCAAGTTGTTTTTTTCTGGCTACAGATGTGCCTAAATGAAATGCAGAGATCGTGTGATTACTAAATTTAATAGACATTTCAAACATTAGCTTGATAAATCATGGGTTTGATTCTAAAATCAGTATCATTTTGTATTTAATCATAGTCATTTTCTTTTCAATAACTAAAGTTGTAAAGTGGAAATGATGGTTGTTGATTGCATCTTTTACTTTCTTAACAAATGGTGCAGACTCATCATTTGTTAGGTCTTTAGGTCATTAGTGTGTGAAATAGCTTTTGTATCTTTCACTCAAATGATTTTCCACTATAGAACTTATTTTTTTGCTCTATGTTTCTCGTCAACGAATCACTATAAACTTGGGAAGAGAATAGACTTAACCTGATCTCATTGTTATCTTTTACAGAGCAGAGGCTATATTATCTTCAAGCAGCAGCCACTATGAATGATCAACAAGGTCAACGAAACGAATTGTTTATGGACAAGAACGTTATGGCTTGCGAGGTACCTGAGATCATAGTTTGCGACTACAAAGAGCTAACTTATAACGTCGTCAAGGATATATGTGTCGATGAGGATTCAGCCAAAGTAAATGTGAATCCTTTGGAATCCAAATCCTCAGAAGAAAGCAAGCTTGAAGAAAGTGTTGACACTAAAGATTCTTGCAAACTCTATCAAGATAATTTGATTGTGACTGGACAAGACTCTGGTTGCGAGAAATCGCCCCTGAGTGATGCAGTAGCTACATCAGTAAGTGTATCTAAAGAAGCTTTTACCTTGGGAGATATTATATCAATGGAGGAATCGCAAAACCGTCCTAGAAACAACATTGATGGACGTGAAGAAAGTGCAACAAAAGAGGCGAAAACAGAGGAACCAAAAGCAGACAGCTTGAGATACATTTCCTCTGAAATGGCAGAACCAAAGAATCCATTACTAAACGATGTGCTCGAGGACTCTGATGATCACCAACATCTCTTCTCAGGCAATCTCCAAAACGGTTCCGTGGAAAGTATTTTCTCTGAAGAAGAGTCAGGTTTTACTCATATAACTTACTCTGGACCCATCTCAGTCTCCGGAAGCATCTCTGTTCGATCTGATGGAAGCACAGTCAGCTCAAGATCCTTTGCTTTCCCAATGTATGATAATACATACATACACTCACATGCATACATATCAACTAATTATCTGTAAATTCTATAAACATGTTGTTGAAAACTCTGTTTACAGATTGGAATCGGAATGGAACAGCAGTCCTGTAAGAATGGTGAAAGCTGAGAAGAGACCTATTCGGAAGAAGAAAGGATGGAGACATTACTCTCTTCTTCTCTGTTGTAGATTCTGATGAACTCTGCCTCAATATACAGATCGAGAGTGCTTTTTTCAATAAATTTTAGTAAATATTCTTTGTAGGTTTCATAGTGGGTTTTGAGGTTTGGGTGTGGTTTTTTTCCCAGTTTCATGTGTTGCTTCAGTCGCAAGCTATCCACTGTTGATTCCTATTTTCCTTCAAACTGAGGTTATATGGGCTTTTTACATGTCAAGGCCCATTTGGTTGCAACTTGTTATGTCACACTCGTCAGCAAGTCGGTCACGTTACCACGTCATCACTTCAATCCCTTTCAATCACAACGGTGTACTTCTCAGCAATCGCCACGTATCTTGTACCGATCGAACGGCTTAGATCTCATTTGGATCTGTATATCGGACGGCTCAAGAGACAAAAACTAATAAAGAATTTAAAATATAAAGCTGACGTGTCACTGACTTTAATGATTTAACAGCCATAGTTTTTGAGTTAAAACGCGTCCTTGAGAGAAGAAGCAGCGAGAGGAGAGACGAGAGAGATAAGAAGAGTGACAGAAGAAGAAGGAGGCGGCTAAAATTGATCAGTGACTCACTGAGTCGGATTTTTTTTAGCGATTCATTGCCTCCATTGAAGCGCCTCTTCTCAGATTTATCTCGCTTTCTCCCGCCACGATGCTGATGAATTGACTGAAAATCGCACAGGCTTCTCTCAGATCTTTGTTTCAGGTGCGTTTTCCTCTACAAATTGTTTATTACGTTTTTGTCTACCGTTCTCGGAAATGTTTGTTCACCTATATACGCAGAAAGTACCTTTGTCTTGATTTTGATTTCAATTCGTTCGGTTCTTCGATTTAGCTAGAACAATGGAGTAAACTTTGGCAAGTTTCTGGAATCAGTTGCTGAAATAGATAATTTAAATTTTCCTGGAGAATCAATATGTAAACGGTAGTGAAAATGCTTCAAATGAGTGGAGAAGGAAGATATTTCCTAATTCCAAGTATTGTTTTTAGAATCTGTGCATAGATTAGCTTTATTTAAACTGTATAAGATAATGAAATCTTCCAGATGATCTTTATGCAGATTTTGAATCTTCTTCTCCGGTACCAACTATAAGGCAAAGCTTTAGCTGATGTAGTGGCAGGACAAAATTCATTTCAGCCTTGTTGAGCTTGTGCTGGTTTCTAGACTCTGAAAGATGGCAATGGCGGTGTTTAAGTCTCCGCTTAAAGGGGAGTTTCATGGGGATATAAAGAAAATGGAAGGGAAGCATTATAAGCAGATGAATCATCTGCTTCAGAAGCAGTTTTCTTCAGGACGGAGACGTGTTTTCGTGCAAACAGAAACTGGCTGTGTGTTGGGAGTTGAGTTGGACCGTAATGACAATGTACACACAGTGAAAAGAAGGCTTCAGGTTGCGTTTAACTTCCCTACAGATGAAAGCTCCTTGACCTTTGGGGATATGGTGCTGAAGAACGATGACTTGAGTGCCTTGAGGAATGATTCTCCGCTTCTCTTAAAGCGTAACTTGATGCATAGAAGCTCGTCTACTCCTTGTCTTTCACCTAATGGGAATGATCTTCAGAGGAAAGACCTGAGTGGTCCTATTGAGATACTTAGTCATTCGAGTTGCTTTTTGTCCTTGAAGGAAACTGCTAAGGACATTGTTGAGGCGATGAAGTTAGGTGTTGAGCCAGTCCTTGTCAATGGTGGTCTCGGAGGAGCGTACTATTTTAAGGATGGTAAAGGTCAAAGCGTTGCGATTGTTAAGCCAACAGATGAAGAACCGTTTGCTCCTAACAATCCTAAAGGCTTTATAGGGAGGTCGCTTGGTGAGCCTGGTTTGAAGCCTTCTGTGAGAGTTGGAGAAACAGGGTTTAGAGAAGTTGCTGCGTATCTTCTTGACTATGATCACTTTGCTAATGTTCCTCCCACGGCTCTTGTGAAGATAACTCACTCTGTCTTCAATGTCAACGATGGAGTGAACGGGAACAAGAGGAAGGTGGTGAGCAGCAAGATTGCTTCCTTTCAGAAGTTTGTGGCGCATGATTTCGATGCCAGTGATCACGGGACTTCGAGCTTCCCTGTGGCTTCCGTGCACCGTATTGGGATATTGGACGTAAGGATTCTCAACACAGACCGGCATGGTGGAAACCTTCTGGTGAAGAAGCTTGATGTTGATGATGGTGTTGTTGGGAGGTTTGGTCAAGTGGAGCTTATTCCTATAGATCACGGTCTCTGCTTGCCGGAAACTTTGGAAGATCCTTACTTTGAGTGGATTCATTGGCCTCAGTCTTCGATACCTTTTTCTGAAGAAGAGCTTGACTACATACAGAATCTTGATCCAGTGAAGGACTGTGACATGCTTCGAAGAGAGCTTCCGATGATTCGAGAGGCATGTCTCAGGGTTTTGGTTCTGTGTACTGTTTTCCTCAAAGAAGCTGCTTCTTTTGGGCTTTGTCTTGCAGAGATTGGTGAGATGATGACTCGAGATTTCCGAGGAGGAGAAGAAGAGCCGAGTGAGCTAGAAACGGTGTGTATTGAAGCCAAGAGATTAGCCGCAGAGCAAGAATGTTTATCTCCGATATCGGATTTAGAAGGAGAGACAGAGTTTCAGTTTGATCTCGACTATGATGACCTAGAATCGGTTTATGACTCCAAGACACAAACCGATGTGAGTACATTTGCCAAGAACCCGTTTTCAAACGCACGTTCTTCACTTGGAAAGCTAGAAGGCAGCAGCATTACGGAGGAAGAAGAGGCGAGACTTGCTCGATCTCTATCAAAGCTTTCAATGTCAGTGAAGAAGAACAATGTAAGCAGCAACATGGGATCTAACTTCTCAAAGCCTCCTAGAGACAGAGCCGAGAAGCCGTTGTCAAGTCACAAGAGCGCGAACGTGCAGCTCCCGGTTGGTGCGAACTTTGTTAAGTTGACGGACATGAAGGAAGTCGAGTGGGTTGTGTTCTTGGAGAAGGTTCAGGAGTTGCTTGAGTCGGTGTTTGCAGAACGTAAGAGCATGGCGTTGTTGAATAGACAGAGACTTGGTACATCGTGCCAGTTTTGAGAACATACAAGTAAAAGAAAGAGTTCATATAATAGATAGACCATGGAGTTTACTGTTTAGGGTTTGGAAGTAATAATTTGTTAGCTACGTTACGACTAGTTTACTTGTGTGATGACAGTAAACACTTGCAATGAAATGCTCTTTGTTTTTTGACTTTTTCTAACCTGATCTGTTAATATTTGAACATATTTATTAAAAATGTCTTTTACTGTCATGCATTCTTTTTTCTTTCGATGGTTTCTTGCCTTGTCTTTTACAAGCAGTTCAAGTAACGTTTGTAGTTGTGTTAAAACAAGTATAGTTTTGTTAAGAAAGTCAAATCCAAACAAAACCGAAAACAAATCAAACTGAGTCCAAACAAAGTTTGATCTCAAATCAAACCACGGATTTTGTTTTTAAAGGATTAAAAACCAAAAGTACTTAAATTGAAATACAAGGAAGCTAGATTTGGAACATATTTAAAACAGTTTAAACCGAAAACTGAATTAGACTCTCTCTCCAAATTTCACATATGCCTCCATGGTCTCTCAGCTAGGCTCACACAGTCACCATGTCTAAAGCAATCAACGAGATGATCGATTGTTAATCCTGCAGCTTGCATGAACGAGTGTACGATCACTGGACCAACGAATCGAAACCCACGTTTGATCATATCTCTGCTAATTATCTCAGCCTTGGGAGATCTCAATGGTACATTTCTTGAATACTTGAATTTGTTGATGATCGGTTTGTAATCCATAAAGCCCCATACGAAGCTGCTGAATGATCCAAATTCCTTGACTACCTGCAAAATATAGTTTTCTTTGGCTTTAATATAAGAACATACAAGAAACTATAAGAGGTAGTAAAATAGTAAAATGTGTGAAAAAGTTAAAACTTGCCTTGACTATGCATTTGGCATTGTCAACTATACACCTGACTCTGCTTTCTTGCAACATTATTGCTTTGTTTGAAGCAATCTCTGTGATCTCTTTCTCCCCCATTTTGGCCACCAGATTTGGGTCAAACTCACAAAATGCCTCTCTAGTTTCACAAATTGTAAAAACACATAAAAATATTATTTACATGTACTCCATGTAACAAAGCATGAAATATTGGTGAGAAACTTTACCTAAAGAGTTCTTTACGCTTTAAGATCTCGGTCCAGTTATAGTCCATTAACATCCCCGACATGGCAAGGAACTCAAAAAGCAACCTGTTTTAATTATTAATGACCATGCAGAAATTAATTAATTTCCTTTCTACAATGAACTTACAGTTAAACTATAAGCATAGTATTAACAATATAATAGATTTACTTATTTACATACGAAATTAATCTCAGAAATTGTGGAAGCTGTAATCATACTTATCATCATAGACAGGGACTCCCCATTGCTGATCATGAAACGTTACGTAGACTTCATCTACAAAGAAAAAACCCCTCATAATGATCATAACGGACTATGATTTGGTTTAATCACAATGCTTCTCTAATTAACTATCTTAGAGATCTCCTAGTGATCTTATTCTTACCACTTTTCTTGGTGATCCAGTTACACCTTTTTGGTTCACTATCTAACTCCTGATGTAGCTGTTGTTCTTGTTGCTGCGGGATACTTTTTGGAACAAATGTTTCTCTTCTGCGTGGAGATGAGATCAACCCGAGTGCTAGAGAGATTCTTTGTTCCAACGTGGAAGTTGAATCCGTGGCAAAAGAATCGGTCGAGTTTTGAGAGAGCGAAAGAGATATAGAATTGAGTGAGAAAGAAGAAGAAGTACTACGTTGAAGCGTGATCGGATAGATCCTCTTTATGTGTTTCGTAAAGAAATTTGAGTTTTGCTTAGTCTCTTTCTCTCTTACACTCTTGCTCTTCTCCAAATTTACACCTCTTCTAGGACTTGCTTTGTACATCTTTTGATTTTGAAGTAATTCACAACAAAGAATAGTCACAGGTACTTATAGGAGAGCAATGCACCATAAAATGGAGGTTTTAAGTTAATAAGCTAGATGGAAGTAACTACACCTAAGTTGGTGAAATGTGGATTTCATGAACCGTATTTGAATACTTTCTTCATTGGTATAATACTACATGAATAAAAAGAAACGGCAAGTTTCATAAAAAAGTATTATATAGTGAGACTTATTTAAATTGAAAAAGACATACCACGATTTTGAATTTATTTAAGTTGTTATAGATCTAATGCATGTATCAAGAAAGGTGACATATAACCAAGATGGTGAGACGATCCATCTCATTACCTTTTTTAATCCACCCACTTTGAATATTTAATTTTGTTGGAGTTCTCTTTTTGTACTTGATTTGTGGTGAAAACTAATGTCGGAGTATGATGCCGTTGGACTAAAACCACACTAGTGTAGTTCGCTCACTCGCTAATTATGAAAAAGTGATTATTGATATGTTACTCGGTGAATTAAATAATTGTAAAACAGATTAGTCTTAGCTTCTACTCTTTGCTGATGCATGAAGCATGATGATTTTTAAGAGAGATTAACGTTTCGCCTGTTTTAGACAAAGAACTCTCATCTTTTCTTTATGTATATACCTTTTTTCTTCACGACGTACGTGTGTTAAGTTTTTTCTTGATACAATCTCGTTTAAAATGCATGATGGTGCTGCGTATTTACATGTGGTAGGTGATAATTGAACCGGATCATACCATGTCCTTTAACCGGCAGGAAAGTAAACCGGGACGGAGATTTGATCCGGTTAATTAAAAGGTTTAATTAATTGAATCATAAACCCAAGAAGCAGGCGTAAAACCCTTTTCCTCTCCGTCTTCCCTCCAAACTCGCCGGAAAAACCAAATTATTTCTCCGACGACCTTGAATTAGCAACCCATTTCTCAAATTCGCTTAATTTTCTCTCGAAACGACAACGGTCTCTGCGAAATTCTCCAACTGGCAAGCCTTAATCCCCAAATTCCATGATCTGTAGATGGATTGTACTCAATTCAAGCAAAGTGTCTCGTATTCTCTCTCCTTTCTCTTCCCTCTTATCCTCTAAATCATCCTTCTCCGTCGCGAAACTCGACGATGAGCCAAATACCTCAACCAATTTCTCATCCGATCATAGAGATTGCTTCGATCAGGAGATTCTCTTCGACATGAAGAATTTAGGGTTCCGAGAGTACCTCCACGGCCAACACTTTCGAGGCTTGGTTTCCGATTTGAGGCAAACTCACGTCGAAGACGTAATGGGTGAATTGATGGCTGAAAGCCCAGATCTTTCAGTTTGGTTTTTCAAAGAGCTGATAGATGTTTATGGGTTTCGCCATTCGAGGTTTTCCACATTGCTGGTTTCCCACATTTTAGCCGCTCAAAGACGTTTCAATGAGCTCCAAGTGATTCTCCAACATCTTCTCCAAGAAGAAGGCAAGTCTTCTCTCTCTCTTTTATAGAGACAATCGTTATATGACTCAGTTTCACTGAAAGCTTAGAGCTTTGGCTAAAGTAGATGCGGATCAATAGATAAAAGATGGGAATTTGATTCCGTTTTATACTTTAGATTTCGTTTCCTGAAGTTGATTTATTGCATTCTTATAGGCTCTGGCTCAGCTTACTTGCTATGCGAGCTTCTCTCTAGTAGCTTCAGAGAGTGGGACTCTACAGGACTAGTTTGGGATATGTTGTTGTTTCTTACGTCGAGGTCTAAAATGGTTGATGACTCCCTCTATATCCTGGAAAAGATGAAGGATCTGAAACTGAATGTGTCGACACAAGCATACAACTCTATCTTGTATAACTTTAGACAGACAGATAAGTTGTGGGATATGTACAGAGAAATCGATGCCAAGAACGAGCATACATACTCAACGGTTGTAGATGGATTGTGTAGGCAACAAAGGGTAGAAGATGCAGTTTTGTTCCTCCGGGATTGTGAGTGGGAAGATGTTGGGCCTTCTGTAGTTTCTTTCAATAGTATAATGTCAAGTTACTGTAAATTGGGTTTGGTAGATACTGCAAAGTCGTTCTTCTGTACAGTTTTGAAATGTGGGTTAGTTCCTAGTGTATATAGTCACAACATACTCATCAATGGACTCTGTGTGGCTGGCTCTATCGGAGAAGCTTTAGAATTGGCTGGTCACATGAGTCAGCGTGGAGTGGAGCCTGATACTGTGACATACAACATTCTTGCGAAAGGGTTTCATCTCCTCGGTATGATCAGTTCGGTTTGGGAGGTTATTCAAGAAATGGTGGATAGAGGTTTGAGTCCTGACGTCATTACATACACGATATTGCTATGCGGGTATTGTCAGTTGGGAAACATTGACAAGAGTTTGAGATTGCTGAAGGATATCTTGTCGAGGGGATTGGAGTTGAGCAGTGTCATCCCTTGCAGTGTGATGCTCAGTGGTTTATGTAAAACAGGACGGATCGATGAAGCTTTGTCGCTGTTCTATGAAATGAAAGCCAACGGTCTCAGGCCTGATCTTGTGGCGTATTCCATTGTGATTCATGGACTCTGCAGGTTAGGAGAGTTTGATATGGCTGTTTGGCTTTACGACGAGATGTGTAACAAAAGAATCCATCCGAATTCGAGGACGCGTGGTGCTATGTTGCTTGGTTTGTGTCAGAAAGGGATGCTACTTGAGGCAAGAGCGTTTCTTGATTCTCTGGTTTCAACTGGCTCCACTCTGGATATCATTCTGTACAATATCGTCATTGACGGGTATGCAAAGTCTGGTTGCATTGAGGAGGCTTTGGAGCTGTTCAAGGTAGTGACTGAGAGTGGTGTAACTCCTACTGTTGCGACTTTCAATTCTTTGATTTACGGTTACTGCAAGATCCGGAACATAGGTGAGGCTAGGAAGATCTTGGATGGCATCAAGCTATATGGACTGGTTCCAAGCGCTGTGAGTTATACAACTCTGATGAATGCTTACGCTAACTGTGGAAACACTGAGAGAGTAGATGATTTGCGAAGGGAAATGAAAGCAGAAGGAATCTCACCAACCGATTTCACCTACTCGGTGATGATTAAAGGACTTTGCGTAGCCGGGAAGCTTGAGAAATGCGAGGAGGTACTCAGGGACATGAGTGATGAAGGTAAAACTCCAGATCAGATCACTTACAATACAGTTATTCAGTATCAATGCAGTGTTAAGGATTTATCCAAAGCATTTGAGTTATTTGAAGAAATGAAACTTCGAAATCTTGATCCTACGCCTGCAACTTATAATATTCTAATGGACGGCCTCTGTTTGTACGGTTACATAGAGGATGCTGACAGGTTTCTCTGTTCGCTTCAGGAGCAGGGTGTAGATTTGTCTAAGTTTGCTTATACCACATTGATCAAGGCACACTGCGTAAAAGGTGACCCTGAAATGGCAGTGAAGCACTTTCTTCAGCTTCTAGACAGAGGATTCGATGTTACAATCAGGGATTACAGTGCGGTGATCAATCGTCTGTGTAGGAGACGATTGGCAAACGAGGCTAAATTCTTCTTCTCTCTAATGTTGTCTCGTGGTATATCGCCTGACTTGGACATTTGCAGAGTGATGATTAAGTCATCAGATGTGGCTGCCTGGATATTCAAATCGGGTTTGTTGCCTGATTAGTAATCAGCAGAAGTTGTCTCTGTTCTTGTCTCATCTTATCTGCTAGCTAGAGAACTCTAATATACAAATGTATAGAAGGAAACATATCATTTAGATAACACAACTTGGTTATACATACCACATTTCTATATATCATTGGAAACGATGTTACAAGCACAAGGCTCACAGTTACCCATATATATGTATTTTAATATCTTTATATAGTGATATTGATTAAGAAGGAGCATTGTTTTTTTCGAATCTCTATATATGAAAATACAGTAGAATTTAGTCAGTTGTTCTTGGGAGGATGGTGCCTTGGCTTCCAGTAATCAGCAGTGTAGGCAACGAGATCATCTTCGTCCTCAACACTTGACTCTTTCTTTGTTGGCTTTTTCGAATTCATCACCATCTTTGTCGTTTCCTTGCTAAACTCTTCTCCACTTCTTCCACGTACTTGCACTTTCTGCATCGCATCACCATCATGCTTCATCACCTGCTTTAAATCAACAACATCATGTGTATATAACTTGAGTCATTCATGAATTGAGCAAAATTTGAGGTGGAAACTCAAACTAATATATAAGGGATGCAATCGTTATGTGAACAATTCATGATCGTAAAAGAACAACAAAAGTAGACACTTGGGACGTGTATACCTTTGCATTCGAAACGACGTCAACACTTGATTTTTCATTCTTATCTCCTGATGAAAAATATTGACATAAAAATATTAGCTGCGTTATACCTTAAACAATTATATAAATCATGCATGCATTTCATGCAAAATGGAAAAAAATAAATAGTTGATAGAAATTTAAGGAAGAAAACCAATCAGAATGTCAAAGAGAGAGAGAGAGAGAGAGTGTGTTAAACCATGAAGGGAATGTCCAAAGGAGAGGCAGAACAAAAGGAGTATCAACAAACATAGAAAGCTCGAAGTAATGGTCATCTCTTCTTTCTTCTCTTGCTTACGAAAATGTTATCAAAAGAGAGTTATGCGATCAAATAAAGCAAGGATGATGATTGATGAAGACTGGAAGAAGGCTAACTAGTGTTTATATAGGAGATCTAAGGATGAAAACTCAAGAGAATGTCATAGATTATCTAATTTTCATTTTACCAAAAGCCATGTGTCTCTATTGGGAACCTGCCATAGACGTTGGGACGTGCGTAAATTCCCAACAAATGTAGAAACTGTAAATTGTAACATGAGGATCCAAGTTCACACTTCACAGGCAGTTATCACTATATGAGACTCTTCCAACCATGTTAAGTGAATTCAACCAACTATTTTATGATCTCAGTTTAATTTTCACATTATTTTATGATCTCAATTTACTTATCTCACAAGTACACGAAGTATGAAAGTGAAAAGGCAATAATTTACGTTGGGAATGGCCCAAATACATCGAATAAGGAGAAGAAACATAACGTTGAATGAAATTTACAGATTTGCGTGTTTTGTGTTTGTCTCTTGCTAGAGATTTTTATTTATTCAAGAACAAAGGAAACTGAACTTCCATAATTCTAGTCTTGAAAAAAAAAAGAATTTGTTGTTGTGGTATGTAATGTAACCTATGGTCTATATAATTTCCATAATTGGAAAATGTGTAGCTTTGTTAGTATCAATATTTTGTATGCTTTTTCTCCCACAATTTCACCAAAATTTAAGTACATAATTGCTTTACCCGATCAGAATTTTTATTTTATTTTCTAAAAAAGTACCATTACTGTATCATCTGGATTAAATTTAATTAAGTTTTAGTGTGTGAGCTGTAAAAATTTGGTAATATTTCATTTAAAAACTTAATATTGATAAAAACGACTTATCTTCGTATATATCAACCTCTTATATAATTCTACATATTCTAAAACGATTTTCTTAGTTAATATGAAAGTTATTAGGTTCAGTTTGCTATGCAATGTATGTAACAATATAATTGAAGCTCTGAAAATCCGTAATCATCATCATCGTTCGTGATGTAATGCAGAAAAGTGTAAAAATACGTCTCACTATGTATTTATGTATCGTACTAATCACCCACCTCAGTCCACTACCACTTTTCACCTTACCATTTGGCATTTGGTTCATGCACTTTCAGGCAAATCAAAGCCTAACTAAAATATTGGTTTAGTTAGTTGGGCCTGTGGTCTAAGCCCATTGGCATGCGTCTACATCTTGTCGACCGGCTCTAAAATCTGTGATATCATGTTATATTAAAGACACTTGAATTTCGACTGATTGACAATCAAATCATGAATTAGAGGGACTTATCATGTCGTCAAGTATGCAATAATGCTAATCAGCAAAATTTGAATTCATACTCGTTAAGTCGAAAAAGGTATTGCTCGTGTAAGTCCAAAAGAAAGACTGATGTGAAATTTCCTCCAGTAATGATGATATTAAGCTTTATGTTCCTTTAAACGAATAGATTACAAATTAAGTTAAGACTCTTTTATTCTCCACTACACATCACTGTTTCCCTTTATTAGGTTTAATTTTTCTATTCCTTCTTTAACTAATTATTAATCTCTACCGAAGTAGCATCTAGAAGACTAGAACAATGATCAGTATGTGGTCGTGTGTATCCTCCTCATACATATCCATATATCATTGTCATTTGTCTTTAGTTTATACTTTATACTGATGACATTCTTTTTGCTTTTTTACGAATTTTAAACGTCATTCTGAAGAATGCGAATTTTGATTACATAATTAAGGAAACTAATATATTGTGTTAAGCCTTTTTGTGATTAAAAAATATTGTGTCAAGCCTTAATCTTAGGTAGCCATAAATAATTAGATAGACCCTGTTTATAAAAACGGAAAGAAGAGCATTAAAAAGGGAAAACTTTAGCAACCATCTCTATCTATATTAATTAAAGAAACAATATCAATAACACCCATCATTATTGCATTAGCCAATCTTTTATTCTTACTCTAGTCTCTCGGATCTCTCCACAAGCAAAAAAAAGAAGAGAGATAAGATTCTTGAGTGAAAATGGGAACAGCGACGTCGACGATGGCGGCGAAGTTGGCATTCTTCCCACCAAGTCCGCCGTCGTACACGGTGGTGACGGAGGAATCGACGGGGAAGATGAGGATATCGACGGAGATGATGCGTCACCGGAGAGATGAGGAAATCGAAGTGGTGAAGATAAAGACAAGAAGAGGGAATGAGATCGTGGCAATGTATGTGAAGAATCCACTGGCTAAACTCACGGTTTTGTATTCTCACGGCAACGCAGCCGATTTAGGTCACATGTTCCTCATTTACAACGAACTAAGTCATCATCTCAATATCAATCTCATGGGGTTAGTTTATCTATATACGCATGCTATCTAACTAATAATTCTATCGGAAACTGAATATATGATACATTGTTTTATGTTTATTTTGACATTTTTGGGTTTCAAGCTATCTTCCATCATTCTTGTATGAAAGAGATAAGATTTTATTCAGTTTAACAAAATTATGGTAGTTCTTCTTTTTTAACATGTCGACAAAAAATGTGATGGTAATTGACAAAATCATTATGTTTGATATAAATAAGCATTTTTAATACCGGAAAAAAAAATCACATAATTTCGTCAAATTACGTAGCTCATGAAACAAGAGAATTAAAAAAAAAACGGATGGATATATTTTTTTTAAATACACAACAAACATCTACTGTACAAGTTTGACTACAGAACCGACCGAGTTTTACATAAATAATACAGCTGTACTTGTTTTTATAAAAATATAATGTATGATTTTGTGTGATAATAATTTTTTTTTTTTTTTTTTGTGATAATAATTGCAGATACGATTACTCAGGATATGGGCAATCCTCTGGTAAGGTAAGTCCTATATTCCCAGTTTTTAATATTACAAATTTACATTTGCTATTGCTATAATGGGGATTGATTTGGATTTGTAATGTTGAAAGCCGAGCGAGCAAGAGACGTACGCAGACATAGAAGCAGTTTACGATTGGCTAAGAGAGACGTACGGTACAAAAGATGAACGTATCATTTTGTACGGTCAATCCGTGGGAAGTGGACCGTCGCTTGAGCTTGCTTCTCGTCTTCCACGTGTCAGAGCACTTGTTCTTCACAGTCCTTTCTTGTCCGGTCTACGTGTCATGTACGCTGTCAAGCACTCCTTCTGGTTCGACATCTTCAAGGTTTGTTCTTTAATTTAACTATTAATGCGAAGATCTCAGCATTGTTCATCTCAAACCTCTAATCAAGTATCTAGATTTTGGGTAGACTGATAAGAGTTTTGATGATATTACAGAATATTGACAAAATTCAACTCGTGGAGTGTCCCGTTCTTGTGATTCACGTAAGTGTATTTTTCTCATAACACTATAGACTATATATATGAAAGAGTATAGATGAAATTATAATAACAACTAGGTCGTTCTACTTTGCGTGCTATGCAGGGAACAGATGACAAAGTGGTGGATATTTCACATGGGAAACAGTTATGGGAACTATGCAAAGAAAAATATGAACCCTTATGGCTTAAAGGAGGAAGCCATTGTAATCTTGAGATGTTCCCTGAGTACTTACCTCACTTAAGAAAGTTCATATCAGCCATTGAGAAGCTTCCTGTTCCAACATTCCGACGCCATTCATCAGTGACTGAGAATGACCACAAGAAACAAATGGATTCAACTAAGACTAGTACTAGTAGCCGGATTGGATCTAGGCATAGCACAGAATGTGTTAGTTCTAGAGACAAATCAAGAAAGATTAGTACCGGTCGTCGGTTTGAAAAGGCGAGAAACAGCACGGATAGCTTCGATCGGGCCAGGAATAGCTTCGACAGGTTAGTACTTAGTACTAAAACCATTATATCGTCAGTCTTGTAATTTCTAAGTCTATGTGTATATAATGTTATAATATATGCGATCTTCTTAACCTTATAAAAATCTGGTTGTAGGTTGGGTGAAATGGTGAGATCTGTTCGGTTGTGTAATATTGATTGTGTGAAGAGTTCAGTTACAGAAGTCTGAAGATTGTTGTCTGAAAGAAACCAATTATTGTTTATTTTTTATATTGGGCTCGTTGGTTTGATTCTTTGGAAAAGATAAAACCTCTTTTATCTCCATTTTAATTTCTTAAAATCGTATGCATGTTCATAATTTTTATTTGATATGAATCATATGATGTAGTGATCCAATAAAAATTAATTCTCACATTTTTTTAATTCTAACTTATTTCTTCTCGTTGATATTATTAGGGTTAAGTTAATTGGGCTTTATTTATTTGGGCTTCTCTACTATGTGCTCTTGCCGGTTCATGTTCGTTAATTGTCGGTCTGGTCTCTTCATTGGAGGTGACACGTCAGCGCCACGTAAGCTATGAGACAAAACAGAGCGTGTGTACGGCTGGGACAACCCACGACGAACACAAGTTTCTAAAATCCAAAGTCTACGCCACTGAAATAGATTTCGTCAAACTGAGAAGATGTTCTGTTGCAAAGTACTCGCTGAAGTGTATATAAAGAAACCCTAAAAGCTCGCAAACTCTACACTAGATCAAAAAACAAGAAAGAAAGAAAATGGCTTCTTCTCATCAAATTTACAAACTAATCACCATTTTAGTTCTCTTCCTCTCCTTCACATTAACCTCTCTCGCTGAAAACGTCCAGCTCGCAAGCGAGACTCATTGCAATTCCGGAACGCGGGCATCGTCATGCAACAACTACAAAGAATCTAAGAAACTCAAAATCATAGCGTTTTTCTCAATCTTAGTGGCGAGTATAATCGGTGTTTCTCTACCGTTAATTACCCGTAACATTCCGGCGTTAGGACCAGACAGAGATCCTTTCGTGATCGTTAAGGCATTGGCCTCCGGGGTGATCTTAGCGACGGGCTATATGCACGTGTTACCTGACTCTTTTGCCAATCTCACTTCCACTTGCTTGCCAAACAATCCATGGAGGAAGTTTCCGTTCACTACGTTTATCGCGATGATCTCGGCTTTGTTCACGTTGATGGTGGATTCTTATGCCATGGCTTGGCAGAAAAAAATATTGTTGAAACCGCAACCAAATGCCGCCGTCACCGAAACCCTAGAGAATGGATCCAGGGAATTGGAGAATGAAAATGGGAACATAGTCGCCGACGATGCAAAATCTCAGCTAATTAGGTATCAAGTCATTGCTCAGGTAAACAAGTCATTTACATTCTTTATTAAATTTACATTTTCCAATATTTCATGGAACCCTAATTTTGATACTAATCAATTGGTGTTAGGTGTTGGAGCTAGGGATTGTAGTCCACTCAGTTGTAATCGGCCTTGCAATGGGAGCTTCGGATAACAAATGCACAATACGTTCTCTCATCGCGGCTCTTTGTTTTCATCAGCTATTCGAAGGCATGGGACTTGGCGGTTGCATTCTTCAGGTACCTATATTAGACTAGCAATCACTTAGCCAAATAACATATATCGCAAGTGATTGTATTCTAGCTCTCATTGTATAAACTCTTTATAATAGATTGGTGTGTTTTGTTTGTTTGTTTTCTTGATTAGGCGCAATATGGAAGCAAAATGAGATGGACAATGGTGTTTTTTTTCTCCGTCACGACACCATTTGGGATCGTTCTAGGAATGTTGTTAGAAACGGTATATAGTCCGTCGAGTCCTACGGCATTGATCGTGGTCGGGGTCTTAAACGCGTGTTCTGCCGGTTTATTGAACTACATGGCACTTGTTGATCTATTGGGTGCAGATTTTTTGGGACCAAAGTTGCAAGGGAACATGAAGCTTCAAACGGTGGCTTATGTTGCTGTTTTTCTAGGTGCTGGAGGAATGTCTGTGATGGCCAAATGGGCTTAATAAGCCAATTTTACTTAATTATAAGCCAATTTTGTATATTGATTTTCTTAGATTTCCCCGGTTAATAATTTAGTCTGTAGTGTGCGATGGTACGTAACAAACACAATGGCGACAAACAAGCTCATCCTTAGTTTGAGCGATCTAATAAAAATAAAATCATGTTTTAACTTCGACCTCGTTATATGTTTCTGTTAAACGGTTTTCTCTGGCTTAAAATAGATAAACAGTGTACATATGAAGGATTAGAAATAAACCACATTTTAGCGGTAAAAGAGACAGTAGAGATGCCCTAATATGAGAATTATAAATCACAAAATGCTATCCGTGCTTCGCTAATACTCGCATGTATATTCCAATGTTATCATTTGAAATTTTGGATTGGTAATTATTTATATCTTTGCTAATTGGTCAAAGCTGCAAAGCATGAGTACATCTTTCCCGTTATATATTTTTTGAATTTTGACTTTCCAATTACAAATCAACTTCTTCAGGCTCTCTTAACTTGCCATATTCAAGTGTTTGACTTCCATAGTTCCATGTACAGCACAACCCTATATCACACTAAAAAAAATTATAAAGCTTATATTCTAATGGTTTGTAATATTTCTGTTAGCTTACGTTAAGAATTCTCAAATTCTTTAGTCAGTCAACTTACGTTTGATGAAAAAAGGAAATTTATAATCAAACGAAGGTAATAATAGATGGCGTTCAAGTCAAATTGTTTATATTAAACGCCTAGTAGTCAGCAGATTAATTAACTTGTCATTTTCGTTGCCAAAAACATACTGACTATTTCATATAATTTTCCCATCCACCACAAGGAAATCAACATTAGCAAACAGAAAATCACGTTCTCAAATCTTAATCTCTAAATTGTTAAACACAAAAAGATATATGATGGCATCGAAGGCAGCATTTTTCATTTTATTCGCTCTCTTTCTTTCCTGTAAGTCTTGGTTTCTCTCTTCTCTTCTCTTCTTTCAACCAAATCGATTTGAATCATTGTTTGGATCTGATGGAATTGTAAAACATGAACAGCCATTTTGTTGGTGAGCGTTCCTGGAGCAGAAGCTCAGTTGATCATTCCATGCAAGACATCACAACAATGTAAATCGATCGGATGCTCGAATGGTAGCGGTCAATGTGTGAACAAACAATGCCAATGTCCTAGCCTCAAACAGGCTAATAAGATGACGACAAATGCTCTTGCGCCGTGCAAGACGGCCTCTGATTGTGCTGCTTCTCATCAATGCCCGAAGGGTTTATATGCTTGCTTTGAAGGAAAATGTATTTGTACGCCGTAGTATGTTCAATTTTATGACTTAATTTATCCAAAGTTTAATAAAAATAAATTTTTGGTTTATACATTTTTCTCCCGTTTCCAATCGCAAGCACTCGCATATAAATAAAATTGTTGTTTCTTTTGAGAACAGGTTTACACATATTGTTTCTTCTATTATATGTTCTCTTTCTTCGAATAGAGTCTTTTTTTTTTGGATGCACCCTCTTCGAATAGAATCTAAAATACACATGCACCACCCACATCGGATTAAAACGTGTAACAAAAGAAAAAGCAAAATTATATAATGAGAAATAATCATTTTAATATATGAAACTGTATGTGTATATATGCCTTAGTATGTTCAAATTGTATGACTTAATTTATCCAAAGTTTGATAAACATAAATTTTTGTTTTATGTCTTTTTTTCCTCCCGTTTCAAATCGCAGGCACTCACAAATAATTTTTTTTATTTCTTTTGAGAACAGGTTTACACATATTACTGTATATTGTTTCTTCTATTATCTGTTCTCTTTCTTCGAATAGAATCTAAAACACACATGCACCCACATCGCATTAAAACGTGAAACAAAAGAAAGGGCAAATTTTTTCTTCTTTTTGGACAACGGAAAAGTAAAATTATAAAATGAGAAATAATCATTTTCATATATGTCTTTAAAAGCCAAATAAGCTCGACATTTGTTCTTTAATTAAAATCATGTGCTCGTCGGATTTGCATCAATCAACATACATAGCAATGACACGTATCGCGCTCATACGAACGATTGTATATACAGACTTTGTATTTGCACGTTTTAGGGCAGACTCCGTTACAATCAGAGTTTACTTTGCAATAATGATTCACTTGGATGTCAGACATAGCAGGACTCATCGCTGGAGTAGTAAGAACTTGATTATCTACGGGAGGAAGACAATGGCATCCGGGATTTCTGTCACCGGGACATTGACATGGAAATTCTCCTCCTCTTGTTGCTGCAGATACCATCGACAAATCTGCATCCGAAAGAGTTATAAATTTAGTTAAATGTTACCAGAAAAAAAAAATCAATATTTCAAATTTAAGGCTATATGGTATGTGTAAATTCTTACAAGATGCAACAATGAGAACGAATACGAAGTGAGTGATAAGTTTTGCCATGATGTTTAAGTTTTTAGAAGCGAATAAACTTTTGTTTTTTGTGTGAATGAAGTGTGGTACATATTCATCAAACCAAATATATCGCTGTATATATAGAGAAATAGGTTACTGTATAAAATTTCACCATCTGTAGTTTAGTTAAGTAAGTTCATTATTTGGTTAGTTGATTTCAGAAGTTCAAAGGCAGCATAAATGTTTGACCGTGATCATGGTAACACCGTAATAATTTGAAAGTAGGTGTTGACGTGTTGTTGACTTGTTAGTAAATAGGGGTGCCAAAAGCTACATATATGTCGATAAGAACCAAAGAATTAAGTAAGTTCATCATTAGTGAGTTGATTTCATAAGTTCAAAGGCTACATATATGGTGGACCGTTAATATGGTAACACGGTAATAAATTGAAAGTAGGTGTTCAAAGAAAATTCAGTTTTACGAAGTAAAGTATATACAGTATATGGAGTATAAAATTCTTTTAACCCGCAAAACGATCCTGCTCGGAAAAGAACATATAAAGTTTGTTTGTTTATATAGGGAAACCGAAATATAGAGACAAATCAAGATATGTTCGTACGGATGTGTAAACATATAATATGAACGGATAGGTAGGTCTTGATCTAAAAATAGAGAGGCATGATTTGACCAATTAGCATAATATTATCTAGAAATGATTCGGGTTCTTACCGGTGGGAAGTTGGTTTGCCTCGCAAAAGGAATAATATAATGTAGTACTTTGGATGCCATTAGCTCTGCTTACGAAGGAGGTTCGAAAATTCTAGGTGTTAATATGGACCACAATCTTCGAACCAATCCAACTTCGGTTATAAGTTTTTTAGTCCATATAATTAAATAAATTTCATAAACTGGTGACAATGGGTGTACGAATTAAGCGAATCAACAACTTACGGGTCACAAGTTATTTCTTTGTAATTTTAGTAAATTACTTTAACAAACAATTTTTTTTAGTAAATTATATTAAAAATATAATATCTACGTAATATACGAAAATTCAAAATATACAATCAACCGGTATGTGAAGATGGGATCTCTATGTCAAAAAATAATCTTAGAAATGTTAGATGCACATGTAGTTTGTTATTAGCTCTTTAGCGTGTTGAGTTTTTTTTTTTTTTTTTTTTTTAATTTGCCATCGCTTTTGTTTTACATACATTTTCATTTTTTTAGTGGAATGAATAAAGCATTTAACTTCTCCCAAGTTGTTATCATTGAGAACTTTTCTTTTTAGACCATATATTTTCACATTACCAAAAAGTGAAAACTAAATCGTCCAGATTAAAATGGAGATTCCAACATATTGAAGTTGACATCTGCTGACGCCAGTTCGCAGCAGTTAGGTTCAATTGTGCCAATGATTTATATATTTTAATTAAACAAACACAAAACCTTGTCTCCATCCTCCAAGATCACTTGTTTTACTAATATATATTTTACATTTTCTTGTCGCATACCAATTGGCTTCTTCGTGCGTGGGGCTCATGCCACTCATCAGAGCTAATTTTGTGGCTCTCCTTCGTCGGATTTTTTTTTTTAATATACTAATGTTGTTTAAATTTAATATATTAAATTTGTGGTTTGATATGCATTGGTTTGGATAATCTGCCTCTTCAAGTCAAATTCGATCACTATACTGATACTGCCTCTTCTTTCTAAACAGCGTGACTCCAGACCATTTGTTAAACGGTTAAGTACAAAAATAATTTCATAAAAAGCTATTAATTAAAACAATAAGAAATCTAGTAAGTATATAGAAAATCAGCTATTGTTTAGATATTATATCGAGTACATTAAAAAACTAGTAAATTTGACTATTTATGTTTTTAATACAAAGTCGAATATCAAATATGTTTTTAACCACAGTCATACATTTCATAGTGGAAGAAAACATTTTATTTTATATTTACAACTTACACACGTTTATTTTCGGATATGTATTCAAATTATAATATACTCCAGTAACAATACTAGTACTATACAGATAAATTATAAACTTCAGCAAAAGAGTAAAAAATAAAAATAAACAACTAATGGTAAACAAAGCAATTGGCATATCATACATGCATGTATAAATTATATGTTTTACAAGTGTAGAATTCAATGTTTCTTGTAAACTTTGCTATCAATTTGTCGTATTCTTATTATTATTATTATTTTTCTTAGTAAATAATATCTAATGGAGATTATGATTAAAGCAAAGGACACATTAGAGTCTTTTTATTATATATATGAGGAAAGAAAAGAAAAGCAAAAGCCTAAGTCCTTTACTATATTCAAACGGATGGATAGAGACGTTACGGTATTATTGCACGTCTTCTGATTACAAACAATATGAGACAAAGGCATCTTAATACTAGGTTTAGGTAACACCGTAACAGTGACACACACCTGACTTGACCTTGACCTATAATCATCTTTAATTAATCAAACCGATGGAGACGCCACGTGTCGACAGCAGACACAGCAAAGAACTGGCAAAATGGTTTACGTAAATAAATAAGATTGGCTTAACCGAGAAAAAGCTAGCTTGATTAAATTAATTAGTGGCTGAAGTGTGAGTGGATCACTACCTTAATTTTGATTTGCTTAAGCCAAGAAGACGCCTATTTATGATCAAGAAGTTAATAATCAATTTGTTGGGATGCCGTACGTACGCACGGCTTTTCTTAGTGTGTAACATTTACGTAATTATGCCTTAAAATATGGTTACTGAGAAAATGAATGCCTACAGAAACATACAAAAAAACTTTGTCTACTTGATTTGGTATCACCAAATCCAACTAACTGAAATCGATGGTCTTTAGAAATTACTTTCTTAGGGTTAGTGATTTCATCTAGAGGGGTATTCGAGGCATACAACGAAGATGGATCTAGATCAACAGACAACACAAGTTTTAGCATGAAGTGGAAACAAAAGAAGAAGACAAGCTTATCCTCTTTAGTCCAATCAAATATTTGTTAGAAACAAAAAAAAAACGATGGGGCTGCTCTGTAGTGAAGTGGGGGAAAGTGGAGACAGTCGTCATAATCTTATTTGCAAAATGGTACACTTCAATAATCAAATTGTACCGTAGGGTCAAAGGCTCTTCTCAATGTCTCTATATATGGATATATTTGAAACTTGTAAGCTACCAAGAAAGAAAACATGAAAGTTTTTATTTTTTTTTAATTTCTGTAATATAAAACTAGAAATCATCCGGTAACGCGTGCTCAACACAGTCCTTCTTGTGATGTCATATCACATAAAAAGTTCTATCTCACAATGTCGACCGGAATTTCTTTTCTCGTGTCATGCAAATCTTACTTCAGATCAAGAATATTAAGTATTTCTTTTTAGAATTCACCTGCATTATTCACAAGAATCGTATTTTGTATGTGTGGATCCCTTTTATAGTTTCCATAAATAACCAACCACTCAAATTTTCAATGGTAAAAAACGAAAATGCATGTAAACAAAGTACCAACAGATTACCGTGAATATACAAGCCATGATGATGAAACGAACACTAAGTAGTTATTTTCGCCCACATCCACAGAACGAATAGCGACAAAATAAAGTTTGCTGAAGTCCTTTAAAGTCAATGGAAAGTATTGCACCAAAAAATGAACTCAATGTGGTATAGAGTATAGACTATAGACTATAGACTATGGCTATGAAAGCAAGTAAGCATGTTAAGTAAATGTTTAAGTTGTGTCTTGGTGAATTGGTGCGCCGGCCACAAGGCGTCACTAGAAAATGTTTGGACCCACTCATAGCATCTTCATGACTCATTTATCCAATCACATCATATCTTTGTTTCGTTTTGTCTCTTTTTGGGCAAAATGTTTTTCGACAAGGAACTAACATGATAGACTAAACCTGTTTGGGAATCTATAGCCTCTCTCGGGCAATTACTACTAAATCGTTCATTGAAGATAGGAATAGTGTAGGGATGATTTGGAGTTGTGTTGAACGAATCTTTGCTGTTTAATGCTGAATGGTGGATTTAGCGATTACATGGCTAAGTGATTATATAAAAATTAGCGTCAACTCAGTATTATATATATATATATAGTCTAACTGCTGATAAGTTTTTTAGTAGATTTACGTATTTCCGCATAACCTCATTCAGATCACACAGAGTAGTTGATGACACACCAAACTTGTTACACATGGATATTACCAACATTGCTCAAAATTCTAGTTAGGAAATTTCTAGATCAAATTATTGTCTTATCCTTCTTCTTAAAGAAAAAAAAAGTAAAAAATGCATATATTCATCACGCCAAACAAAATGCAAAAGACTCCCGACTTAATCCTTACAATACGTTTATTTGGAGATGGAGTTTACGAGACTAATAGTGTTTACATATCGAATTTCACTTTCATTTAATTTGTAACTAAGTACGAGACTATTAGTGTTTAGTTTTATACTCTTGAAATAGAGTTGCAAGTGGAAACTGGAAACCCACCCCCTTTATTCCTTCATTTTTTCACAAGCAATTGTAAGAAAAACTTTTTAGAAAAAGTGTTTGTACTCGGTGCAGTGAAATAAGTACACAAGAACTATACAACAATTATGATATTTATATTGTGTGATGAATATAACAATATATATAGGCTATGATTACCTGTTACAAATAAAATATAATGAATATAGATTACGATTGCTATTTGCTACAACAGTTTCAACAGTAATTTATCTAATAATACACAAAAAAATATTTATGGTTGGTGATATGACATAAGACAATCATAGCTGCTACTGTTTATATTGCAATACTATTTGTGATATGCGTGCTAAATAATTATGGAAGCACTGTAGTTATAAACTGTAAGCATTTAGCTGAAAGTGGACAAAATACTTGTTATAGAAAAGAAAAATTAATTTAAAGATACTCACTATTTTGCACACAAAAGATATACTATATGATATACAGACAAATAAATTCTTTAACAAAAAAAAGACAATTTTTTTTTTACCGCCCACAAACCAAGAGTATATGTTCCTTTAGAACTAACACACATACAAAAGTTATTTGTTATTTTAATTATTCATCTGCAGAGAAACAAAAGTCATCCGAAAATGCTAGAAAGCTATTGAATTGTGAATGGAATTTTTCACCTACATGCAACAAATAAAATATATGTTGGCTTAATTTTGGAGAAACAAGAAAAAAAAAACCATAAATCCATCCCAAAAAGTTAGTTCACCTAAACACAATTAACTTTGTCGTTCTACAAAAACAATTAAACAATATGTAGTTGTCGTATATATATGATAAAATGATTATTTTTCTACCACCATTAGTTAGTTATATTTCTTATTACGGAACCGTGTAACACAAATGATGGTATTTCTTTTTTTGTTAAAGAACTAACCACGGTATTACAACTTTCTATTTAAATGAACTAAAATATAATTTATTTATTAGAATATGATGTACATGCAGACCATTTTCTACACAACTCACTCCTCTCTCCACACGTCTATAAAACCCTTCTCCCTCTCTTCCTCTTCACTTCAAAGCCACTTCACACAAAACATATCTCTTTTCTCTCTCTCGCTCCCAAAACATTTTCTATTCATCATTTTTCAATAACACAAGACATATCTCGGAAAAAAATCAAAAACAAAGATCATGAACACAATTCCGGCGGAACTCACTGGATACTTCCAATATCTGTCACCTGAAAAATATAATAACCAGACACCAAGCATGGAGGCCGAATACTTCAACATGCCCTCCTCTCCTACTTCCTCTTCCTCCTTTTACTACCTCAACGGTCTGATCAACAACAACTACTCTTCATCATCCAACGGTCAGGATCTAATAACGAGCAACAACTCAACATCAGACGAAGATCACCAACAAAGCATGATTATCGATGAGAGGAAACAAAGAAGGATGATCTCTAACAGAGAATCTGCCCGTAGGTCAAGGATGAGAAAGCAGAGACATCTCGATGAGCTTTGGTCTCAAGTGATAAGACTTCGCACTGACAACCACTGTCTTATCGATAAGCTAAACCGCGTTTCTCAAAGCCATGAGCTTGCTTTAAAGGAGAACGCTAAGCTTAAAGAGGAAACTTCTGATCTCAGACAGCTTATCTCTGAGATAAAGTCCAACAACGAAGACGACAGCAGTTTTCTAAGAGAGCTTGAAGATTCGATATCAAACTCTATATCGGATTCGAACCAGATGGGCAGAGATTTTGGGTTGTGCTGATGATCTTGATCATTGTTCTGCTTGTTTCAAGAGTGTAGATTTCATAATGATCACATCGCGATCGTATCATATGATATATTATTATTAATAATGTTCTTCTCTATCTCTTTCTTTTAGCCAACTTGAGTTACTTAAGTATATTAATGATCATGCGCGTACTATTCTTACTATATTATTCTCAAATTTAAAGCCGTCTTAAAATTAAAAATAACCAATTAAAAATTTATGAACATGATGTGGGAAAGTAATATTAATCCCTCCAAAAAGTTTTAGAACTAACTTCGAATATAATTTGTTAACTCCAAGAAACATTACACAATCTAAGTTCACGATATAAATTAATTCCACTAGGACAATAATTTTTTAATATTACTTACGTTTGCGTCGACACGAAATTTTGATTAGTTAAATGTAACTTTCAAGAAACTAAAGAAATGTTTTCGTACTTCTAGTTTTTATATATTTTGAGATGATTGTACGAAAGTGTGCCTTAGTTATAGACCAACAAATTTTTGGTACCAATATGCTGCCGTATTTCCTCGTGTTGAGTTTTGAACCATAAAATTCGAACAATTTTTTTTTTTAATCATCCAAAATTATTTCGATTATCAAATAATAAATGCGTCGGGGTTTTATGACGATATAGCTATACCACATCTTTTAATTTCAGTTCGCCGCATAAATAGACTTGCATCATAAAAAAAAAAGAACATTCATGGCAAACAAAGATTTAAGAAGAAATCAATTGCTAAAAATGATGGACCTTCTTCTTTTCAAGTTTAATCAACCAGTTAATCATTAGTCCCTTTTTCTTGTTTAATATTATTTCTTGCATCCGTTTAAGCATCACTAGTTTGAGTTTGACAAACCTACTTTAAATTGTTTCTTTGAAACTTTCACCCGACGCATAAATATTCTTCTAAATCGAAACAGTTGAAGATCAAATGAAGTGATGTACATCATAAAAGACTACTGAAATGTGATTAACTTATATATCTCCACTAACTAGTAGTATTCTCTACGTAATTTTATCTTGTCTTTTTGTTTTATATGTTAAGGATGGATTATTCTCTTGATATCTGTCACAGTTAAAGATAATTATGTTTAAGTGTGGAAGTACACTTGCATCGAATTATGGGTGATATATCATTTCAACCATATCGTAAAGTTCATTTAGGTATTCATGGCGAAGAAAGATAATCAGAACAGGAGAATAACAAATAATAGGTGTGTAATATCATGCTTATAACAGTTTAAAATGTCTTTTTCTCAATTGAGATTAGAGATATATAAACTCGTTTGGCCTAGAACTGGATCCATATTGTATTTTGGATTAATTTCAAAAATATATGTGCAGATATATTAGATCCTTTTTGTCAACTGTCGAAAATAAAACTATTTAAATTTGGTGGATGGTTGTTGAAATAAAATAAGACAAAGGGAGGTGGAGGCTCCTGGTGATAGTGTCTCTGCGAAAAAAAAAGTAGAAAAAAGTGGAGACTAGTTTCTATAATAGCCTCTAACACAATTTAAGATATACTTTTCTACAAAATTAATTAGTGATTTTTTATATATAAACTGATTTTTTGTTTCTTAAAGAAACCAAAGATACACAAGCTAATTTATTCATTACATCACTCACCACTTCATTTAATACGCAAACTTCCAATTTCTTTTATTTCTCTTTGTTTTTATTTTATTTTTTTTTGTTTTTTATTTCTCTTTGTTGTTTTTAACCTTCAAATTTTTTTTATAAGTGCATCTCCAACTCAACCCCATATTTCACCTTTATTGCTATTTTGGAGCCAATTTTGCTCCAATCAACCCCATTTTCAATCTCAAAATGGCAAAATGCCATATTTTTTCCCAAAATGAGATTGATCCCATTTTCATCTCCATTTTGGAGTTGAAGTTTTTAATTTATATAACAGTCCTTGAAGTTTTAAATTAATTCAGTTTAAGATATATAATTAATTATTTTGATCTTTATTTTTACTCTAAAATACAAATAACACATATTTAATAAGAAATTTAATTATTTAAGCTAATAATAAATTTAAAAAAAAAACACTTTTATTAGAAATAACATCAAAAAGAAATTTATTAAAACAACTTATTACTGATTTTTAATTTAATTTAGTTTCCGGATCCACCAATATCACTAAAATATTGTCCAAAAGAAGTAGTTGTGAGAGTTCCTTTAGAAGAAGTAGTATTTATGTTGTTATTGTAATAATGTATTTTATATAATTAATTTAAATAATTATAATTAATTGTGAAAGTTTTGAAGAAAAAAAATATATGGGGCAATTTGTAATAGATATAAATATACAATGTAAATTTAGTAATTAATAAAAAGTTTTTCAAAAAGAATATTCTTTTTGAAGCAAAAAATGAAGCAATACATTGGAGCAAAACCCAACCCATTTTGAGATTTCTTCATTTTGGAGCAAAATATGGGGCAATACATTGGAGATGCCCTAAGCATCTATTTTGGAGATGTAAAAAAGAAAACACCTATTTAGGCCTATCCCATATAGATAAAAGCCCAACTGAACTTGATGTTGTCGTCTCTCTTACACCTTGCAACCGAAAGATAAGAGTCATAAGACTAAGTTGACATTGAGAGAAATCAAGCGAAGATAATAAAAGAAGAACGAACATGAAGACAGTAACACATGATCAAGGAGTCTTTGCTTACGCTTATAGCTCACTGAATAAAAGACAAAGAATAAATGTTCTGATTTCAAGGAGATAGGTTTAAGTCTTGGGTATAGATGTAATCAGTGTGAGCAGCTACAGTTTTCTTAACAAGACATTCTTCTTCGTTGTCTGAACTCTTGCACTCTACTCCATCACCATCACCTTTCTTACTTCTTTCGCTCTCCTAGTTCCACAAAAAGAAAGGGTAAAATTTAAAGAGATGTATCACTCTCAAAATCTTTATGTCACTTAGTTTTTGCTATCACAAAAGATCGTAATTGTGTAACCATATGCTCAATCAAATAATTGATACTACATATGACTTTTATGTGCTCAAGTGAAAACAGGTATGAATTGATTACACTATTTCATGATTATGCCATATAATATCAAAACCTTTTAGGCCATCAATACAGAAAAGATGCAAGGAAGAAGAAAATAAAACTAGTGTATTGACGAACTTACATGTGTGGAGGAGGGAGATGGTTTAGGAGGAGCAAAACCATCTTCTGTTGTCAAAACACGTGAAGCCATGCTTAAAAGCAAAACTAGAGTGAAGAAGAAGATCAACAGTTTACTTTTCTTCTTCATCATTCCTTTTCTTTTTTTCTTCTTCTCTCTAAAGATATGAAGACTTAAATATAAAGTGTTCTTTTATTATGTGCATAAAGCCATATAGATAGTTTAACTATACAGACATATTTGACTTTACTATATCATTAAATATTAATAAAGATGCGGCTGGATAGATCATAAATGCTGTATAGAGAAATGGGCGTTTTCATGAAGGAGAAAGGAAAGATCGATATAGGTGTAGTGTAGCAGACAGAGTAAGAGAGAGAAAGCGAAGTCAAACTTTGGCATCTTGGTGTCAACGCTTTCATTTCTCCTTGGAAACGTCACCTCTTCGTCTTTCAACGTAACTTTCAAGTTTCAACATATCGAAACATGATTGACTTATTTTGGTATATTTTGGTTGAAGCTATGTTTCCTTTTCTCTTAGACCGATCTGCAATAAGAGTCCAATTACATTTGCAATAAACACAATTATATTTCGAATCATCTCTCACAACCCAAAAAAAAACAAAAAGATCGAATCATTATTTTCCGGCAAATCATTATTTCCACAATTTTCAGTGTAATTTAGACGGAACAAGCTGTAATCCGGTGGTTGACAGATAAAACTAATTATTGTTTATAAACCCAATGCGAAAGACTGAAGACTACTCAACTACAGTAGTAGTCTAATTTACAAGTCGTCATTATGGGAAGTGGAGGAAGACAACTAGCATTAATCTCTCTATAAGAGCAGTGTGATCCAAGAATCAATGAAATTGGGAGTTCGAATAGTACTTCAACTTGTAAATATTTCTGATCGTTTCTCGAGAAAGTCGGTTAAAGGGAGAACATTTCGGAGATGGGTTTGTTCGAATCAGTGAAATCGATCAACTGGGAGCTCGAATCACCTCCGTTGTACCAGGATTTTCGTGTTCTGCCTCTCTTCGCAGTGTTCTTCCCTTCGATCCGATTTCTCCTCGACAGACTCGTCTTCGAGGTAGTTTATTTTGTTTGCAGTGGTCATAACTCATACGACACGAGTAACATAGTATTAAATAAACGCGTGTTTTTCCGACAAATGTGTATGTGAAAATGAATGTACGTAGGTGTGGTATTTTTGTCACCCGATTGTGTTGCCTTTGGTTAGTTTCAACTTTCAAGTAGGGTCTTGAGAAAGTTCCTTTATTTTTTTTTTAAACGTGAAAGTTGATGATTGGTGTTTGTAGGGATTGGCAAAACATTTGATATATGGAAAACAGAACAAGAGAGATGATGCAACGGAGAGAAAGAAGAAAATCAGGAAATTTAAAGAATCGGCTTGGAAGTGTGTTTACTATCTATCAGCTGAGATTCTTGCTCTGTCCGTAACTTACAATGAGCCTTGGTTTATGAACACTAAATACTTTTGGACTGGCCCTGGAGATCAGTCTTGGCCTGATCAACAAATCAAGTAAGAAATGTTGTCAAGTCAAGGCATTGCTTTCATATCACAATTATCTCAATAATGTTATATATTTATATTAATCTCATGCAAGGTTAAAGTTGAAGCTTTTGTTTATGTTTGCGGCTGGCTTCTACACATACTCCATCTTTGCACTGGTTTTCTGGGAGACGAGGCGTTCTGATTTCGGAGTTTCGATGGGTCATCATATCGCAACTCTCCTTCTTATCGTCCTCACGTACGTATGTTGCTTCTCTCGTCCTGCTTCTGTTGTTCTTGCACTTCACGATGCAAGTGACGTGTTTCTCGAAGTCGGGAAAATGTCCAAGTATAGTGGAGCTGAAGGAATCGCAAGCTTTTCTTTCATTCTTTTCGTCTTGTCTTGGATCATTCTCCGCCTCATTTACTATCCCTTTTGGATCCTATGGAGCACAAGGTTTGCTGTGTATTTCGATATCAATTTCTAGTTGTTTCTCTGGTTTTGAATATAAAACTTAATTCTTGTTGCAGCTATGAAGTGATTTTGGAGATTGACTTAGACGAGCACCCGGTGGAAGGACCAATCTACTACTACGTGTTCAACACTCTGCTCTATAGCTTGCTTGTTCTTCACATTTATTGGTGGGTTTTGATGTATCGGATGCTTGTCAAACAAATTCAAGATAGAGGCAAGCTTAGCGAGGATGTCAGATCCGGTAAGTTCACTTTGTGTGTTATTAGCTTATATTATAATAAAAGTTGGATTTGGCGCCATCCAAAATCAAGAAGAGATCTTCAAGGTTTTTTTTTGTTGTTGTTACAGATTCTGAAGGCGAAGATGAAGATGAACACCAAGATTGATTGATCACAAAGAAAATATCTGTATTTTTCCTCTTTTTTTTTTTTCAATTGTATTGAATTCATTTCTAGTTTAGAACCACTTCAATATCAGTAAACATCATTCGGTCTATTAAGTATATTATTTTCTTTTTTGGTCCAATGTCTATTGAGTATATTCATGTTATTAACAGATATATCTGTAAGTCCGTATCATAGTTCTTAAATCGATAATAGGAAAGAACTATGGTGTTTAGGGAAACAATTTTATTTTAGTACTGCTATTAACTGTTTGAACAAAAAAAAGTTGATCTCAATAAATAACTAATTAGTATTCTATCCGTTTCAAATTAGTTGTCATTATGAGAAAATGTATCTGCAATTTTTTGACGTATTAAATATAAAACACATCCAAATACATTCAAATAATTGTAGATACATATTTTCAAAATGACAACTAATTTGAAACGGAATGAGTAGTAAATACAGTAGTAGTAATGTAAAGCGCGATCTTTCAAGCAAAAAAAAAAAAGTCTTTAACTCTTTAGGCCAAACACTTATCAACTAAATCAAAGTGAAATTGGCAAAACATTTGACGTATGGAAAACAGAGACAGAACAAGGGAGATGATGCAACGGAGAGAAAGAAGAAAATCAGGAAATTCAAAGAATCGGCTTGGAAGTGTGTTTACTATCTATCTGCTGAGATTCTTGCTCTGTCTGTTCTTGATTATGAACACCAAATACTCTATTTCTTGATTATGATTTTAGGCCATTGATATAGAAAAGATCAAGGAAGAAGAAAAGAAAACTAGTGTAATGACGAACTTACATGTGTGGAGGAGGGTGAAGTTTGAGGAGGAGCAAAACCATCTTCTTTTGAAATAACAGAAGCCATGCTTAAAAGCAAAACTAGAGTGAAGAAGAAGATCAACAGTTTACTTCTCTTCTTCGTCATTCCTTTTCTTTTTTCTTCTTCTATGTACATAATAAAGCCATATAGATATTTTAACTATACAGATATATATATATATATATATATATATTTGACTTTATAATATCATTAAACATTAATAAAGATGCGGCTGGATTGTATCATTAATGCTGTATAGAAGAATGGGCGTTTCATGAAGGAGAAAGGAAAGATCGATGTAGCAGACAGCCAGACAGAGTAAGAGAGAGAGAAAGAGAAGTCAAATTTTGGCATTTGACACCAACGCTTTCATTTCTCCTTGGAAACGTCACCTCTTCTTCTTTCAATGTCACTTTCAACATTGACTTATTTTAGTATATTCTGAAGAGTGGAATATATATGTACTTTAGTTAAAAGTAACACATTGGTAACATGAGAAGAGAAAGGCTTTTAGTAGCATAATCACCGACGAACGAGGCCTGCATGTGTGGACGAAAGCTTTAACGAGTAACACAATAATGAGACGAATTAATGCTTCAGATATTCTTTTTCTCTTCTTTGTTGTCAACTGATTCAAATATTCTAATCATCATCCTTAGTTTTTTCGGGTGTGAATGGTGAAACTAGCGTAAATGAGAGTAAACAAAAGTAGAGTAAATAAGAGGTAAGAAATTAGAGTAAATGAGTGAAAAAAAAATATTTTACTCCACAAGAAGATGGAGTAATAGATAACGCCAGATCTAGCGTTAACTGATGGTAATCCTTTTCCACCTGATTGGCATAACAATAGAGTAACTCAGAGTAAAATTCATTTCCCACTTACAGTATTTTTTACTCTAACATGTATATCATCCATTCACAGCCTTCATCGGTGATGGATACTCTGCAATAAGTATTACTCCAATTATTATATTTGCAGTCAACATAATTGTATCTCAAACGATTAAGGGAATCATTATTTCCATACGGTTTTGCCTTGCAATAATAGTCCAATTATTTTCGCAATTAACATAATTATATCTATACTGTATCTCAATTCCCAACCCAAAAAACAATCAAATAAAAATTATTTTTTGGTAGAAAACAATAAAAAAAAGGATCAAATATAAGGAAGTGGAGGACACTCTAACCAAAACAGAAGGTTAGAGGAAGAAAATTCCTTGACCTTTTGAAATTGATCTACTAGCATGAAGAACACAATTTGATCCCAAATCTAGATTCATGGCTGGAGAGAATCAATGAAATTCAGAAGTTCAAATAGTAATTCAACTTTGCATTTAAACTCCCACCGATCCAATAAAAGAGATCCCTTTTTTGCTCCAGAAAGACGGAGGAAGAAGACTCGACAAGTTTCTCTGTACACTCTCTATGTAAATATTTTCTGATCGTTTCAGTTTCTCGAGAAAATCGTTTAAAGAGAGTAAATTTCGGAGATGGGTTTGTTCGAATCGGTGAAATCGATCAACTGGGAGCTCGAATCACCTCCAGTTTACCAGGATTTTCGTGTTCTTCCTCTCTTCGCAGTGTTCTTCCCTTCAGTCCGATTTCTCCTCGATAGATTCGTCTTCGAGGTAAATATACTGATTCATGCGACAGCAGCTGTTTCCTGTAAAATCGCATTTATTTCCGTTTTCTTTTTAATGCATTTCTAGTCTTTAGTGTTAGATCCGAGGCAATGTGGTTTTGTGATAATCTCTCCTGAAGCTGTTAGATTTATAGATATCTTGTTTGATGAATAATGTTGCTTAAGTCACTTAAAAATGATTGTATTGTGTTGATCAAGTCCTTGCTTCACTAAAAAGAATGATTTGTAGCTGAAAGTTTATATCTTTGTGATAAGGTGTGATGTGAAGAATGATTTAAAACCTTTTCGTTGACTTTCTTAATAAATAAAGTTGTGGTATTGTTGTCACTCAATTCTTGTCAATTACACATTTATGATGGTAGTGACTAGTTAGTGAGTCTTGACTTTGCTCTGCATCATTTATGTGTGTTCCGGTTACTTTCATGTAGGGTCTAAAGAAAGTTGGTCTTTTTTTTTAACTTGAAGTTGATGATTGGTGTTTGTAGAAACTGGCAAAACATTTGATATATGGAAAACAGAGACAGAACAAGGGAGATGACGCAACGGAGAGAAAGAAGAAGATCAGGAAATTCAAAGAATCGGCTTGGAAGTGTGTTTACTATCTATCAGCTGAGATTCTTGCTCTATCTGTTACTTACAACGAGCCTTGGTTCATGAACACTAAATACTTTTGGGTTGGCCCTGGCGATCAGTCTTGGCCTGATCAACAAACCAAGTAAGAAATGTTGTCAAGTCAAGGCCTTTGCTTTCATATCACAATCATCTATCTAATATTCTGATGTGCAATAATGTTGTATCTCTTTGGCTCATGCAAGGTTGAAGTTGAAGCTTTTGTATATGTTTGTGGCTGGCTTCTATACATACTCAATTTTTGCTCTGGTTTTCTGGGAGACGAGGCGTTCTGATTTCGGAGTTTCGATGGGTCATCATATCGCAACTCTCATCCTTATCGTCCTCTCCTACGTATGTAGCTTCTCTCGTGCTGGTTCTGTTGTTCTTGCACTTCACGACGCAAGTGATGTGTTTCTTGAAGTCGGGAAAATGTCAAAGTATAGTGGAGCTGAAGGAATCGCAAGCTTTTCTTTCATTCTCTTCGTCTTGTCTTGGATCGTTCTCCGACTTATTTACTATCCCTTTTGGATCCTATGGAGCACAAGGTTTGTGTATATTTATATAGTTTTTCTCGAATGTTTCTCTTGTTTAGTATATAATAGTGATAAATGTTTGTGTTGCAGCTATGAAGTGATTTTGGAGCTTGACAAAGACAAGCATCCGGTGGAAGGACCAATATACTACTACATGTTTAACACTCTGCTCTATTGCTTGCTTGTTCTTCACATTTATTGGTGGGTTCTCATGTATCGGATGCTTGTCAAGCAAATTCAAGATAGAGGCAAGCTTAGCGAAGATGTCAGATCCGGTAAGTTTTTTGGTGTATATTGTAATCAAAATTGGTTTTCACGTCAAGAAGAGTTCTTCAAGGTTGTCTTTTTTTTTTTTTTTTCCTTTGCAGATTCTGAAGGTGAAGATGAACACCAGGATTGAATTTGTGATCAATATCTGTAATTTTTGTTAATTTGTAATTGTATTTTGTTGTATTTACATTCATATCTTGTTTTGAATATCAGTCATAGTCTATCAAGTATATTCATGTTATTAAAAGATAGATCTATACAAGCATGACAATTGAAGTAGATTTGTCATTGTCTTTTGTTGTCAACAGATATGCATGACATTAGACTAACAGTCCGAATCAAACTTCTTAAATCAATAACAGGAGTGAATTGTGCTGTTTTGGGAAACAATTTTATTTTAATTATGCTTTTTGGTTGACGGTTGAGACACTGTTCATATTAATGTAAAACGCAGGAGCGAGAAAAAAAGTCTTTACTCTTTAGGCCAAACACTGCTTTCCAAAATCTAAAGTGAAATGATGAAGTTAGCAAAAAAATCTGCCATGTTTTGGTCTTCCTCTATCTGAAACTTCACCGATCACCGATCAACGACCCTCTCATCCACCGCTCGAGAAAACCCAGAAAAAGGAGGCAAAAAGGTTAGCTTTTTCTCTTTCTCTCTAGGTTAATCAATTTCGGGTACTCTGTTTTGCTGCATTGCAATCTACACCTGTTTCCGTCGATCATCTTCACTGATCTGAGAATGCTAATTAGGGTTTTAAGGTTTTGAGATGGAATTTCAGAGAATCGGATTTGTCACCCCCTTTTGATTTCAAAGCTCTTCTCTTTTTCTCATTTTGATTCGATCTGCATGTGGTTAGATGGTTGAATCTTCTCCGGACATCATAAGCGATCTACCACAGAGCATAATCGAGAACATCCTCACTCGTCTCTCCATCAGAGACGCCATAAGAACAAGCGTCTTATCCACCAAATTTCGATACAAATGGTCAACGCTCACCGACCTCGTCTTCGACGAGAAGTGCGTCGCTCAATCCACCGACCGGTTCGCCGTCGAGAACAGCCTCGTCAAATTCATAACCGGAGTCCTCCTCCTCCACCAAGGACCCATCCACAAGTTCCACCTCTCCACTTCCTTCCTGCAATGCCGTCCTGACATCGACCAGTGGCTCCTCTTCCTCTCCAGAAACGGGATCAAAGAGCTCGTCCTCGAGCTAGGAGAAGGAGAGTTCAGAGTCCCTTCGTGCCTCTTCACCTGCGTCAAGCTGACCCGTTTGGAGCTCTGCCACTGCGAGTTCGACCCGCCTCGGAGTTTCAGAGGTTTCTCGTCTCTCAAGTCTCTTAACCTTCACCAGATTCTGGTCTCTCCTGAGGTGATTGAGAGCTTGATCTCTGGATGTCCGCTTCTCGAGTTTCTTTCTCTGTCTTACTTTGACAGCTTGGTTCTGAGCATCTCGGCTCCGAATCTCATGTACTTGTATCTAGACGGCGAGTTTAAAGATATCTTTCTAGAGAACACGCCTAAGCTGGTTGCGATATCGGTTTCGATGTATATGCATGAGGATGTGACTGATTTTGAGCAGAGTTCGGATTATAATCTTGTTAAGTTCCTTGGTGGTGTGCCTCTTCTTGAGAAGCTCGTTGGTTATATCTACTTCACAAAGGTAGTTACTTTTTGCTTCATCCTCACAGTTTTTTGGCAAAAGTATCCATCTTTAACAAAAGGGTTACAATTTATATCAGTACTTGAGCATAGGAGATGATCCGGGAAGGCTTCCGATTACTTACATTCATCTAAAGACGATAGAGCTTTACCAAGTGAGCTTTGAAGATGCGAATGAAGTGTTGGTTCTGCTTCGTTTGGTCACTCACTCTCCTAACCTTAAAGAGCTCAAAGTTTCGGTATGTCTCTCATTGAAAGTTTCTTAGTGTGATGTGACCTTAATTTGCTGTTAATCTTTTTTGTTTTATTGGATTGTTTTAGGCTTCACCGATTCAACTGTTTCCACTTGAAGAAGAAGGTTTTGACCTTTTCGAAAGAGATTGTTTCGACTACAAGCTCCCGAGGCTCGAAACCGTGAAGATGACGGAAGTTTCTGGCATAAGAAACGAGTTGGAGTTTATCAGATTCTTGCTGGGAACATCTCCGGTTTTGGAGACGGTCGTTGTATCGTCGAGTTTATCGGATAAAGATGCGAAGATGGAAATGGTTGTGGAATTGCTCAGGTTCCCGCGTGTTTCTCCTCGAGCTCAGTTCGTCTTCCTTCAAGAATGAGTCTTAACTCTCTCTCTGTGGTTGTTCATATCTAGACATGTTTGGTGTGTATCTGTTGTAGGAACCGAAATATGTATTTGATATGTGGAAAGATAACAAATGTTGCCCCAAATGGATTTTGGAAATAATGATGGATGGTAATTTCTAACTGTTGCAGAAGAATAAGATACTGTATTTCTTCTTGCTGTTAACCTGTTTATGTTATAATTTTATGGCGCAATCACTTTTGTTTCCTTTTGATCTTGGAATTCTTCAGCAAAATTTGTTGTACTAGATTTGTGCTTCTTCCACGGATCTAATCATTTACTAATCAACAAAATATTTTAGAATGTAGATTTTTGGACATTGTAAAAGAAAGCAACTTTTGGTTTGTTTTAAGAATGAAAACTGGAGCTGACATACTCTTTTGGTGAAAATATAAAAATAAGGAAAAAGAATAAAGAGAAAAAGAATATGATTCTATAACCACAACTAATTTTTAATTGGTTTTCTAAAAGTTGACCAAAAAAAAAAAAAAAAAAAAAAAAATTGGTTTTCTAAAAAAATAAAGCTCATTTTGATTGTTTACTGAAAATCCTTTAAGGCAAGGAATTCATACTTCATAGATCTCCACATAACACATAAATTAATTAGCTTGCATATTCCTATTATTTGTCTGATTTTATACTCAAAACTGATGAATATATTTTCATATGTGAAAAATAATTTAACAAAGAACAAGTAAATACTTTGGAAAATAATGAAAAGGAAAAGAGAAGATCAAACGTGTGGAAAAAACACGGAAGCAACGCGAAGCCCTCTCCTTTAGCTTCTGTCCTCTCGTCTCGCTTAGTCGCTCTTTAGGGCAATAGAGAGATAGATATATTGTCGCTCTCTCTGTCTTTTTCTTCTCACTTTTTTCAGACAGGGAGACTGGAAAAAAGGCTCATCGCTCATTTTTGCCGCCAAGAATCACCGGACCGTCGTAAGTACTCGTCTCTTGATCGATTTTCGCCGGAAAGATCCAAAATTTTAGATTCTATCCAAATCTCGAAAATCCCGTCTCAGTTCGAGCAAAGTTTTGCTCTTTCGTTGACGGGTTTTGCTCATTTTCTCGATTAGCATATAGGGGAATCTGATAACTGCCAGTGAGACCCACAAGATCCATGCTTTAATGTCTATTAGTTTGAATTTGGCTTACCCATTTTGGGAATTGGAATTGAGGAAATTTCTTCTTTTTTGTGTGTTTTATTGATTGTTTTGAATCAGAGAAATGGGTTACATAGGAGCTCATGGGGTACAAGCGCTGCATAGGTACAAATACAGTGGAGTGGATCACTCATTTCTTTCCAAATACGTGCTTCAACCCTTTTGGACTCGTTTTGTCAAAGTCTTCCCTCTATGGATGCCGTAAGTCTATCTCTCCATAAAAAAAAAGTCTTCCTTTGGATTTTAGTTTTACATGATGAGGTTAATGAGAAATCTGACTTTTCTTTTACTCTTACTTGTCTTTTCATGTGTTTTCTCTGTTGCTGCCTTTGGACTATATCCAGACCAAACATGGTATAAGTAATTACTTTTTGTCCATTTTGCTGTATGTGTATCGATTCATAAGTACTTTTTGAGTTAAAAGCCTCTGGCTTTGTGTTATTTTGGTTTGCAGATAACGCTTATGGGGTTTATGTTTCTAGTCACATCTTCTCTGCTGGGCTACGTGAGTCACTGATTCATTGATGCCTTGTTCTTTAGTCCTCTTGAGGCGTTTTGTTACTTTTTGCATATGGATTTGATTTTTGAAGGCTCTTTTTTTCCTTTACCTGTTTTCAGATATATTCACCTCAGTTGGATTCTCCTCCTCCACGATGGGTTCACTTCGCACATGGTTTACTTCTATTCTTGTATCAGGTCTCCATCTCTCTCTCTCTCTCTCTCTCTCTCTCTCTCTCTCTTCTAAAAAGTCTAAACGTTCTTCCCTTATCTGCTTATGATTGTTTCCTGACACCTTTGTTTTACTGTAGACATTTGATGCGGTTGATGGGAAGCAAGCGAGAAGGACAAATTCCTCTAGCCCTCTAGGAGAGCTTTTCGATCATGGTGATTTCTTTTTTCCCCATGGTTACGCTTTTTGACTGTTAAGTTTGTTTCTTGATTTTTGCTTACATGTGTTCCATTTTGGCAGGTTGTGATGCACTTGCTTGTGCGGTATGCACTTACGATCCTTTCTCTTTTCTTACTTTACATTCTTAGAATCGCTGCTGAAGGTTTTACAATGAAACAGTTTGAAGCCATGGCGTTTGGAAGCACTGCAATGTGTGGAAGGGATACTTTCTGGTTCTGGGTTATTTCAGCTGTTCCATTTTATGGAGCTACATGGGAACAGTAAGTGCTGCTTCTAAGTTTTAACTTCCTGCTTATTATCTCATAACACATTCATATTTGTGAAAAAAAAAAGTGTTAAAGAGACTTTCTAATACTTTTCTCCTAATTCTTGTGTAGCTATTTCACCAACACACTTATTCTTCCGGTCGTCAATGGACCTACAGAGGGTCTTGCACTTATCTATGTCAGCCACTTCTTCACTGCCATTGTCGGTATGCTTCTTTCTTGTCTGGCCAATGTTTATAAGCATTTCATTTCAGACCAATGTCTCTCTATACTTGGCTCAATGTTTTCTTTTTCTGTTCTAAGGTGCTGAATGGTGGGCTCAGGAGTTGGGACAGTCCATTTCATTATTTAGTTGGGTGCCATTTGTGAATGGTAAACATATCTCCCATATTGCTTTACCTCTTGTATCATGTCCTCTTTGCTTTCTTGATTAACTTTTGAGTTCTCTGTTTCAGCGATCCAAACTTCCAGAGCAGTACTATACATGATGATCGCTTTCGCTGTTATACCAACCGTAGCATTCAAGTGAGTCTTCCAAACTTTAACAGTATATGTATGAATATTTACTTGTACAGTACAATGAAATGGATGAAGATTCAAAGAAAGAACAGTTTTTGGTTCACATGGTTCAGTGTTTCTTTCTCATAATATGAAAGTAATGATGAAATTGAAAAGGAGTATTCTTTAGTGATACATTAATAGCCTTTTTTAGTTGAGAAGTACCTAATATGCTAAGCTGGTTCATATGCGGTTGCATTTTGCAGTGTGACAAATGTCTACAAAGTCGTTCAATCAAGAAAAGGGAGCATGTTGTTAGCTTTAGCTATGGTAACTAATCTCCTAACTACCAATTGATTTCAAAATACTCGCTTATGCTGCAAAATTAAAGTCTCTGTTATTTTTCAGCTCTATCCCTTTGTCGTCCTACTGGGAGGAGTTCTGATATGGTAAAGTCATGTTTTCTTCTCTTTTTACCATACCATACCCCTTTGGATCTTACTCTCTTCTTTGGCGTTGTTGAAATCATTTGGATCTTATTGTTTTGCAGGGATTACTTGTCTCCAATCAATCTCATAGCAACATACCCTCACTTAGTTGTACTTGGAACTGGACTTGCATTTGGATTTCTAGTGGTAAGTCTTGATCCTAAATTCTGAGTTAGATCAATATTACAACCATTCTGTAAAAGTTGTAATACAACAAAAAACTTTTATGTTTCTTTTCAGGGAAGAATGATTCTTGCTCATTTGTGTGATGAACCAAAAGGACTGAAAACAAACATGTGCATGGTAAAATCCGATTTAACTTTTCTCGCCAATTTCTCCATCTTGCTGTCTTTTGGAAATGTAACTCTGAAATATTTTTCTTACTTGAAATGCAGTCTCTAGTCTATCTTCCCTTTGCACTAGCAAATGCTCTAACCGCAAGATTGAATGCTGGGTATGTTTTTTGTTCTTCTTTATGTTTTTCCCGGCACGAAGTTGAATGTCTTAAAACTAAACCGAGAATCTTGTTCGTCTTTCAGGGTTCCTCTAGTGGACGAGGTATGGGTTCTTCTTGGCTACTGTATATTCACAGCAGCGTTATACCTTCACTTTGCTACATCTGTCATCCATGAGATCACTGCTGCTCTTGGCATCTACTGCTTCAGGTAATCATTTTCTTCCAAAAACTGTTGTAAAAACTCGATGTTCTTGTTTGAAACGTAACTAACTTAACGGTGTTTTCTTCTTGTTTGTTATCCACAGGATCACGCGCAAAGAAGCTTGAGAAGAAAAAATAAGGGTAATGCTGCTTTATTTTGTGGACCGTTTGATGGACTGATACGGCAAATGATTGATATGGACCGTTGGATCGGTTATGTAGCTCTTCTTTTTTATTCATTGTTGTCTTTGTTTGATCGGAATAGGTGAATTTTATATAGAACTTTGTATTATATTTTCTTTTTTGGATTTATGAATGGGAAATACAAATTATTCTAGAAATATTAAGATTTTGGTTGATTATTTATCATAAAAAGCCTTTGAATTTCGTATTCTTTACTCACCTCAAATATTGTCTAGCTGAAAATGGTTTTACGATTACAAATTTACAAGCCTTTGAAGTATTCGTTGACTTTGACCTTTTGACTTTTGTAATACGATTGTTAACTATAATAAAAAGCATAGTGTGTTTTCGCATTTTATTAATAATTAAACCTAAGGAAAATTATACGTTTGGTTCCTATTTGCTAACATCACCTACCGATTGAAGATTACAGTTTTGACCAGCCAAAAGTCAACATATTTCGTATCCTATAAAAATGTACATCAAAACAATGTATTACAAATTCATTAAACAAACAACATGTATGTAACAAGGCTTTTATCGGAGTATAGGAAAAACCCGTCGGAGCTTAAGAAGCCTCCACCGGAAGGTCCGAACTCCGGCGTGCTTGTGATTCAAGACGAAGTATCACTGACCACTTGTTGCTTTGGATTATGCTACGCAGAGTTCCTCAGAGGACTACCGTTTCCGCAGAACGCAGCGTTGGCCGTTAGACGCGACGGTGGTGGTCATAACAATATTGTTCATCGTGATCCGGTTACGTTCATACCCGTTCTTGGTCTACCTCTATCTTCTAACCGTTATTACACTTATGAACGGCGCGGCTATTATTCGAGGTATAGCTAAAAGTCTTTTCTTAAATGTTATAAACTAAGCTTTTATTTACTTAGGATTAATGTCACAAATATTGATTAAAGTCATTTCAATATGAAAAATATGTTTTGAAAATCTCAATTTGTAGAGAATCATCTACTAGTGATGAAAAAGAGGTGGAGAGAGTCACATGCTGCTTCTGCATTAGATTCAACCACGTTCATGTGTATAAGAAGCCACAACCAGATCCATACGACATTCACCAGCAATTCGTGATCACAACAAACTCATCATATTCTCGTTGCTACTATTACGCGAAGCCTGTTGCTCCTAATGGTTTACTACCTCCGTTCCTTATGAGACAAGGCTTGACAATAGAAAACTCGACTTCAACGCTACAAGACTTTGGTCTCGTAGATGATGCAAAAGGTCTTAACGTAGAGCTTCGTTCTAAGCTTCCCGGTCTTGATATGAACGTTGTGGTGGGGAAATGGTATGTTCCTTTCTTGTTTGTCAAGGAAGGAGACATAATAGATCAAGTGAAGATATCAATGTATTACAACATGACGCTTCATCAGAGATGGGAAGAGGTTTTCTTCTACGAGAATAATGCTCACGATGAAGATTGTGTTGAGGTTGTTGTTGATGTTGATCTTGAAGTTGAAGTAATTCACGTTGAGGGACAAAAGGTTGATATAGAAACAACAATTGTGGATGCTAAAGGGATTGTTTGGTTTAAAGTTGTAGATCATGAAGGCCAAGACAAGAAGATAGGGTTAAGGTCTGTGGTTGTGGAGAGGATGGAAAGCGAAGAGGAGATTTTTGGGTGGAAGAAGATAGATGGAAACCGAGTGACGGTTAAGAGATTTGATCGTTTCAAAGGCGGTTCGTCGAGTTGGAAGAGTTATAAATGTTTTGTATTGGTAGAGAGGTTTGAGTTGAAGAGAATGGATGAGAGTTTGGTGTTGACATATGAGTTTAGACATGCTGATAAGCTGAGGACCATCCAGTACTGAATTTCCCTTTCATTGATGTAAACTCTATTTAAATAAAAATGTAAATGATTCTTTTACAAATGATGTAAAATCATATCCACTATGATATAAAAAGTGGTTGGAGCGTTGAACACAAAGGATGTGAAAGGAATCTTGATGATACAGAGTGGTGTCATGATACAGAGAGGCAAAGACTGTTTATATTATTTTAGAGACATTAGGATATGACCAAGATTATTATGTAGGTGGAGTAAGTTTCCTTGAAATTTCATACAACGAGTCATCTAAATAAGTCAAGTCACCTTGTTCTACAAAAATATTTAGTCTATAAATAAGCATCAAAGTTTTTCTAAACTGATTTCATGATTCTGGTTTACTTTTTATACAAGTAAGTGAAAATGTACATTACACGGCGTTTGTCAGAGTACCGGAGTAATCCAACGGAGCTATCACAAGGTCCAAACTCTGGAGTTTTGGTAATCCAAGACCAAGACCCTAAGATACGTGCTACATGTTGTTTCGGCTCATGGTTGGTCGTGGACTCTTGTTCAAGTGGTTTGCCACTTGCACAGAATCTTAAGCTAGCGGTCAGCTTTAATGTCGGAGGAGACGACAGTACTCGTGACCCAGTTATGTTCATTCCTGTTCTTGATAAGCCTCTTTCTTCAAACTATTACTACGCTATCAAACGACGCGGGAAGCAATCAGGGTATGAATTTGAAAATCTTGAATCTTTCTTCTTATAGTAACACTAAAAGATTTTCCTTTTTTTTTTTTTTTGGTTGCAAGAGAAGCTTTTGTTAGTGCAAAAGAGGAAGATATAGTCACAAGCTGCTGTTGTGTTACACAAGTTGGTGAAGCTAAACCAAAACAGCTAGATCCTTATGACATTTACCAACAGTTCGAGATCCATCAGAAGAAACCATCCTCGCGTAATTACCACGCAACATCTGTTGCGCCTGACGGGGTCCCACCGTGGTTCCTTAAGAAGAAAGAATGGACGGTGGAGTACTCGAGGTCCCAAGAATTTGATTTGAGAGATGATGCAAAAGGAACAAACACACAGCTTCGTTCTGAGCTTCCTTGTATTGGTATTAGGGTTGTGGTTGGGAAGTGGTATGTCCCTTTCATATTTGTGAAAGAAAGAGAAGACCGCAAGGATCAGATGATTCAGATCAAGACATCCATGTATTACAGCATGTCTCTTGAACAAAGATGGGAAGAGGTTTTCTCTTGTGAGAATGATAAAAGCGAGAACGATGTTGTAGTTGATGTACAAGTAGAAGATGAAGTCGTTAAGCTTGATGGACAAGAAGAGATGGGAAGATGTGTGGATGCTGCAAATGGGTTTGTCTGGTTTGGGCTTGGAGACAAGAAGATCGGTTTAGGATCAGTGGTTGTTGAGAGGATGAAATGGGAAGAAGAGAGATTCGGATGGACAAGCAAAGGAGATCAAGGGAGAGCAACAGTTAAGAGATTGGAGAAACCAAAAGATGGTAGCTTTTGGAAGAGTTATCACTGTTATGTTCTGATAGAGAGCTTTGTATTGAAGAGAAGGGATGAGAGTTTAGTCTTAAGACATGAGTTTACACACGTAGATAAGCTCAAAAGCAAATGGGATTAAGCAGCAAATAGCTTTCTTAATCTCAATGATGTCAACTTACATTGGTCCGTGTGTTTTGATATTTATCTTCAATCTCTTTTGGGTGAAGAAAGAATAAAATATTGCTTTTTCTACTGGAGATTCTGACAAATGTTAAGTCAAACTTTAGATTAGGTCAAAGATTTTAGATTAAGTTAATGAAAAAAAATTAGCTTAGTTAACTTCTTTGCACGTTCTTATGATTCTTGATTTATATAAACGATAACATAGATCTTTGAGTAACAAAGAATCAAGAAGAGATGTATGTTACTAAGCGTTTGTCTGAATACCAGAGAAACCCATCGGAGCTTACTTTGCTTCCAACGGAAGGTCCAAACTCCGGCGTGTTGGTGATCCAAGACGAAGAATCACAGCCCACTTGCTGCTTTGGCAAATGCTTTGACTGTGATCTCAATGGCTTACCGTTTCCTCAGAACACAAAAGTCACCGTCAAATACCAAATCGGAAGTTAGTTAGTTACTTTTCTGTTAACTCTGTTTTTGCTCTGTTTACTCTGTTTCTTCTCTGCTTTTATTACATGAGCTTTTGATTTCAATATAGCCGGAGATGACAGAATCGTCCTCCTTGACCCTGTTGCCTTCATTCCTGTTCTTGATCAGCCTCCTGCCTCCAATCTTTACTACGTTATCAAGCGAAGCGGCAAACACACAGGGTGATTTGTCTTTATACATTAATTATATTGAACTCTTATGCAATAATCTTTCTTGTGTTTCATAAATCTTGTGCATCGGGTTTTTAGAAATCTCAAAAGCTTACTTTATTATTAAAATTTGCAGAGAAGCATGTGTGAGTGCAAAAGAAGGAGACAGAGTTTCTTGTTGCATGTGCTTTACATTTGTCTCTAACGCTGAGCCAAAGCCTCTAGATCCTTTCGACGTATACCAACAGTTTGAGATTCATCGAAGAGGATCATCAACTCAAAAGTTCTTTGCTACATCTGTTGCTTCAGATGGAATACCACCACGGTTCTTGAGGAGGAAAGGCTGGGCGGTTTCTTTCTCGTCTTCACAAGACTTTGGTTTGGTTGATGATGCAAAGGGCATAGTAGACGCAAAGCTTCGTTACGAGCTTCCTGGTTTAGATAAGAGCGTTGACGTTGGGAAATGGTATGTTCCGTTCTTATTTGTGAAAGAAGGAGTTGATGCAAAAGATCAGATGAAGAGATCGATGTATTACAGCATGACACTACACCAAAGGTTTGAAGAGGTTTTCTTCTGCGAGAACGTTGATGATAAACAGTTTGAGGTTGTGGTTGATGTGGAGGTGGAAACAGAAGTGGTTAAGCTTGAAGGAGAGAAGATTGCGAGGGAGAATAAAGGTGTGGATTCAGATGGAGTTGTCTGGTTTAGTACTGTCTCAGGGACTGGTCAGGAGAAAGTAGGTCTTGGTTCTGTTGTCTTGGAGAGGATGAAATGGGAAGAGGAGAGGTTTGGTTGGTCGAAGATGAGCTCTAACATTAAGAGATCAGAGAGATTCGAAGGCGGTTCCTCGCACTGGAAGAGCTATCGATGTTATGTATTGGTGGAGAGCTTTGTGTTGAAGAGAATTGATGAGAGTTTGGTGTTGACGTATGAGTTTAAGCATGTTGATAAACTGAAGAGCAAGTGGGATTGAGTCTTGTATCAGCTTCTTTGTGTGCATTTTATTTATGGTGTGTTCATTTAATGAAAAGCTTTGTGCAACTTCATGTGTAATAATAATAACTTGAAGCTCTCACACTTTAACATGCAAAGTCTAGTTTCATGGGTCAAGAACCGGTTTGATGTCAACAAACTCATGGTCATAAATTTGGAATTTAAAAGAGGAGAAACGTCAAAAAAAATTGAAAAGTCTTTAGACAAAAACGTGTAAAATTTTTGCTTAGCACTCGATTCATTAAGGTTTTGTCTATATATTAAGAATCATCACATCTCATGGGATATCTATAATCATTCGCACGTTAAAGATTTTGAATCCAAGATGTATGTTACTTGGCGTCTCTCGGAATGTCAGAGAAACTCTTTCAAAGCATTGCCGGAAGGTCCAAACTCAGGCGTGCTTGTGATTCAAGACGAAGAGTCAAAGCCGACTTGTTGCTTTGGATCTTGCTACGATGGTCTACTCAAAGGCTTACCGTTCCCGCAGGACGCGAAGCTGACTGTGACTTATACAAGCGGAGCTGGTCAGACTAGGACAACTTACCGTGACCCGGTTATGTTCATTCCTGTTCTTGATCATCATCCATCTTCTAACCGTTACTATATCATTCAACGGCGTGGGAAGCATTCAGGGTATGTATGACCTAATAATAGTTTTACAACTTTCTTGTTTTCTTGTTTTCTTATAGGGCTCAAATATGATATTTCTTTGAGATGATAGTATTGCAGTATTAAAGTACTTATTTTAAGTTGATAATTAGTGGATTAGCTCGTCTTTGATATATTACTAAATATGTACTATGTCAACTTTTGATGTGAGGTTTCTAACGATTTTGTAATTATGGATTTACAGAAAAGCTTCGGTTAGTGCAAGAGAGGAAGAGAGAGTCCCCTACTGTTTTTGCTTCAGCTATGTTCCTGATGCTAAGCCACGACAAGCAGATCCTTATGACATAAACCAACAATTCGAGATCCAACCAAAACCATCTTCTCGAAGATACTTTGCAACCACCGTGGCTCCTGGCGGGATACCACCAAAGTTCCTTAAGAGAAATTGGACCGTCGCATACTCGAATTCTCAAGACTTTGGTCTGGTAGATGATGCAAAGGGGATTGATACAAAGGTTCGTTCGGAGCTTCCAAGTGATCTAAACACAAGCGTTGTGGTAGGGAAATGGTATGTCCCTTTCATATTTGTGAAGGAAAGAGAAGCAAAATTTCAGATCAAGAGCTCAGCTTATTACATCATGACGCTTAAACAAAGATGGGAAGAGGTTTACTCGTGTGAAAATGATAATCACAACGAAGAAGAAGAAGAAGGAGAGGTTGTAGTTGATGTTGATGTAGATGTAGAAACAAAAGTGGTGAAGCTTGAGGGGCAAGTAACCAAATTGAGAGAGACAAGCGGTGGTGGAGTTGTTTGGTATGAGAGAGAAGACAAGAAGATAGGTCTAGGGTCAGTGGTCGTGGAGAGGATGAAATGGGAAGAGGAAAAGTTTGGGTGGTTAGACAATGGAGGAAAGTCTAACATTAAGAGATGTGAGAAATTCAATGGAGGTGGTTCGAATTGGAAGAGCTATAAATGTTATGTGTTGGTAGAGAGCTTTGAGTTGAAGAGAATGGATGGGATTTTGGTCTTGACATATGAGTTTAAGCATGTTGAGAAGTTAAAGAGCAAGTGGGATTGAGTTTTAATCCATCTTTGTTCAGCTTCTTTACGTGTCTTGTGTGGTTTAATAAGTGAATAAGTTATGTATGTAAGTTCATGTAATAATAAACGTAAGGTTTCATTTCATGTAAAACTCAATTTTAATGAATCTAAATTGGTTGCAAATTAGAAACTAAAGGTTTAAAACTTTGGAACTCAAAGGTGGATAAGACTTGAAGTTTTGTGAGCAAAACTGCTAGATGAAGCTAAAATATGTACTGTAGAGATCTTAATATTCACCATGAGACAAAGATGATAATATGTGATGTGAGCCCAAAAACGTCATTGATGGTGAGATTAACATTTAAATATGTGAGCCCAAAATGGAGATTCATCGTACTAATATATACTTATGAAATATATACTTATAAAAGACTAAAAAATAGAAAAAACGTTTTTTTTCTATTTTTTATTTTTTATGGACATAAAAAACATGAATATGCAGTTCATAGCTTGGAAACACCTATGATGGTCTATATATATAACCTATATCCCTAAGAAATATTCCTGAGAAATTTATTGCTTTTTTAGAAGCTTGTACCACATACATTAAGGGAAGAACTCCACATGTCAATGTCAAACTTTCATAATCAAATATTGGAAATCATTGAGTAGACAGTAGACCATAATGGTCGTCATATATGATATACATCAATCAGCTTCTCCATGAACAAACTCAATTCCTCTAAACGATCCCTCTTCTTCCAAGGGTTATACAATATTTTCTCAAAACACTTTGAAGAGTGCAAAATAAAACGAATTGTAAAATAGAGTGCAATCACTAAGACTTGACAGAATGATTGGAAAAAGAAAAAAACCAAGCAGCTTACCGTGGCTCAATCCTACATGATAAGACCTATGAAAAGCCACACAAAAATTCAGAAGGATTTTGTAGAAAACTAAACATATATAAACAGAAAAGAGTTAATGATAAACAGGACTATGTATTTCCTAAGAAGTGTTGCAACGTCTGATATCTGTCAATCTGTCATGATGCTATTAAAGATAAAGTCAATAAGTACATTTATCATTCTAGAAAGTCAATGAGAACTAAACACGTAAGTAGTTATTGAAGAAAACCCAAAGATACAAAAAACGCGAAGCTGACTGTGAATTACAGCATCACAGTTAATAACGTGACCATCGGTTATCGTGATCCTGTAGTTTTCATCCCGGTTCTTGACCAGCCGCTGTCTTCTAACCGTTACTACGCCATTAAACGAAGCGGGAAACACTCAGGGTATGACTTAGAATAAGCAGAATTTTTAATGTTCTTATTTTTTTAAAATTATGTGTAGCTTATATAACACCAAAATAAAAATAAACTGAAAACATAATTTCTAAGATTTCTAAATAACACCCTTAATGAAAATTAGGGATCTATTTGGTTAAATCCTTGTAATTCACAGGATTTAAAAAAAAAAAAAAAATCAAGAACGTTAGGTTTAAAACCTATTGGTTTAATTCCTTGTAATTCACAAGACATTACCTGGCTAGTAACTAGTAACTAGTATTAGTAAGACTCACCCATAAAGATTCTAATAAAAGTCAATGCATAGTTTTGACCAGCCACGTAATGTCTTTCCGTGCTGTTAGAGGGAACTCAGCATGTAATTGCTATTGGTTTTATATTAGATTCAAATGCGAAAACATGCATACACTATGGTAGTAGTTGATTCCCTCGTGTTACAAAAAGCCAAAAGTCAACCAACACCTCAAAAGCTTGTAAGCGAAATTCAGCCAGGAGGTATGAGAAGAAAATAAACTACTTAGTGTGCAACTTGTGGTTATAATCAATAAAATTACAAGGAAATCGTAAGAATCCGACTGGTGTGAGATATATAGTTGAATGACATGCATTGACTTTGATTAGAATATTTTTGGGTTTCTAATGGGCTTAATCTTGGTTAACTCTATAGAGGGTATCCGGTTTGTAAGAGCACGTCCAACGGGGGACGCTTAACCAGGTGCTTAGGCAAAAATTAAATAAAAAAAAAAAAAATAGAGAATTCGACGCTTATTCAAGCCGGGGAAGCGTCGAAGCTTACCTGCCACGTGGCAGGAGCTGATTGGCTCGGCGGTAATTGAGAAGTGACAAAATTATTTTCTCTTCATTTTCTTCCTCCGGTTTCTCTCTCCTCTCTCACCACTCGGTGGCTCTTCCGAAGGCGATTTTGGGGGTTATCTGAAACATGGAATCAACCATCGATTTCTCTCCAGAATCTGCAGTGATGATAATCGGCGAAACGGTGGCTCTTCATTTTGTCTTTCTGCATGTGTAATAATCGGCCGCGATGCTTCTCTGGTTCACGGCGACTCAAGCTTGTGACGACTTCTGCATCTTGTTCGTCCTCTTCCTCTTCCAAGCTCTGCTTCATTTTTATAAAACCCAATTAGAGAAACTCCTAGATATCTTTTCTCAAATCCACGATCTCTTTCTATAACCCATTTCAAACAGTCGTAATCATTCATCTTTCTCTTCTGGCGATTGGGTTTCATAAAAGTTTTGACTTTTGATTTTTCTGTATGCAAAACCATTCAAAGGTGAGTTATGAACTTATGATCATCTTTTTCTTCTTAAACTTGTTCAAATAAATCACAATTTTTTTGTTTCAGAGTAAAGGATTCAACTTGATTACGTCTAAATTAAATTACTTGTAGTTGTAGCTTTGAGATCCTTCCTCTTACCCTCTGGTCTTTTGGGTCAAAATCCATTCAAGTAAAGTTTCACTCTTTGAATCTAAAGTTCGAAATTTTGAATGAGCTCAAGCCAGTGAAACACTGGAATTGATTTCTTTCCATGTCTAAGACCAATTCCTCTGTTTAGTTTGGATGTTTTAGTTATAAGTACTCAACTGTGGAAATGCTTTAACTTTGCAGATTAGTTGTTTGATAATTTGCTCCAACGAACTCAAATAGTAATAATGTTTTCTTTATGCCCTGCAGTGGAGAAGCCTCGGTTTTTGAATCTCTTGTGGAGAATGAAGTGTTTCTTTTTCACTGGTGGGGACAAGAAAGACGAACAGAAGACCCCGACAATCAGCTTCCAGATTATGATAGGAGGCAATGGGAACAAGGATTCCATAAAGACATCCATCGGCTTTCTTTTGTAAGTTATTCAAAATTCTTTTCATGAAAAATTCAGTACCTTTCTTGATTTTCCTCGTTTATTTGAATAAAAAGCTAAGTGCATTTCGTAGAGTTAGTGGTGGTGTTGTTGTTAGGTGATAATAAATGCACGTTTTAGTTGTATATTATGGTTGTGATCATGAATGCTTGTCCGAAAGTTAATGTTGATTGATGGTTTGACTAATGCTTTCAATGTTAGGCTTAGCTTTGTATGGATTATAGGGTTACGTTTCTGTTCATCGTGATTAATGCTATGAATGCTAGATTATGGTTGAGATTGATATGAATGCTTGGAACTTCCTGCCTCTTCTCCTTTCCCTTTTAAAACTCACTGCTTTTTCTCATTTCCGGTTTAAAACTCCCTGCTTCTTTTTCCGTCTCTTTTTCCATCCTCTTTCCGATCATCTTTGTTCCTTATGAATCTGTATTCTCAACCCACCAATTATACAGCCCTCTTAAACAGCCAACAAGATCCCCAATCTTTTTCTTTTGAGTCTCATGAGCCAAGCGTACAACTAGGCTCATCTCAACTCCCTGTCTTCGGTACTCAATATGGTGAAGGGTCAAGTCTGGATGGAGACACACCGTCGGAACCGAAAGAGAGGAACGCATGGAATCCGCCGGATGATCATCTGCTAATCAGCGCATGGCTGAACACGAGCAAGGACCCGATTACAAGCAATGAGCAGAAGTTACAAGCTTTCTGGACACGGATTTCAGTTTATGTGACGGCAAATGCTAAAGCTGCAGGAAGAACCATGAAGAGAGAGCCAACTCACTACAAGAATAGGTGGCAGAAGATTAGTGGGTTGGTTACAAAGTTTAGTGGAGCCTATGCGGCAGCAACAAGAGAGAGAGCTAGTGGTGAGAACGATGTTGACGTTTTGAAGAAAGCTCACCAGATATTCTACAAGATTCACAAAAAGAAGTTCATTCTTGAGTATGCTTGGAGTCAACTGCGCCATGACCAGAAATGGTGTGAGCTATCTACAAGTAAAACTGATTCAGACTCTAAAAGAAGAAAGTTTGATGATGGTTCAAATTCGGCAACCTCTTCTGCTGCTGATGAAGCACAGACACGTCCTCCTGGTGTTAAGGCGGCTAAAGCCAAGGCTAAGAAGAGTGTGGAGGAAGGCAAAAATGATGTCGAGCTGCGCACCATTATGGAGATTAAAAATAAGGACTACGAAATGAAAAAGAAGGACAACGAAATGAAAGATACTCTGGCTGACAAGAAGATACTAGACAGTCTCATTGCGAAAACAGAACCATTATCTGAGGCTGAAGAAGCTTTGAAGGAGAAGCTTATTTCGTTGATCTACTCTTAAGTAGTGTTTCAGATTTCTGGTTTAGGTTTGTGTTTGAGTTTATTTGTGTTTGTGTTTTATTTGAGTTTATTTGTGTTTGTGTTTTATTTGTGTTTGCCTTCTCGGTTTCATGTTTGTGGTTAGGCCAAGTTGTGTTTAATGAAAGCTTTGTCTCTAAGTTGTGTTTTGTCTCTGTTTTGTATTTAAGCCAAGTTGTGTTTAATGAAAGCTTTGTCTCTAAGTTCTGTTTGCTTAAAGCTTTGTGTGATGTAAGTAAATAGAAACCACAAAGACTTACCTTTATGAATTTGTGGTATGTTTCAAGTTCTCGTAACAGCTAACTTTTTTTTTGTTTTGATTTGACACCATTTGCTCTTGTGGTTTTAGATTTGTTTCCTTGTTGTGCTGTTGTGTTTTTAGTTCTTTTTTAATGTTGTGTTTGATGTTAATTTCATTACAAGGTTGTTTAACGTTTTAGTTGTTGGTTAATTGTTGGTTTTGTCTGTGATGCAACAGGTTCTCTCATGTCGGAGGTTGGAAACTAGTGGTGGGGAAGCCGTGTCTCACGTCGGCACAAGAAAGTGGCGGAAACAAACAAAAGGGACCATGTGCAATTGTGTCACGAGATTTTTATGTTCCTTTATTTATCAATCCCATTGTATTTTCAACTCTATATATTCGCTCTCTTTCACAACTCTGATTTGTATTCTCATTTCTCTTTAACAAGTCTTGTTTCTCCTTTCTTGATACACATCCTTTCCATTCTCTTCTTTTTGTTTATTTTTGGCAAACATACACTTGCTAACAAGTTTCTTTCTTCTTTCTTTGTTATCTATTTTCTTTCATAACAACTCCAAAAATATTTATAAAAAAATTGTGGCTTCTTCTTCTCATAATGATTATGATGCTGATTCAATTGATGAATATCTTGATTCGAGAGTTGATCAAATACTAGAGCAAAGGCTGTAAAATATATCCATGGGCACTAGTGACAATCAAGCAGCAAGGAAACCAAAAAAAAAAAGGTCATATTAAAAGAAATCGCGTAGAAGGTGATATGCAGTTACGGAGAGATTATTTCGATAAGGCGGCAACATACCCTACTCACTTATTCCGAAGACGTTTCAGAATGAACATGTCGTTGTTCTTACGCATTGTCAACGATTTGAAAAGGGCAACCCCAGATTTTGAACAACAATATGATGCTCTTGGAAAGCCTGGTTTTACTGCACTACAAAAGTGTACCGCAGCAATTCGGATCTTGGCATACGGGTCAGCGGCTGATGCGGTTGACGAATACCTCCGGATGAGTGCAAGTAGTGCTTCTTCCTTTTTAGAATCATTCGTGGAAGGAATCATACAGGTGTTTGGGAATAAATACCTAAGAAGACCCACACCGGAGGATCTTCAAAGACTACTCGATAAAGGAGCGGAACGTGGATTTCCCGGGATGATAGGAAGTATCGACTGTATGCACTGGGAGTGGAAGAATTGCCCTACCGCTTGGAAAGGGCAATATTCACGTGGTTTTGCGAAGCCCACGATCGCTTTAGAGGCTGTAGCTTCACATGATCTCTGGATATGGCACACGTTTTTTGGAGCTCCAGGTACCTTAAACGATCTCAATATACTTGATCGATCACCTGTTTTTGATGATATAATAAATGGTCAAGCTCCACCAGTGAATTTCTCTGTAAACGGAAATGAGTATCATCTAGGATACTATCTCGCAGATGGTATTTATCCGGCATGGGCAACTTTTATCCCAACTATTAAAATTCCGGTAAACCCAAAACAAAAGTTATTTGCTAAACTTCAAGAAGCTTTCTGGAAAGATGTCGAGCGTGCGTTTGGAGTCTTGCAAGCTCGTTTCGCCATTATTAAAAATCCGGCCCTCTGTATGGATAAAGTAAAAATTGAAAAGATTATGAGAGCATGTATCATACTTCACAACATGATAGTAGAAGACGAACGAGATGGAGACTATGATGAAGCAGAATTCCAACCAAGAGAAGGAAACATAAGTTCAGATGTACGTCATTCAGATGATATGCCTACGAATGTCGAAGAAATGATGGGTGTTCGAGTAAATCTTCGTGATGAACAAAGGCATCAACAATTGAAATATGATTTGGTTGAGAATGTATGGGAAACATTTGGACATCTGTATTAACAAATTGTTGGAGATACTTAACATGATGGTTAAGTTTTTATTTATGTTTATGTTCTTAAATTTTATGTTTAAAATGTTTGTATGTCAAGTATGTTTCAAATTTTAATTTATGCAATGTATTTTATGTTTTGTTCACTTATAAAATTAAAATTATTTTTTTTTTCTTAAGCACCCCAAAATAAGATACTCTCATTGGAGTCAGAAAAAACTGAGAATTCTTAGCACATGTGCTTACACACTTTTAGTATTAAAAAATCGTTTAAGCTTCTTCTTAAGCTTCCCCATTACTCATGCTCTAATGCGCTTGTTGGCAATTGTGTACGGTGTATGGGTAGATTGAGTAAGATGTTGACAACTTTAATGTGGGGCCCTCATTACACACTAACATGTAATGCCTTTCAAACAGTTTTTACCCGTGTTAAAAAAAATATTCTCAGATGGGGCCCTCATTACACAATAACAACAATATTCTCATACCTTTTGTTCTTTCAAAGTCACTTTTTCTGTTACGATTTTGTTTGTATCTAAATGTGGTATTGTTTTTTTTTTTTTTCTTATAAAAAGGCTTATTGTTTATATGATTATATAGCATAACTTTAAAACCAACGAGTTTTTTCTTGTATCGTAGACTCATATATTAAACACAGAGTTACATATCAATGTATACACATTTTCAGTCCGTACAGAATATTTTCTCTATATTCTTCTTTTCAACTACCAGACAGAGACAGGTGCATCAGTGACCGCGTATATACTATAATTAGAAAGTTAAGGTTGGGGAATAAAGTAAAGGATTTTGTGATGTTGACACGTTGCAGATTCCCGATATACTCGTGTGGTGGACAAGAATTTTATTAATTCTGAATGGTTATTTTTGTTTTTGTAGAGAATATTTGTTTTTATTACTAGTTTTTTTTTACAGATTGACTAGAAGAGGAATATGAGTTGGACTATTTCGCCATGCATGGTTATTAACTTTGCCTAAGTAACGAAATTTTACGCGTTCATATTTCCTAAGTTCGGTAAATGAAGATGTGTAGTTTTGATCCGTAATAAAGATGGATCCGTAGTCTTTGACGATATGATCAAATAGCATAACTTTAAAACCAACGAGTGTTTTTCTTGTATCGTAGATTCATATATGAAACATAGAGTTGCATATTCGATCAAAAAAAAAACATAGAGTTGCATATCAAAATACATAAATTTGCAGGGTATATATTCAAAACTAGAAATTCTGTGTTGTGTGGTGGACTAGAATTTCATTAATTGTGGGTTTAAATGGTTAATAACTTGGGCTCGAAATAGTTAAGAAACGAATTTGTACGCGTTCATACTTAGGTTTGGTTAAGGCAGATGCATCGTGACGCATTAGCAACAACAAAAGAAAGAAAGAGTTGAAGAAGCAATTGTGGAGTGACAAAAAAAGAATGAAATTAAATATCCTGCGGAATTCAGTAGAATTTTTTTTGTATAATCAAACAGAAAGAAAACTCAGGTTACTATTTTGGTTTTAATAAAATGATACATGAATCAACAGTATACACGCTATTTCACTTCTTATCCTATATATATAGATTAGTTTCGTTCTTTCTTCTTCATATACCTCATTGTGAAAAGAAAAAAAAAAATCCATTTGAAACAAACACTTCATCTTCATTCCTCTTCTTCATCTTAAGGAAAAATGAGTCCAGTTGTCAGTGATTACGACCTTTTCCAAGCCGCAGCCGAGTTCAAGAAAGAAAACACGAAACGCATTGCAGATCACTTGAAGATACCGGAGAGCGAGGTACAAAGGCGGCTTCACTTTCTGATCAACGATCTCGAGAGGCCAGTGAAAGGAGAGAAGAGTGAGAAAGGAAAGAGGAAGTGGAGCGAAAAGGAAGAGAAGGAAAAGGAAGAGAAGGGCAAGAAGATTCGGCTTGGACCAAGGAAAAGGCTCCAACTCGATGATTGAGCACGTACGGACGTATAGGTATTTGAATAAATTTTAATACTACTCTAGAGAGAAAAATCAGGTTGATTTTCGGTTATTATATTTATTGAAACTTGAAAGCCAAGTATTGTAAATAATGAGTACTCGACTTGATTGTTCTTACTTAATCATAGTAACAAGTGCGGTGGTGTTATTTTATTGTCGATCGTTAAAAAGCCCATATCACACATGGGTACTCAAAATATAGCCCAAAGTCGAAATTTAATAAATCTGCCAAATACCCTTCCCCAATCGATAACTCTTCTAATTTCTGATTTCTCCGATCACACCAGCAATTGAAATGCGCGGATTCATCGATCGCTTCTATTTATTTAGTTATTTAGCAGATTAAATTGTATGTTTTCTCAGGCCGACCTCTAATCGTTCTCTCCGTCGCTCACTTTGCCTATCTTCCTATCTCCCATCACTATTTCTCTGTCTCTCGTCCTCTATCTCTCTCTTTCTCGACGATTTGGGCGTTTTCCGATTGTTCGCCGGCGAGGTACGGCTGAGGATCTCCTGGGCGTTCGGTTCTTCTACGGTTGAGGACAAGCTAAGTATCCCTCTTCTCTCATCTCTTACTTAGATTTCGTTTTGCAATTCGCATGTTTGTGATCTTGATCTTTCTTGAATGTAATGTTTGAAGCTTCGATATAATATCTCTCTGTTTTTCGCGTTTGATCTTTGCTGAATCTAGAGTATTTTAGTGTTTGATCGTAGTTAATAACGACATGAGAGCATCATTTGAAGCAAGTTTTTGTTCTTGATGTTTTTACTTTTTACACGGTTTATTTAGTTATTTAGCAGATTAAATTGTATGTTTTCTCTGTTTTGCAGGAAGGCCAGCTCAGCAAGGAGTGAATTCCATCTCTGGTAGTTTTACTGATTATCTCTTAGTGGGCTTTTAAATTTGCTTATGCAAGGAATGAATTCGATCTCAACTGTACATATGGTATGTTGGTGAAAACAGAATCAATAGAAACGGTTGTAATCTGCGACGAGAATCTAGTTTGTTTAATTGAGTTTTTTCTTCTTCAATGATTACCATTTTGACATTTTGTTCATTCGAATATTTACAATATATTTACCATCAGATTTTTTATAAGCCTTGCGTCGGTTGTTATCTGACTTGATTTGAACGAGATTTTGTAGTGATCTAGTTAGTAAACGAAACCTTCTATCGAGTCTAATAAACCTTTAACTTCCTCATTTGTCAGTTTGTCAACTAGGCAAAAGTGAAAAGTCACACTTGTAATTAGGAGTTTTAAAGTTTGCAATACAGCTATAGTTGAGACTTTGAGAGAGACCCCATTTGTAAACATCATCTGATTTTTCTTCGGACCTTTATTAATTACAACCACAAGAAGAAACTAAGAGAGCTTCCAAGAAAGTATATAAGCAAAACTTCATGATCACATCAAAACATTTCCAAAAAGGTTGATCTGCTCTTGTCCTTTTTTGATGTCTCAAAGTGTTTCATACCAAAGCCGAAGATGAATCTAAGTTCTTATCCTTTGGGGTCTAAGTTGATGCTTCTCTTATGTTACATATTGACATGAACACTATCCAAGTCAATACTGTAAGAAAAATATTTGTTTGTGTCTTTTTCTTCTCATTATTTTATTGTTGTTTCTGCTTTGTTTCCGATTTGAATGGGTCTCTAAATCTTTGCAATCTAAGACCACCTACAGTTTTGCCACATGTAACCATCATCTACAATTTTATTAAAAAAAACAAGTCTTCCATTTTATTAAGTATATAGATGAGTGATGATGAATAAGTTCATTTGGTTATCATTCGTTACAAACTACTGTGCTCAATTTTTGTTTTTCTCCTTTTTGTGGGATTAAAACTCCAAAACCATTTCAATCACATATTATCTCTCCATCACATGTAATCTGCGACGAGAATATTGTTTAATTGATTTTTTTTTTCTTCAATGATTACCATTTGACATTTTGTTCATTCGAATATTTACCATCAGATTTTTACAAGCCTTGCCTCGGTTGTCATCTGACTTGACTTGACGTGAACGAGATTTTGTAGTGATCTAGTTAGTAAACGAAACCTTTTACCGTGTCTCATAAACCTTAACTTCCTCATTTGTCAGTTTGTCAACTAGCCAAAAGTCACACTTTTAATTAGGAATTTTAAAGTGTGCAAATACAGCTATAGTTGAAAGAGACCCCATTTGTAAACATCATCTGATTTTTCTTCGGACCTTTATTAATTATAACCACAAGAAGAAACTAAGAGAGCTTCCAAGAAAGTACAACAATACATGCATCTAACAGACCACGCTTGCTTGTGCACTAGTTTTCATAACCGCGTCTCAGATTCTTGTGGTGTAATGAAATTGATCACCAAACGAAACAAATAAACAAGTCTTCCATTTTATATAAGTATATATATATATATCAGTACGATGAATAAGTTCATTTCGTAATCATTGTTTACAAACTACCGTGCTCAAATTTTTACTACTCTTGTCCTTTGATGATGTCTCAAAGTGTTTCATACCAAAGCCAAAGCATAAGTATATATCAGTACGATGAATAAGTTCATTTCGTATCATTGGTTACAAACTACAGTTTAGTGTGCTCCAATTTTTATTTCTCCTTTTTTGGGATAAAATCTCCCAAACCTTTTCAAAAATCTTTCAGTTTCTCTACCATTTTGAAATCCTTTGATTATTCTAAAATTTATCATCCAAATTCCAGTTTTAGCACAACTTCACACACTCTCAATTTCTTCATATAAAAACTAGCTACCGTTGATGTCTCTCAAGTGTTTCAAAACCTTGGTACCAAAGCCAAAGATCAATGTCCATTTTGGGCTCACATATTTACATGTTAATCTCACCATCAATGACGTTTTTGGGCTCACATATTAAAATCTTTGTCTCACTCTCACCTAATGCCCAGTCTAGATATTGGGTTTTCTTACAACAACCCAATCTCGCAATCTTATCATAAGACGATAAGTGTAAAACATCAAATCTGAGATGATGCTTGAGTTACTCGACTTCTGAATTTACCTTGGTTTTAGGGTTGATCGCTTATTGCTCATTGAAGAAGAAAAAAATTCATTTAAAACAAACTAGATTCTCGTCGCAGATTGTATCGTTCCGTGAGCCAATAAACTGATCCGCTTCTGGATGCTGGCGTTTGGTCGTCAAATATTCGGTAGCCTGGAATGCAAGGCAAGTATCTCCAGGCGTTTACCCTAAAATCGATGACCTCGCACTTGGTGACTCCTTCGTTTGGACTCATGACGTCAGAATTGTATTTATCAGAATTATACAACCACACCAATTTATAAGCACACGACGTCTTTACGAATGCTAGTCGAGGGATTGGCTTAATGACGTATTTGCGTTTTGCGTATGTCTTTCATTGCTTGCTTTTGTTACGTTCATATCAAGATATGCGTGTTAATTGCATAACAAAATATATTTTTTTTTTGTTAAAGGGTTTGCATAACAAAATATACATATAATAATCAAACGATGCATTTAACAAAAATAATAAAAAAATCAAACAATGCATAACAAACATGTTCTAATCATTATTTGATTAAACTTTCATTCAGTTTAACACGCATTTTAATTTGGTTAAAATTATATAGCTTAAGGATTATGGATGACCAACAGGTTCAATTTTATCATGAAAAACAATAAATTCCCACCCTCCACATACATTAAATACATAAAAGAGAGAGAGTATGCAAGTGTTTAGATATGAGATTTTAAACTCTGGAAATAAGGAATAACTCTTCTACAAGAAAGTTCTTTGTAAAATGCAGAGTACATATTGGTTTGTGGATCATACTTCACCAGACCTTCAGCATAACGATGTGTGAGTAGGATCTCCTTGTTCTTGGATATCCCCACCGGTGTGCACGGCCGAAAAACATCCCTGCGGACCCAAGTAAAACCAATACCAGATAGAGACCATGAAGAACAAGAAAGAAGATCGATAGTATAAATCTTCATCCACGTGTCCTCTGATGATGATTGCAAGCTCCAAATCTCTTGGATCATTGTACCGCGCTTCCTTTTCGACATGCAGAGACGATTATCCAAAATGCACATGTCTATATGGTCAGGATGTGAACGAGCGACCGGATTCCTAGGCAACATTCTAAATGTTTCAGTATGAAGATCCAAAACTATTACTTTGGTTTCACCATTGTATCGTTCCGTGAGCCAATAAACTGATCCGTTTCTGGATGCTGGAGTTTGGTCGTCAAATATTCGGTAGCCTGGAGTACAAGGCAAGTATCTCCAGGCGTTTGCCCTAAAATCGAAAACCTCGCACTTGGTGACTCCTTCGTTTGGACTCATGGCGTCAGAATTGTATTTATCAGAATTATATAACCACACCAATTTATAATCACACGACGTCTTTACGAATGCTAGTCGAGGGATTGGCTTAATGTCTCTCAAAGTTTCTCGAGTGTATGTTGCATTTTGCATCAATGCTTGAAACCTAGCTAGAGGAACTTGTCGTTGCCACACTGTGGCCGGGTTAACTACATATATGGATGATTTAAGATAATATATGCAAATAAGACCGTCGCAGTTTTCAGAAGCTTCCAAGCAATTTTGGTCAGGGATATTGCGAAGATTGAGGGTTCGAAGAGAAGCCGAGTCCAAGTGCACTGTTCTAAACTCAAAATTTTGACTATCAAAGGAGACAATTAGGATTTTCGGATGATCAATGTTGGATTGCTTGACAATTCTCAAATGTCTCTCTTGGAAATATAGAGATCCAATGGTCGATCTCCATTGTTTTGACACAATCTTGAATCGAATAAGAGATTCGACGGGAAGTCTCAAGAGAATTTCCTCTACCATGTCGTATGGGATTTCTTGATCGTCTCTTCTTTTCCTCTTTCTTGGTGATGAGGATGCAATCACTTGCTTCTCTTTCTCCATTGCAATGATTGAATAGAATGCATCTACATACTTCATCTCTTATATATATACCAAAATCTAAGAAATGGGAAAATATTATCCCCCGGAAAGGCAGACATGCATGTTAATAAATCTCATTTCAATTGAAAAGGCACATATATATAGATGTTAATAAATCATAGTTTCTTAGTGCCACATTTTATTTTATTAATACTAATTAGAAAAGGCTGATGAAAAAGGAATTATATAACCACTTAAATTTTAGCATATAATCTGTATTAGATTTTTATTTCATTTAGATTATATAACCACTTAACTTTTGGCATATAATCTATAGATTATGACAAATATATTTATAGATTTCATATTTATTGCAAAGATGTAAGATTTTTTTTTTTTACAGATGTAAGACTCTATCGGATGTTCTTCTCTACTTATTATCTTCTTGTTTGTTTAAGGCTTGAAACTTCTTCATAGGTTCCTGCAACATTGTCCAATCTGTTTTTTTTTCTTGGTTTTTTTAGACTGTCTCCGATTCAGAAGAATTAGAACACAAAAAACTCACTTTAGATAACACAAGTTTCTAACGGTAGAGTTTGATTCAAAGAAAAATCACATCATTTACATCTGATATATCAAGTCATAGCTAGAGGAAGTTCTCTAAAGTGGTGAGTCACCCTTGAAAATATGTAAACAGGTTGGAGTAATTAATGATATAGTTTTATAACCAAAAGTCGACATACACATAATAATGATATATATGAAATTGAAAATTAGTTTTACACGAACAATTAGATTAATTACACCATTTGTTGTATTATTATCTTACCAACATACACTTGGAAAGTAAAAAAAAAAACAATGCTTTAACTTTCAAATTTATTGAAATCGAAATTTCTGAATTAAATTTTCTACAATTTTTCCTTATATTGTGCTTATGTTTTGATCAGTACAACTATATGAGTTGTGGTATCTGATTATGCTCCCATTATAGTTTTGATTTAAATCCAAATCTTGTTTGAATCAAACTCTATTGTTACTAAGTTTGCTACTTTAGTGAGGTTTTATGAATAAGAGAGAGTCTCAAGAATTAACAGATTATCAAGAAACCCATTAACAAAGCTTCAACAAACAAGAACAAACAAAAAAACGGTCTTACATTTTTGCATCTCAATCTGAAACTTTTCTTCTCACTAAGTTTTCTCGAGAGAATAACAAAAAAGAAACCCCAATTTTCCAATGTAGTAAAAACGAAATTACAAAAACAAACAGGCAATTCTCATATCTACCACTAAGTCAAGATACTCCTTGAAGAACTCTGGATCAACGTCGTTAAAATATCTTTACGATTCTGCACGTTCAACGTCAAGCTATGAACAGCTTGGTTCAATTCTGACTTGTTTAGAAACGTGACTTCCTTGGAACTGTTCGTGACGGGCCAAGACTTCAACAGCCCCCTTATACCCGTATCAGCGAGTTTGCAATCTTTCTCCACAAGTGATACAATAAACTCATTTGGTTCATTGCCAGCTTTCAAAAACCAATTTAAAACAAAATACTGAATGAAAGCTAATAACTTGAAAGTAAAAAAACAATGCTTTCACTTTCAAATTTATTGAAATCGAAATTTATGATTTAAATTTTCTTTAATTTTTCCTTATATTATGCTTATGTTTTGATCAGTACAAATACTATAAGAGTTGTGGTAGCTGATTATGCTTCCATTATAGTTTTGATTTAAATCCCAATCTTGTTTGAATCAAACTCTATTGTTACAAAGTTTTGCTATCTTTAGTGAGGTTTTATGAAACAGAGAATGTCTCAAGAATAAACATATTATCAAGAAACCCATTAACAAGCTTCAACAAGCAAGAAGAAGAAGTAAAAGAAAAAGAACCGGTCTTACATCTTTGCATCTCTCTTCAAAGAAGATGAATCTGAAACTTTTTCACTACGAGAATAACCAAAAAAAAAAATATAATAAAATAAATAAATCCAATTTTCCAATGTAGTAAAAAACGAAATTACAAAAACAAAAAAACTTTCTCTACAACTAAAAAACAAAAAAAAAAACCTTAAGATGAACTCTTTTGCTTTTGCATCCCCATTTCCTCCAACCGTTTCCATGTCGCCTCGCGTTTCGCTTCAATCTCAGCTTCTTTCGATTCATTCTCAAATGTATTATTTTTCATTCAACCGTGTGCTTCTGTCCGGCGGCTAGAGGTTTCCAGTCAGTTTACTTCGGTGTTGTCTACAAAAAATTACTTTACTTTTCTTTATTTTTTCCTTATATTTTGCTTATGTTTTGATCAATACAAATACTTTGTGGTAGCTGATTATAACAGCGTAAAATGCTTCCATTATAGTTTCTAAATCCCAATATTCTTTGAATCAAACTCTATTGTTACAAAGTTTTGCTATCTAGTCTCAAGAACAAACAGATTATCAAGAAACCCCATTAACAAACAAGAAGAACAACAACAACAAAAAAAACCGGTCTTACATCTTTGCATCTCTTCAAAGAAGATCAATCTGAAACTTTTTTCCTCACTAAGTTTTCTCGAGAGAATAACAAAAAAAACAAAAAGAAACCCCAATTTTCCAATGTAGTAAAAAACCAAAATTACAAAACAAAACCTCTCTACAACTAAAAAAAAACTTAAGATGAACTCTTTTGCTTTTGCATCCCAATTTCCTCCAACCGTTTCCACCTCGCCTCTCGTTTCGCTTCAGTCTCAGCTTCTTTCGACTCATTCTCTCTAAACTTAGCAAGACACTCCTTGAAAAACTCCGGATCAACGTCGTTAAATATCTTCTGCACGTTCAGCGTCAAGCTATGAACAGCTTGGTTCCAATGCTTCTGTGTGTTCCTCTCCAATGCAGGAAATATAATCGGAAGAATCACTTTCCGGTTCTGCATTATCAGATTCTCTATATGATCGTTGTTCCACAAGAACAAAGCTCTCTCTGCAACCTACAATACATTACAAGACTCAAGACTCAAGATTCAAGATTCAAGACTCAAGATTCAAGATATTCAAGATTACCTGAAAATGGAGACTGTTCAAACAGCGAGCGACTCGGCGAAACAAAGGGACCATGCAGCGTTGGAACTCAGGCGGCTGAGTCGCTTCCAACACTTCCTCCAGCTCGTTGAGAAACATGACTTCCTTGGAGCTGTTCGTGACGGGCCAAGACTTCAACAGCCCTCTTATAACCGTGTCAGCGAGCTTGCAGTCTTTCTCCACGAACTGAGTGATGCAATAAGACAGCTGCTGGTGATACATCTGCAAGCACTTCGGCTTGTGGAGAGGCACCAAGGCTCTCACAAGAAACACCTTGTGCTCTTCTTTAAGCGGCAGAGCGAATCCATTAATAATACTCCCCAAGATCTCGAGAAACTCAGCGATCCCGTTGTGTTTCTCAGTCTCGAACACAAACCTATAAAAGATGTTGTTGATGGACTTCCTGATAAACGGACGATGCACCATGAACTTGCCGTAGACACGATGCAGCACTGTTTTCAAACAGTCTCTCTCTCTAGGATCCTCTGAGTCAAACAGATCAAGCAACCGTGTGACAAACGTTTGGTCAATGTACTTCTTAGCCAGCTTCGTGTCTGTCTCCGGCGAAGCGATGAGCCTCAAGAGAAGCTCGTAGACAAGCTGCAAGTGAGGCCAAGCTGGATCCATGGACGGCTCTTCTTCCTCCAAATCCAAAGCGTCAATCACTTTGTTCTCTCTCGGCTGAGGATTCAACGTTCTGAATATGTTCACAGAGACCGTTCTAATGGATTCTTGGATCACATTCTCGCTGAACTTGGCGTTCGCTGAAGCTACGTAATCCACTAGCTCGAGCAATGTCTGACGTTTGATCTCTTTCGCCTTGACGCTCTTGGTTGGATCGGAGAAATCGAATGATGCACAGCACAAGGTGAGCTTTTTCAAGAAAAGGTTTGGTTTTTCCGCGTTTGGAACGTCTTTGAAACTCGGCAATGCTTCGTAGGGAGTGAAACCGTTTCCTTTTGGTAAAGTCCCGTCTTTTAACAATGAATCAGAAGGAGATGGAGAAGCAGAGGATTTTGCAGCGGGAGAGTTCTTGGTGTGAGAGTTGCCAGATTTACCATTGTCACTAGTTTTGGAAGTAGATGCTGTAGTGGTGGTGTTAGATGAAGAATGGTTCTTTGAAGAAGACTTCTTTGGAAGCTTACTTATAATCTGTTTCCACATAGCTTAGCTTCTCTGCTCATTCCAATACAACAACACCTACAAGAAGAAGAAGCACAATCCAGGAAACAAATCAATACACACAGCAAAAAGACACTAAATTGAGATATAAAATCGAAAATCAGTTAAAACCACAAACCTGAAATGGAGAGAAATCCCTAAAATTCCCAAATTTTATTACAGCAAAAGACACTCTTTTTTTCTTCTTCTTCCTCTTCTTTATTCACACTCGGAACCAAAATTTTGAAACTTTCGGCGATTCTGAATCGGAAACAATCGGAATCAGGAAACCAACAAAGAAATGAAGAGAAAGCGTACATTTACAACACCGAAACAGGATAAATCACGAAATTACGATTTTAGGGAAAAAGATCAAACAAAATTCGCCGATTTCACAAAAAAAGAAATGGTCAACAGGAGAAATTTACCCAGATGAGAAAAGACGATTTATGACGACGATGATGATGATAAAACAAGAAACTTACCAAAAATTCACATTGAAGTTCTTCCAAAAACCAAACCTCTTCCTTCGTTGTTGTTTGTTGACTTAACAAAAATAAAAAAATTTCCTCTTTTGCTATGCCTCGATTACCAAAATTTTATTTTTTCTTAAGTTTCTTTCTACTTCTTCGTTGTAATTTGTCGCGTCTCGTGATCCAGTTATCTATCATTCTTTCTCTCCGATGGCTCTGATCGAAACTTTTTTTCCTCAAATCTATTTTATTTTAATTAATTTTATTTTATTTTTAATATTGTTTATTCTTTGTGTTCGGTCTGGCCTGCCAGGTCCTCTCACTTGTATTATTTACGGAATTTTTTTCAAGCGGACCAGACCACTTTTAAAAAGGTCTAAAACCAAACCGAAACACTATTATTCGATAAATCGGTTCAAAAAAGACCAACTTAATTTCGGTTTACAGTTTGGTCCGAAATTTATAGATTTGTAGTTAATCCAAACTCAAAACTGTACTGAACTAACTTAAAATTCCAATTTTTCTTTTTGACTGCGACTCAAAATTGAAAATTCCAATTAAAGAAGAAACCTTTGGCTTTTTTTTGGCTGCGGTCGTCACATTTCTCTGTGTGCGCGCTCGACTCGTCGGGGCTTGTGTTTGGGAAGACAGAACATTGTCTCTCCGTAAAGACATCAATGTTCGTTTCCGACAAGCGTCCCACTGATTTCTACAAAGACGACAACGCCAATTCATCCACCACCGCACGCGACATGATAATCGATGTCAGTTCCAATGGAGCATCCGGAAGAGATCTACAACAGCCGCACAATCACAATCACCACCACCACAACAATCACAATCACAATCATCATAATCATAACATCCAGCCGCAACAGATTCTCCTCGGAGAAAGCAGCGGCGAGGATCACGAAGTGAAAGCTCCGAAGAAACGAGCAGAGACATGGGTCCAAGACGAGACTCGCATCCTGATCATGTTCCGGCGAGGTATGGACGGACTCTTCAACACCTCCAAATCCAATAAGCATCTCTGGGAACAGATTTCGTCCAAGATGAGAGAGAAAGGCTTCGATCGGTCTCCGACTATGTGTACCGATAAGTGGAGGAATCTGCTCAAGGAGTTTAAGAAGGCCAAGCATCACGACAGAGGGAATGGATCGGCGAAGATGTCTTATTACAAGGAGATTGAAGAGATTCTTAGGGAGAGGAGCAAGAAAGTTACGACGGCGGCACATTATAGCAAGAGCCCTAATACACCCACTGCTAAAGTTGATTCCTTTATGCAATTTGCTGATAAAGGTACAAAATTGACTAAATTTACTGTGATTAGGGTTTATGATGATAAGATAGTAGTTACAGTTTGGGCAATGAATGCTTTTAGGGGGTTTTATCTGTAGCTTAGGCTGAGAAGATACTAATTGGAACTGCCAATGTAGAGTAGGTTACTTAATATGGTTTCGTTAATCTTTTAAGAAGATAACACTTTTGGTACTTATTGTTGTTTTGTGCTTTTAGTGTCTTCTGTTGAAGTGGTAACTTTATCTTTGATTGTAGGTTTTGATGATACAAGCATATCCTTTGGATCCGTTGAAGGTAACTGATCTATCTATCTATCTATCTATCATCTTTGTGTATTTATTATCATATCTTTGTTATATACAAAGAGGCTAGATTTTGTTAGTCATTGGCCTCTTGAAGCAATGCTAGAGGTATTAATTAACTTTCTTTGTGAGCATTTTGGGACTGGAAACATAGGGTTCCATTTGCAAGAACATAGTTTTCTGTTATTTGGAACATGACTGTGCCGTTGGATTCAGATTCACAGATAGTTTCTCTGTTAGATGGTTTAGTTTAGTTTCTAGAGGATGTGTCATGTGTGTGTGTGTTTTCATTAGTGTGTTTGTTGTATCTATGTTGCAGCTAATGGGAGGCCAGCTTTAAACCTAGAAAGGCGTCTTGATCATGATGGTCATCCTCTTGCGATCACTGCAGTTGATGCTGTTACAGCAAATGGAGTTCCTCCTTGGAATTGGAGAGAGACTCCTGGAAACGGCAAGTCTCAGAAACAAAAAACGCTTATAGTAACTTTAGTCTTATAACTGACTAAAGCTATGTTCCATGTTTGTACAAGCAGGTGGTGATGGTAATGGCCAGCCTTTTGGTGGGAGGGTCATAACAGTTAAATTTGGCGACTATACAAGAAGAATAGGTGTTGATGGTACTGCTGAAGCAATCAAAGAGACGATAAGATCCGCTTTCGGGTTAAGAACTCGACGGGCGTTTTGGTTAGAAGATGAAGATCAGGTGGTTCGTTGTCTTGATCGAGACATGCCCTTAGGGAACTATCTACTCCATGTTGATGATGGTAAGATCAAATTTGACAACCATTCTTGTCTGTTGAACTGTATGGTTTTTTATCACAAATATCCAAACCCCATTTGTTGCAGGACTGGCGATTAGAGTTTGCCATTATGATGAATCAAACCAGTTACCAGTCCATACAGAAGAGAAGATCTTCTACACGGAAGAAGACTACCGCGAGTTTCTGGCTCGACGGGGATGGACATGCTTGCAGGTTGATGGTTTTAGGAACATAGACAACATGGATGATCTTCAACCTGGTGCCGTGTACCGAGGAGTGAGATGAGAGATTTGGATCATCAAACTTCCCTAGTCCCCTGTAGATATATGTTATCATTCCCTTTGTAAAGTTTTTCTCCTTTTGTTCCCCTAAAGAAGAACAAACAATGTACTTGTTCAAGTACAACACGTCAACTTACAATTTACCTTACAGATCAATAAGAAGACCTCAAAAGATTGAATGTAAATATTTGATTATGTCTTATACAGGCTCTTGTATTTCACTATTAGGCAGGTCTACTGTTATAAAACCAGTTTGATCTTAGATCGAATCCATCATGTAACTGGGCTAACATTAGTTGTAAGAATGCCTAGATGGATATTTCATTCGTTAAAGCTTTGCATCAATCATTGTTTTTTTATTTTGTCAAGATGGTGTTGCATCAATAATTGCATCTATCTTTTATTCCTTGAGAATCGAATTTTGACATATTCTTTGACAATGATATATTTTTGTTCCATTTTTCTTACGATTGCTTTAGAACATTGCGAATAATGACACTTAAGAGCATAAGAGCCGGATATATCATATTTAATTATATGGAACTTTAGCATAACATTTGAAAAATCCACATAACCTTTCTCTTTTTAATTAGTTTATATCGTGATTGAATCATAAATAAATTCAAAATCTAGTCGATCATATTCATGTATTCAATTATATTTGCAGGCTATATACAACATATCGTTATCATTTGATAATATATATGATATACGGTTGACCGTTGATAATTGTTTTAGTTACTTTAGGATGTTAGGATCCATGTGACCATGTGTATACCGAATTAAGGAGTTTTATATGCTTTTGTTTCTCTCACGGTTCATATGCATTCACCAACCACAAATCAAATGAAAATATACAGAAAAAATAAGAGGAGGAGAAGAAGGAGACTTTTGGCAAAAGCCAAGAGTCATACCTCATTGCATAAAGTGAGCTATTTTTTGCTGTCACATTCATCTGACCAACCGAAGCTCTCAAAGTGGAGCATCTATGTGTCCCGATACGAAGTCACGACTTGATAATTATAGAACACCATATATTTTATCAAATTATAATATTTTGACATTGTAAGCAAACATTATTTTGATAAAGACATCTCGAAGCTTTAACAATGTTTTATCTTAAAGACGTTGTTGAATGCGAGTGATAACCGTAATACCGTATGTTGATTGAAAATGAAAATTATCATTTGAGTATAACTGAATTACAGTGAATTACAATATGGACTGATCTGGTTATAGTTTATGATTTGTACCTCAAAAATGGAATAGTTTTTCTGTTCACATCTTATGTCTAACTATGCATGGAAATAATCCAAATATAATAGGCAAAAAATCGTATGTTTTATAGTTAAAAATTACAAAATATATATATTACGTACGTGGTGTACCCCTCATTGGCTATACTCTCAGAACGTGTTGTGTTTCGGCCTTGTGTGCGTCGGCCCGGCCCATAGGATCTTAGTTTAAACCTCTCGAATATTCCAATACCGGCGCGTGAAGTGCAGGCGCCATTAGTTTCCCCAGATTACTTCTTAATCCTACCATAAACGGTTGGCCAAATCAGTGGTAGAAATGGTAAATATCCTCAAAAGTGATGGACAATCTAGTAACATTGACTACTAAATCTGATCTGTATAACTTTTTCCCAAGGAAAATTCTCAGCCACTCGATCAAATTTCGATCCCTTCCTCCTCATCACGTTCTCTTCTCTTTTAAATACCCCCAAAGCCTCACCAAACCCTCTCTCACTCACTGATCTCACCTTTTCAGCTCCTCCCTCGATATCATCTACATCTCTCTCGTCTCTCTCAATCTCGGAAATGGGTGAGTTTCTCAGCTCTTCGTATCTGCGTTTCTTCGATCTATAGATTCGTCGTTGATGATTCTGTTATAGTTTGCTAATCCGATCGTGTTTTTGATTTTCTCTTTTGTTTGTGTTTGTAGCTGACAAGAAGATTAAGATCGGAATCAACGGTGAGTACTTTTTTTTTTTGGTTCATGTGTATTTGTTTGTTCTCGTTTGTTTGGATCCGTAGATTCTGAAGTTTTTGATCTTCAGGTTTCGGAAGAATCGGTCGTTTGGTCGCTAGAGTTATCCTTCAGAGGAACGATGTTGAGCTCGTCGCTGTTAACGATCCCTTCATCACCACCGAGTACATGGTTCGTTTTTTTTACTCTTACCTTCGACGCTGATTTCATATAGATTTGTTAACATCGTTTTGATCTGGATGTGACTTGACTCGATATTGATTCCTCTGAATTTTATTATCACCTCGTAATTGACGATGAATCAAATCGAGTTTGTTTTGTTTGCTGGATAGATCTGAATACGGTTTATTGTGATGATCATCTGTGCTTTTGTTTGATTATTTTGATGGATCATCGTTCTGATTTGGATATGTTTATGGTGTTGAACGTTGCAGACCTACATGTTCAAGTACGACAGTGTTCACGGTCAATGGAAGCACAACGAACTTAAGTTGAAGGATGAGAAAACCCTTCTCTTCGGCGAGAAGCCAGTCACTGTTTTCGGCTTCAGGTACATAATCTATGCTTGATTTATATGAATCTGTGTTGTCTCTCTTATGTTATTGGAGGCTGATGAAATGAATTTTGAAGGAACCCTGAGGAGATCCCATGGGGTGAGGCTGGTGCTGACTTCGTTGTTGAGTCCACCGGTGTCTTCACTGACAAGGACAAAGCCGCTGCTCACTTGAAGGTATGCTTTTGTACATCAATTTTGTGGCTATTCGATTTGGTTTGAGAAATCAGTATGTATAGCGTTTGTTTGTAAGTTTTAAATATCTCATATGGTTGGTTTGTTTGTTTTTGTTATCAGGGTGGTGCCAAGAAGGTTGTCATCTCTGCCCCAAGCAAAGACGCTCCCATGTTCGTCGTTGGTGTCAACGAGCATGCATACACTTCTGACCTTAACATTGTCTCCAACGCTAGTTGCACCACCAACTGCCTTGCTCCCCTTGCTAAGGTACTGTTTCTCTATCCTTTAACCTGTAAAATTATGAACTACTTGTTCTCTCTTGTGAGATTCATTCAACTCGAATTTGTTTATGCAGGTGATCAATGACAGGTTTGGTATCGTTGAGGGACTCATGACCACCGTCCACTCTATCACTGGTATGTGTTTAATTCTTTTACATTTCATTCTTGAAAGACTATTACCTCTATAAACTGAAATAACCTGACTCTAATTTGTTTGTGTGACAGCTACCCAGAAGACTGTTGACGGTCCATCAAGCAAGGACTGGAGAGGTGGAAGAGCTGCATCGTTCAACATCATTCCCAGCAGCACCGGAGCTGCCAAGGCTGTTGGAAAGGTGCTTCCAGAGCTCAACGGAAAGTTGACCGGAATGTCCTTCCGTGTCCCCACCGTCGATGTCTCAGTTGTTGACCTCACAGTTAGACTCGAGAAAGCTGCAACCTACGACGAAATCAAGAAGGCCATCAAGTAAGCTTTTCGGTTCTAACTTACTTGCATATCATTAGTTGTTTCATCTTTCATAACTAACTGATTGGATTGTTGCCAATATATAAACAGGGAGGAATCTGAAGGGAAACTAAAGGGAATCCTTGGTTACACCGAAGATGATGTTGTTTCTACCGACTTCGTTGGTGACAGCAGGTAATAATAAATTATCACCACGTAATACGTATCTTCAGTCTTCTAAATGAAAACAAGTTTTTGTGATTTTAAACATGTTTTGATGTGTTGTTTCAGGTCGAGCATTTTTGACGCAAAGGCTGGAATTGCATTGAGCGACAACTTCGTGAAGCTGGTGTCGTGGTATGACAACGAATGGGGTTACAGTACCCGTGTGGTCGACTTGATCATGCACATGGCCAAGACTGCCTAAATCTGAAGAGAAAGATTGGGGAGGAAGAAGAAGTCATGGCTTTCATCCCTTTTTAATGGTGTCTTTTGTTTGTCGTTTTTCTTGAATAAATTTTCTTGGGCTCTAAAACCTTTTACTTCTTTTTATTTTGGCTTTGCGATTTCTTGGTCATGTGACGTGATCGGAGTTTGTAGACCGGTGGTTGTTTTTACTGAAAGCCCTTTTATGTTTAGCCTTTGATATATTGAGCTATTATGGTTTTATCCGATTTGTTGTCCCTCTTCTTTTAATCCTGTTAACGCCCAAGTCAGACTTGAACCTTAAAGCGTTGTCCGTAAATCACAAATCACAACACTGAGTACTTATTCAAAATTTCAGTGTTTGCACAAAGCAGAGTTCTCTGTTTATTGTCGTGAAAAATCAGAGATACTTCTCAAATGAATCAAACAACAATTCATCTGTATAATGATTCAAAAGAAATGTTAGACTAATACAAATAATGATACCTCATCTGTATGAAGTGTCCGCTTCGACAATGCACAAAGCTCTTCACTGCGAATCCTAATAATGGGAAGAAAAAAATCCAATCTTGACAAAAACTTCAATAAAGCTACATAAAGTGTTCTTCTACATCATCAAGCAGGACACTGAAGTTCTTCAACCCTCTCAAGATCCTCTGTAATTCCTCTGTTCGAGGATGCTTCTCACCCGAAGAATAAAACTTCACTAACCCATCATCGGTCTCAATCCAGCTAACACCTGCTTCTTTCTTAAAACCGGTGTCTCTCATAGCAACTTTTAGCCTCGCAGCATCATCAAACCTCCCTACATCTCCATATAAGTTTGAGAGCGTCACGAAATTAGCCGGGTTTCTTGGTTCAAGCTTGACCAACTCTTCAAGAGCAAGCTCTCCAACCTCCACCTTCTTATAAACTTTCGAAGCTCCAAGCAAAGTGGCCCATATAACAACATCCGCTTTCACCGGCATTTTGTTTACAAACTCAACAGCTTGTGCTAAAAACCCAGCTCTGGATAGTAAATCCACCACACAACCACAATGCTCGATCTCAGGCGTGATTGAGAAATCACTCAACATGGAGCTGAAATAAGCCAAGCCATCTTCAACCAAACCCATGTGTCTACAAGCACATAAAACACCAACGAACGTTACCTTGTCAGGTCTAATTCCGTAACTTTTCATCTCACTGAACAAACCTAACGCCTCGGTTCCATGTCCATGCGCAGCTAAACCATTGATTATAATGTTCCAACTTATCAAATCTCTTCTCTTTATCCCTTTAAAGACTTCCAAAGCCATCTCTATAGCTCCACATTTCGCATACATATCAACCAAAGCATTCTTAACGTTAACATTCCCCTTATCATACCCAAGACTCTCTCCATGGTTATGCACCCATTTCCCGAAATCAAGAGCTCCTAACTTCGCACACGCAGATAACACCGAAGTCAAAGTCGCGTCGTTAGGCACAACGTTCCCTTCATCAACCATTCTCTTGAAAGAATCCAAAACTTCAGAAAGCTTCCCACTTTGAGCATATCCCTTGAACAAACCATTCCAAGAGAACACATTTCTCTCCGGCATCTCCTCAAAGACTCTTTCACATTCTTTGACCTCTCCAATACTCGCATAACCTTCTAAAACCGTGTTCCACGACATGACGTCCCTACAAGGCATTCGATCGAAAACACTCCTAGCCTCAGTCATATTCCCCATCTCAATATAACCAGAAACCATAGTGTTCCACAGCACAACGTCTCTCTCCGGTGACAAATCGAAAAACCTCCGAGCAGAGACTAAGTCCTTGTTCAATATATACCCATTGATCAACGAAGTCCAAGTCACTACATTTTTCTCAACCATCTCACAGAACACTTTATTCGCCGATGCTATCACTCCTGCTGATGAATACATCTCAATCAACTTCGTTCCTAAATAAGAATTCGATCTAAACCCTGTTTTTATCGAAAAGCATTGTAACTCCTCTCCTTGTTTTAGATCTTTCATCAAAACGCAAGCTTTTAGAACCACCGGAAGAGTGAAGCAATTGGGCGTCACGTCCATGCTTCTCATTCTCTTGAACAAAATCAAAACTTCGTTGGATAAGTCCTTTTGCGCGTACCCATTGAACATGGCGTTCCAAACAGAAACATTTGGCTGTGAGATTCTGTCGAACACTTGGCGTGCGTAATCGATTCTGGTGATCCTGCAACAGGCGGCGACGATTCTGGGACCGACGTAATCGTTGTGTTCTAACCCATGGCTTACGGTTTGTGATTGAATCTGGAGAAGATGTTTCTGGGTTTTACATGACTCCAGGAAAGAGATGAGCTTCTCTTCCAAAAGCCTCGTTGGTGATTTAGAAGCTATAACTACAGATACCCTCGCAATTTTCGATTACGATTCAGAGAACAAACGTGACAGATTCGTCACGAGAAGAAATAAATGAATGAGTCCTCGAGAGAATTCGAAGAAAGTCTCCGACGAAACGCTCTGATTTCGCGCCACAGTCGCAATCAAACTCCGAAAGTATCTCTATGTGGACGACTTGAAGGAAAAAGTCAATACCTTCTAAATAACCCCGAAGGTATTGACTTTTGACTTCACTTAGAAGGTGGTGACTTCTGATTTCAAGTCTTACACTAGTATTGGTGATAGAGAGTTATTTTCAATTGTAAAATCCCAAAATAACTCATTCAAAATTCTTTATTTTTTGTCACTATTCATTTCAGGTTTGTAAGAGTAACTTTGTAGAGAAAAACAAAATTATTATTCTATCCCAATTATTAAAAGATAGACCATCCAAAACAACATTGTTCCGCATATAAGCATCGAACAAAGTTATTTCGTATTAAGTTTATTATATGTTGATGATGAGCAAAATAAAAATACTAAATCATCCATAAACGTTGGGAAAACTCAAATTATTGGAACGGTTATAAATTTCTCAAATTAATCTAAAATTGTCTAATAACAAAATCCAATTTACATTTGATTATTGTCGTGTACCGTAGCTACGAGCCTCATAATCCTCAACCGACACTATCCGGCGTAAAACTTTACTCCGAAATAAGATTTACTTAAAACATACCCAAAATAAACAAGCCTATAGAAATCTATAAAAGGTTAAGTAATTAAAGGCATGCTTAAAGTGTGTAATAGAGATGGGCTGTGTCATTGTATAGGAACAGCAGTTGCAGCCTATGCTAATAATATAGCAATCGGTAATTGAACCCTAAAAAATTTTACTTACATAAATAGAAAAAGCTTTGCTTTCCTGTTTCATCCTTGCTTACCCGTTTCCCTCTTAACTACAAAAGTCTCATGTGTTTCCTTTTTTATTGTTTTCATGAAATTCAGGGATATTATATTTAACAAAATTATTTGAATCACTAGTCTCTAGACTCACACCTATCATGTAATGTTATGTCACTAGACTCGCTTCTTAAATGGTTTGGTTTTCTTTTGACGTTTTAGGGTTTTTTTTTTATATAAAATTAATGGACCACATCGTAACACATTTTATGCTAGATGAACAACTATTCGTCGATGAGTGCGTTTTCTAGTATATTCATATATATTCATCTATATATCAAACGCACGAATGTCCTTTCACAAAAGTATGCTACATACGTATCATGTTACATGGTACAAGTAACTTCTGTTCATGTAGTCCGAATCCTAAACCATACTACTGTTTTTATTGGTTAATCAATAAGATGTGTACAACAATCGACAAATAAGAAGAGTGTATCCACTCGTAAGCCACACAGACATTGAAGGAGTAGGGTAGAGTTGAAATTGAGGAGCAAAGCTAAGAAATGGTAAAAGCTGATATAAGAGAAATTAATAGGGTTTGTAATCGACAGACTGAAACAAAAGAAACTTAACTGCATCAATGAGTCCTTCCACAGTTGTCTATGTTTCAGTCCAACTTCAATTTTTGATACGTCTAATTAACTTAATTCTCATACACATATCTATACTGATCCACTCGATCTCTCTCTCGCTCTCTCTCCTTTCGCTTTCTGATTATTCATTTATTGTTAAATTTACATATATGACTCTTGGGAATACTGTAAATACAAATCTAGGGTTAGGCCTTCTTTCATAAAACCATGATTTATTTATTCTTTTCAAGCACACCTCTTTTCTCCTTTTATCACACAAGCATGCTTCAGCTTGAGATCATATCTCTCTCTCCCTCTTTTTGATATCACTACTTTGGACTGATTTACAAGATACAATTTAGTTTTTTAGTTTAGGTTTTGGAATTTATTAGATTAGTGACGTAATTTGATTGCTTTTTCTTGCTTACACGGACTGTTTGTCTCTACCATGCATCTAGAGTAAGTACCGTATATTTATTTGCAATGTTTGCCTGTCAACACGTAATCTAAACGTATAAAGAAAAAGTTGCAAAATGAGAAAAAATATCAAATTTCAAACTGATTTTACAATATCTCTACGTATATAGTAACGATGAATCGGCTAAAAAGAAGGAAAAGAAAAATAAAACGTAGAGACGAATTTTGTTTTAAGAAAATGTTTCAAAGATATAAATATAAAACCATAAATGCAAATAAAAAAGGATTCATCTCCAAACTAACAGTCTAAGAGTTAGTTAGAACTCAACTATTGAAGTCCGAATCAAACTCTCTCTCTCTCTCTCTAGTCACGCAGTCCATTTTTTCTTCCAAAAAAACAGAAAAACAAAAAAAATTAAAGATCATAAATAGAACGACAGAACACCTTATGTGGTCTCAGAAAAAAACAGCTCCAAGACAAAAAGTAGACGAAAGGAAAAAAACAAAATAAAAATAGATAAAAGCTGCTCCTTCATACAAATACAATCTTCTTACATAACCCCAAAAACAACACTCCTCGTCCAATTTGCATTTCACTTTTTGTCATTTTCAATTACTTTGTCACGTCTCTGTCAATATTCCCACAAAACTACAGCAAACCTAAACATTCAATGGAAATTTTATGACAAATAAATTTTCCATTTCCTTAATTGTAGCCATGATATGGGGGTAGAGGCTGAGGAAAAGGAGGAATAACTCTAGAGCCATTCACCACCGGTGCACCGATGAAGGTGTAACTCGGGTCAGGCGGTGCACGACCACCGCAGACGCTATTGGTTAGGGTTTGGTGATGTGTAACATTATTGGCCAAATAGTAGTCGTTGGTGTGACGGTGAGGAAACGGTGAGGGCCGTGGAGAAGAAGGTGGTGGATAAAGATATGGTTGCACAAGTGGTGGCGGCGGCAGTGGAACGGCGGAGGAAGAGGCAGAGATGGAGAATAATCTTGGTGGATACATCATTGGTTTAAATGGTGGTGTTATTAGGTCTCCCATATGCACATCTCCTTGATGGTAACTATATATGTAGAACATAAGAAATTAATACTTCGAGTGATATTCATAGTAACTAAAAGGAAATGAATTAAAAGTTATTTAAGAAAAATAGAAACTAAAAGTACCTATATGATGGAGGTCCTTGATGAGGAGGAAAGGTATCGTTGCGAAGAACAAGTTGACGAGCTTTGTTTAGTGACTCCGTCTCCCTCTCTAATTCACCATAACAAAATTAATCACCAAATTAAAATGTGTAGACAATATAGAGAGAATGGTGAGATCTTGCCTTGACGGTGGCGATTCATGTGACCACCGAGAGCTTGAGATTTGAAGAACTTGAGTGAACAAAATCTACATTCATACTCTTTCCCGTCTTTGCCATGCTTCTCTCTAAACCCTTTTACTCGATAATAAATTAGATTTTTCAATTAATACTTAAATGTACACCTAATCAGTATTAGACCACAACTTTTTTTGGTTTTCAAATCCTAGTTAAGTATTTAGGTTTTGATTCTATCGTCAGTTATTACAAAACCACCATAAAAGGCAGAAAGGTGAAGATTGATTATGTAGATTTTTTTTATATAAAAACATTCAGATAAATAAAGAAAAGGGAGAGTAGGATAAGATAGTGCTGTAGTATATATATACCAGAAGAAGAGGAGGAAGAGGAGCCTTCTTCAAAGAATGGGAAGAAGTCTCTAGAAGGATCATCAGGTAAGTTATTGAGATCTAAAGTGTTATTATCTTCAGCTCTCCTGCAAAAGTTTTACATTTCAAAAGATTCAAATATAGATTTAGCAAGAGAGAGAGAGAGAGCTAGTGAGGAGAGAGAAACCTACATCATGAGTACCGAGAAGACAGGAGAGAAGAAAGCCAACGATAAAGACTTGATAGAGATAGAGGAAAAGAGAAGCTTTGTGAGCTCTCTTTTTATCGGTTTATCTCTCTTTTTCTCTCTCTAGATATGTGAAAATTGAGCATGGAACTCAAAAATGGATTGCTCTCTGACTTTTAAGCCAGAGGAATATAGCTTGAGTGGACATTATGGGTCAATATACCCTTTAGTATATATAATGGGGTCATACTAACAACAAGTCCAATGTAAATTTCATATTTGTTATCAATTTTGCGTGATATTAGAGGCATTACTACGACGTCGTATAAGTCATCTCGTAAGTATAAGAGACATACAACTAGGCATTCATACGACTAATTATACGAAGATTGTTGGTTTCACTAGCTTTTCTAAATGAATGGAATACGATTTTAAATAGAAAAACTGTGCAAATGTTTGATCAACATATGTATAGTGAGCGATGTTACAAAACTTCCTATTATAGTGTCTAAGTCGAAGCACCATTTTCGACTAATGGTCTTGCAGCAAAACTTTTGCTGATAACTTCAATCATGATTCATGTAGTACTAATGTAAACATGATTCTTGATAAATTCAAAAACTAAACTGCCAATCAGATGAGCCGATGACGAAAAAACAGAGCTCTAGATAGAGTATCATTAACGAACTCAAATAAAAGAATCTTAAAATAAGGTTCCAAACTGTTATTTTATCACTAAAAAGCTTCTCTATTTCTCCTCCATCAATCCTCAAGCAAACTGTCTCTAATACTCTTTTCGTCGTCCTCATGATCATCATCATGATCAAAACCCGATAACATTCTTCTTGATCTCTGACCTAGCTCTAGATCTACACGACAAGCTAGTCCTCCTCCTCCTCATTGGATTAGGAAGAGCATCGTGACTCGTGAGCCACACGCCTTCATCAAAGGAAATGGTTTCTTCATCGCTTACCTGATCCGCTTCCCCCAAAGAAGATCGCATATGTATATAGAAAACTATATCACCTAAATCTCTCTGCCATTTCAATGATCCATCATCCTCCAACTAAGCCGTCTTTCTGGATTAGCCTCTGACGGCCTTTCCTTTAGAAGACGTACCCTTGCGTGCTCTTCTCAGAACAAGAGTAGGCTCCTCCATAACCGCAAGTCTCGCAAGAACATCTTCTTAGCTTCGAGTTCAAATTACGTTAAGTTTTCATTGTATTTCTTCATCCAAACAAAAACTATGTTTTGCATTGCCATCATTTAGTATATCTGACATTTCACATCAGCGTTATTTTACCTTGTCACCAAAATTATATGTTCACTCGTCACATAATCGTAGTAAACTAATTCAGTAATCATAGTAAGTTATTTCTATAATTGTAATATTTTTCTTATTCAAGTAATTTTTTTTAAAACTGTTTCCTTTTCTAAATAAAAAGTGATTTTGTCATTTTGCATCGCTGTCATATAATTTTATTGTCACTTTATATCGCCATCATTTTTCACCGCCAACATTATTGTTAACCTATAAAATGGGGACTCCATATTAATATGTTTTTGTCATAAAGAATTTGTTTTTGTTATAATTAAAGTGTGATTTTGTCAATACGCATCGCCGTTATTTAATTTTGTCGTTATTTCATATCGCCGTTATTTAATCTTATCGTTTCACCGCCGATTAACCTATAAAATGGCAACTTTATATAATTTGTTGTCTTATAAATAATTTTTTTATTTGTATAATTAAAGAGTAATTTTTTCATTACACATCGCCGTCATTTAGTCTTGTCGTCACTTCATACTACCGTCATTTTTCACCGCCGACATTATTATTAACCTATAAAATGACAACTTTATATCAATTTTTCTTATAAAGAAATTGTTCCTTTTCTAATTTAAAGAGTAATTTTGTTATTACGCATCGCCGTTATTTAGTCTTGTCGTCATATCGATGGTAAAAAATTGAAAGTTATTTTCTATGTTTGTTTTTCGAATATATCTTTTTACAGCTAAACTAATCTAAAAATGAAAACAAAAAAACTTTGTTAACAGATTATCAATAAAAGTTCATACTCTCTAACTCCTGTTAAACTTTATATCAATTTTTAGGTAAAGTACTTTTGGTATCTTTTTTTTTTTAATTAATATATTTATATTGTTAGAAAAAAAATCACATTGCATTAAATCTGTAGAATTCCTGTAAATGTATCATCTAGTTCTCAGTTTTTATTTTAATTTGATCTATATCACTATATGTGTAGAAACCACTCATTATTTTAAAATCTCTATAAATGAGAGATTTTGTCTTCAATCTACTTAAAGAAAATTTTGGTTTTTATGTTATTCACAGATATGTGATAAACTTAGATAGACACATGTCGACATGCACAAAGTGAAAAGAGGAATCCACCTTTTACAGTTATGTAGGTACATCAACAAGAAAATCTAACCATGGTTTAAGGAAAAACAAGATTATATAAGCAATGCATTTCCAATTGTTTTTAAAATGTGCAAAAATTATCGAAAAAATCGATTGGTGATTAGTAATGAGTTAACTACTGATAAGCAATGAGATTTTGCTACCGTGAATTAAAATATTGTTGTTTCGTCGGTGACATTAATTTGATAGATATTTACGAGGAGGAGGTTAGGCACCGCCTGTACCCCAAAAAGGGCAAAAAAACGAAACAACGAAACTGAAAGCTGTGCACAACACACAAAATTTGTCAAACATACAAATTTATGAAATGTGTTTCTAATTAAAAAAATAATTTAATTATAAAATTTAACAAAAAATCAAGAACATACTCAAATAAGCGTTTTGCTATTATGACGCAAAAAATAATAATATAATTTCATGAAAAAATACATAAATAAATACGGATTCCATTGCATTGTTGTCTGCAGGTTCTTCTCTTTCTCTCTATGCCTTTGCTATTAACTTAAGAGCCATTAAAGACTTTTCTTCAGATCTCTTCTTTCTCTCTCTCTCTCTTCTTCTGCACACGCACTTCTCTTCCCAAAGAACAATCTCTGCTCTCTCACCTTCAGGTACCTCTCTCAATTCTTTCAGATCTAATTTAAGATTGATCTGGATCTGCACGATTCCTTTTCGTCGTACTGTTTTTAATTATCGTATTTGGATCTCAAAAAACAATCCTTTTCAGATTCTTTACGTCTACCTTCAAGATCCATTTATGTTTTATCGAAAAAGCTTAAATTTTTAGCTAGATCATAGAAACACTGTTTTGTTCTTCTTTGATCCGTTTAATTCATAATCTATCTGATGAATTTTGTCACTGTTTGAGTTAGACTTTTTCTCATGGTTTTTTTTTTTTTTTGTCTGAGTTTACTTATTCTTAAAAAAAATAAAAATCATGTCTCCACTATGATTTTGACAGCATCACTATATTTTCTTATGAAGGGAACAGAGAGATACAAAAATAATAAAAATTTAATTTAATAAACTTTCCTAAAAAAAACAGTATCGTCGGAATATGTCAAGTGGCTAATTCCATACCATTTCATTGCCTTAAATTAATTAATAATCAATTACTTTCCTGATTAATTAATACGTTATTGTGACCAGATCTCCATAAGAAACACGTTACCATTTGACCACCTCTTCTCTTTCCTTATCTTTGTATTATAATTCGCTATTTAACATTTTTGCCTTCCTTCATCAATCTCTCAAGCTATAATCAATTATCATTCGCTTGTGGTTTGATTCTGATTCTCTCAAGCAGCAGCAAAGATGAACAGCTGTGGAGTCCAACAAAGCTCGTTCGAAGAGATGAGGAGAAGCTCCGTCGTCTCCGATCGCAGAGACGCCGTGATCTGCCCTAAGCCCCGTCGTGTCGGTGTCATCAACCACCACCTTGCTCGATCTCTCCGATGGCAAGTCAGGTAATAAAAATTAAAACTTTTCTCTCTCAATTCTCTTATAGATCTAAACCAGCAAAATTGATTGAAAGGATTTGTCTTTTTTTTCGTTTTGATTTTTCAGTCACCATGATTCAAATTCAGGAAGCGAGCTCTTGGATTTGATCCTCGCAAAGGTAATTAAAAATCAATACTTTTTTGCTAATAACTAGAATTTGATGTCTAATTCTGAGATTGATCTGTGAGTTTTTGTTTTTACAGGGCGGTGAAGAAGATCAGGCGAGGACGGTGGCGTCATCGCCGCCGTTTTACTTCACAGGGTCACCGCCGAGTAGAGTATCTAACCCTTTAACAAAAGACTCTCTCTTTCGCGACGAGCTTGTCGTGGTGGCTCCTCCTCCTCCATCGACGACTCCACGAGCAACCAAGCCGCAGCCGCCACCGTCTCCAAGAAATGGTGGCGGTTGCGTTAGAGCGAGTACTAACTTTGGGAACAATCCGGCGGTTCGAGTGGTTGGATTCAATTGTCTTGACAGGGACAGACGCAGCAGCGTCCCGACTCTTGCTTAAGAGACTCCGTGACGACTTCCAAAACCGCTGAGAAAGAAAGAGAAATTTGCAAATATATAACAGAGAAGGCTAAGAACAAACTTAAAAAATGGGGGATTAGGAAATTGATAATTATGTGGGTTTTTTTGGTGAAATGTGTAAATATGTTTAAAAATGGGGAAATTGAAATTGTGCTGTTATATAAATCTAGGGTTTTTCGGTGTCCAATTTGGGAATTTTTGTAAGTTAAAAAAGTGAGAGAGAGAGAGAGAAGGGTTTTGTGAGTGTCTTGGTGTCTGTCTCTAGTGAAAATAAGAGCATAGTGTTGTTTCTTCCTTGTTGTATGTAACAAAGGAAAGGCTCGAAAGAGTTTTGAAATGTGAAGATATCATTTCTACCCTTTTCTTCTTTTTGTATCCTATGTACAGATGTAAATTTTCAAATGGAATTTAGAATCTTCGAATCTCTATTAGTTCTTTGTGTAATGCTATCAATATACGTCTCACACTCTCACTGGTCAACGAAGAAATGTGGTTATGTTTTAGTCGGGATTTACAATATTGATCAAGTTCAGAGAGCTGTAATATTGTTCTAAGTGTTAAACAAATTTACTATTCTCATATGCGTATATCTTCACTCTTTATATTCGTACAGTTGAAATTTTCTTCTTTGTTCATTCTTCTTTGCTGTGACAATTTTAATTCATTTGATTCAATTTTTCTCCATGGAGTTTTCTCCAAGCAATTTAATACTGAAACTTATGTTTCCCTCCCTGCTTTAGCTGTAAAGAAACATGGTGAGAAGAATGGTGAAATTAGGAAATTTAACTCTAGCTAAAAGGAAACTAGGAAGAACATTTAATAGAAAAGGAGTAAGACGCAAGCAATAAACACATGCCCTAATAGCTATATTCTCTCACGGCCTCCTAGCAACAGAGACGACCAACTTCGACAGAGCTTGGTTCTACAACCTTTCACTATGGCACCAGCTACGTTATTGGCTAATTTTACAGAGCAACAAACCATATTTCAACAGAGCTTGAATCTACAACCATCCACTGCTGCTACGTTAGTAGTTAATTTCATAGAGCAACAATCCATATATATTTCAACAGAGCTTGGTTCCCTGCACTACGGCTGCTACTTTAGTGGCTCTTAGAGCCATTCCTTTACTCGGTCCAGTAAAAAACGTTGAGCGCAAAGAATACATAAAACCAAAACCAGAGTCTGTTGTGAATATGACTTGCAAATTGCAAGTACCGCTGAAGTTGAAACTCCAGAGCTCCACAGGGCTAAGGTCTTCCAGGGCATTGGATCTTATGGCAAGCCCTAGTGATCAAGATTTATGTTTCTTCTCAGGGCTAATGCCTTTCAATGCATTGGATCGTATGGCAAGACCAAGTCAAGATATATCTTCTAAGGCTAACCTTTCCGCCATGTCTGAGAAGTTGAGATTCTCAGGGCTAACTGCTTCCAGTGCATTGGATCGATTCCCGAGCTTCACTGGGCTAAGGGCTTCCGATGCATTGGATCGTCTAAATGTATTTCATAGTCAAGATGATCTATTTTCTGAGGTTAACCTTTCAGTGTCATCCCAGAAAGGAAGAGGAAGAGGTAGCCGTTGTGTAACATATGCCATGTCTGATGAGAAGTTTACGGATCAAGCAATCGGAGGCCATAATTCTATCTCGAGAGGAAGCTCCGAGACTTGGCCATAACTTTGTTGGGACTGAGCAAATACTGTTGGGTCTAATCGGGGAAGGGACTGGAATCGCTGCAAAGGTTCTTAAATCCATGGGAATCAATCTTAAAGACGCTCGTGTAGAGGTGGAAAAGATCATTGGAAGAGTTAGTGGATCCACGGATATCCCATTTACTCCTCGTGCCAATCGAGTCCTTGAGTTTTCACTAGAGGAAGCTCGACAACTCGGTAAGGATCTGTTTCTTGGAGCCTTTTTGTGTCTTGTGTACTACACATACTTGACTTGCACGTTTTTGTCAATTCTAGGGCATTACTATATTGGGACAGAGCATCTCCTGCTAGGTATTCTTCCTGCTATGTATTCTTCGTGAAGGGGAAGGTGTTGCAGCTCGTGTCCTGAAGAGTTTGGGTTTAGATCTTGTTGACGTCCGGACGCAGGTAAATGCATAAAATTCTGAATTCTCATAATCATATGTTATTTCTTAGGAAACAGTTTCTTGATAACGTTTTGAGAATAATTATTTATTTTCAGGTTATACTTATGATCGGGGGAAACCATGAAGTCACATCAAAAGATAGTGGAGGAACCATCAAAACGCCAACACTAGAGTATGGGACTAACTTAACTAAACTAGCAGAGGAGGTAATAAACAAAATTGGCTGAAGAAAGTGTGTAATATCATTACAAAGCATCAGCCTTTTTTTTTTTTTTCTTTCTTAGGGTAAACTATATCCGGTTGTTGGAAGGGAACCATTGATCGAAGGAGTGGTCGAGATATTGTCTCGAGTAACTACGAACAACCCTTGTCTAATTGGAGAACCCGGAGTTGGTAAGACAGCAATAGCTGAAGGACTCGCACAGCTAATTGTCAGTGTTTATGAGCCTATAACACTTAAGGGGAAGACGGTAAAATTCTCATTTTATAATGTTCTTACGGTGATGAGGGAAGGGTAGCCTAGAGTGTGTATATACATGTTGAAAAAATATTGATCCTTGCATTGTGTGTCAGGTTATAAGCATTAATATGGGTCGTCTGAAATTTCTGGAACATCTCCAAGAGGGAAGGGTAGCCACGATACTTTCTTGAATGCATACTATATCTGAAATTTCTAAACCCTTAGGTCTTGATTTGTATTTCTACACACTTACTGACTTACGTATGCATTAAACTATTGTGATCTTCAACTATATCTTCTTTTGGTTATGTTTTGCTATAAATAGACTTCGATTAAGAAAATAACATTTGTTTATATATTACATAGGCAATGGTTTCAAGAGACATAAAGACAACTAATCATTTCTTTTGTCTGCGGATCTATTTCGATTCTTTGCTTACGACATGAAAAAAAAAAATCAAACTGATAATTTTATTATTTTTCGTAACTTAAATCAAACCAATATTGATAACTTTTGTTTCGCTTTTAATGTGTCAATCAGACCAAAAGATTCGTCAAACTTTTTGGCCGGAATTCTCGCTTGCTTTATTTCTAACTAGTTGAAAATCAAATCGCATAACATGTAACTTTCACCTGTAGTGGACAAAACATATGTAATAGTATGGTTTTCGTAATCATTTTCCCAAAAATCTATCGGGCTTACAAATAACAACTTTGGGCTTAAATTTGTAAGCCCATTAAAACCAGCACTTTATAAAAATGTCCTTTATCTGGGTGAGCCCCACTTTAGCTTTTCCCAAAGAACAGAAATGTTTTCGTCCACGCGCTTTACACTCCGCGTGACGCTTCTGTTCATATTATGTTTAAACGTGAGATACACATGCTTGTTCGCGCGTGTTCATCGTTTCGATGAGACTCACTTCATTGTGTTCTCACTTTACTTGCTCATTTCCAGCTCAAACTCACTTCGTCTTCTCTGCTAAAAGAAATCAATTTTCCTCTCTTTCGCCGGAGATATGGGAGAAGGGAAAGGCTCGACTCTAGTTTTCGTCCTCGTCGTCGCCCTCTGTTTGGTCGCATTCGGCTTCTCCATCGCCGCCGAGCGTCGCCGGAGCACCGTAAATCACTCTTTTCTCTGCCCACTTTGTTTCTCTCCGCTAGGGTTTCTTTGTTCTCTGATGAAAAAATCTGATTATGAAAAGCTGGTTTTACTAAGAATAATCAATGGAAAGATCTTATTGAATGTTTTGGTCGAGGATTTCTATTTCTGGATTTGTTTCCTAATTAGAGTCTTGCAATTCAGCGAATTAGATTCCTCTGGTTTTGAGTTCTTGATTGCTGAAGAATTAGTTTTGAATCGAGAATGTTTCTCCATACATCTATAAATCCTGTTCCGATTTCTGCGGAATTTTGTGGAATCTTGACTCTTTGAAATAATAATTTGAGACCATGTTCATGTTCTGTAGCTGAGACTAGAGAAGCATCTATGATCTATGTGACACTATAGGTTCTTTGTGACAGGGAACAACTCTCCAAGACCCAATCACAAACGCAACGTACTGTGTGTATAGCTCAGATGTAGCCACTGGTTATGGTGTTGGAGCTTTCCTTTTCCTCCTCTCAAGTGAGTCATTGCTTATGGGTGTGACCAAATGCATGTGCTTTGGTAGACCTTTAGCTCCAGGAAGTGACCGTGCTTGGTCCATCATATATTTCATCTCTTCTTGGTGAGTCCCATAAGCTTTGAAACTTCAATAGATCAGTAGTTCTAGATTCTCTAAACATCCAATTTTTTTGATGTAATGTTTTGACAATTGCAGGATAACATTTCTGATAGCAGAAGCATGTTTAATAGCAGGAGCGACGAAGAACGCATACCACACAAAGTACTTAAGCGCGCAGACCTTCTCGTGTGAATCGTTGCGCAAAGGAATATTCATAGCAGGGGCAGTTTTTATAGTTGCGACTATGGTCCTTAACGTCTACTTCTACATGTATTTTACCAAGTCTGTCTCTTCCCCGCCTGCTCACAAAGCTAACCGCTCCGGTTCAAATGTCGGTATGGCCGGTTATGCTTAAATGTTGGGAAAAAACTGGTTAGTCATTTTGTAGATGTAAGAAAGAGAAAAGGTTGTTGCATTTCTTAACAATACTTTGTGATCCTTGTCTGTTTTTCTGGTTATATATGTTTTTACTCAATTTATGAAAAAAAATCATCATATTTCTTGTTTTTTTTCCCTTCCAGTTTCAGTAGGAAATTTTCATTTTGGCTGAATATAATACATTTACATCAATATAATACTATTTTTCGCTTAATAATAGATGGGCTTCGAATATAAGGCTTTGAAAGTGAGGCCTATATAGAAAGTTATGAATAGGCGAATGATATAGTGATTTGCACGACGACTATCAGTATTATCTCATTGCACTTTGTCAATAGGTGTGAGTTGTAATTTTGTTTGGCTATCGGCAACTGAATTATCAGAATCGTTGTGTAAAAGTAATGACTATTATAAGCTCTAGATCGAGAAAGACATATCATAAGGCAAATGGGACAAACGAAAACTAGAAGAGATACAAGCTCAAATGTCAAATGACGTGGCTTTTATGTTTTCCATACAAATGCTTGATTGATATAAAAAAGAATTATTTTCGGAGTATCAAATTTTAAATTGCATCTTCTTATTATCTTCACTAAATTCTTGCCATGTTTTTTTTTTCATATTCTGCACCTCTAAGGTCTATTTATTGTTATGGGCAAACTAAAAAGCAAATATCTTTATTCCGAAATGGAGATTTTTTTTATAAAGAAAATAGTTTCATATAATATATCAGTTGAGAATAATTTAATACAGTATGTACAATACATACATATGGAAAAATATTATAATCGTTTATGTGTCTCACACTTATCTTTTATGACCTTCTATCTTAACATCATACAACATCATAAATATTTTTCCCACATAATTATACTTTAAGTTTATGTGATGTTTGTCCGTTACAATACGTCAAAAAAAACTTTACAATAATTATGATGCTGCTCTCCTCAGAAAAAAAAGCTTTTCTAGTGAACATTTTGATAATACGTGCCGTTTTGGATAAAACCTACTACTATCAAAAAATATTTAAAAGCTGATTACAGGATAAAAATAGGTTGATAGGTTTACTTGTGAAAGCAACATACGCCAATTTAGTAGACTAACGAAAACGTCGTGTAAACGGATAAAAATGGCGTGGCCCCTTGTTGTGTTAGGTGTTAGGTCATTACATTTCTGAATTAATAGTCCCTATATCCATCAAACAAGTATACCCACTCTAAAAAAAGTATGCTTGCTAGCTTGGAATATTATTTATTTTTAATATGTGTGTAAAAAGAAACAAAAAGAAGGATGAACAAGAAAAAAAAGGATAACTTTAGAATTTCGACGAAGAAAGAAATGGGCCAATGGGACCTTCTTTGTAAATTGTTCTCTACTTTTCCAAATTGGATACAACTTCTTTTTTTCATTTTCCGTGAAAGCTAAAGCTTTTTATATAGAGCATTAAGGCAATCTCGCATTTTTATGTTCCTGAATCGAATTTGCTAGTAGTGGTTTGAATTTGCTAGTAGTGGTTTGAAAAACTGTCGCGTTTTAATTTCCTCAAACTGAAAAGAAAATTCCAGGACAAATTTTCCTTACAAAGTTACAGTTACAAATTTGTGTAGCTTAACCATGCATGCATCACTTTTCTATTAACAGTTAATGAAGACATTTTTAACCTACTTTATTATAAGAACACCATGCCTTTATAAATCTAAAATATAGCCTCAAAAAAAAAAAATTAAGTTTATTTTTTTTAATATGAAACGGATGGTAAAGTAAAAAAAAAATTATTGGAGTTATTATATTTTAGCCTGCAAAAATTATTTTGTTGTTTAGCCATTTAATTTGTTTGTTATTTTGTATTTTTCTATTTTTACAAGATAAAATTTCCGCATCTTTCACACATTTTAAGAAAATAAATTTTATCTTTTAAAAGAGGAAATCAGTGCTTTTTAAATCTGCCAAAATCATCTTTTCATTTAATTCTGCCGTTACAAATTAATTTTATTTAGATTGAAGTTCAGGTCAATCTTTAAAACCAGCATTTCTGGTCAGACGTTACAAATTACAATCGATAAAGGGCCAAGGATCCACGTAAATTTATTAATTATCTGAAACCATCGAAGCAATTAATCAATACATTATATTACGTGGATCCAACGGTGATGGTGGTGGTGACGTAGATTGGTTGGGAAAAAACACTTAACGGTCGGGATCAAACGTTACATTGCTTTGTGAAGTTGTAGTACACGTGGCACGTTCTCTACTCACGCCGTCTACCTCACGCTGTCGGCTTGAAACTTACACAGTTTCGTTCAATTTGTTCTCCTTGTTTGATTTTGGATTTAAAATATCAAGTTTCAATTACACTATTTATTTTTGCAAAACAAGTTTACAAGACTGAAAGAAGATTCAAACTGAACGTTGAAAAAAATCAAACTGAAAATAAGAGATTGACGGTAAAATAAAAATAAAATAACATTAGTGTTTTTGGAAAAAAAATTTGAATACAAACAAATTCCGAAAATTATATATGTTTCTTTATTCTAGGGCAAAGGCCGTAAAGTCAGTCTATGGCTGCTAACGTAATTCTTTTCTATCATCGGCTGCTAAGTGCTAACTATTTTATATGTTAAATATTTGATTGGTATATGGCAACCTGAAATAAAAATCTTGAAAGTATCTTAGTTGAGCAAAAAAGAAGACTGAAATAATATATCAACTTTGATAGAGAGTAATTTCCGGAATCAGCAAAAGCTATGGGATGGGTATTAAAATAGTAACAAAACATCAATGACGTAGATAAAGATAGCACACAAACAGGACGTTGTTGAGAGTTGCGTTTTAGACGAGATTTTACAGATTTTTTCCAATCACAAAAAGTTATAGAATCGTTAGTTAATTTTTTTGGAAAAACATATTTTACAAGTCACACAACCCGAAGATTAGAAAACATAACTGCATGTTATTGCCGTTTAAAATACGTGATCGAAGCATGATGGAAGTTTTTCAACCTTAGCCACACTATTTGTATTGATTGACTTGGTCATGTTTCCTATACTATAATTCGTTTTCGAACTGGCAATTGATCGTTATTTGAAATT